TTGTTGGTTACACTAGTCTGAATAAGTGCTTGTTAAGATGGTTGAATGTTGCAAAAGAAGAACCGTAAAAGCATAAACTCTAGCAAAACAGTGCAGCAGACATAGCAGGTAAAAAAGAGCAAAAGTTGACAAAAATGTAAGCTAACCTGACATAGCTGGCCATCAAAGTCTGTTTTTATGCTGAGGTCAGACTACATGATTTAAACATAATTTAAGCCCAATCCAGCAGCAGTGGCCCTTAGAGATTGATTGTTTGGGCATGTGAAATTTGTCATCGTAAACCACATTCAAAATCACTGGATAAGGAGACACAATAACTAACACCTTGCCCAAAATGCCCAACTCTTTTTTGTATTAAATCAATACATCAAATCGCTGCAAAAAATGATTTCCGTCACATTATTCCAAGATTTTAACATTATTAACATTATTATTAATATCAAAGATATACTAGCGTAAAATTAAATCAGGGTCAAACACACCTTAACACCAATTTAGACACCCTGTTGAGAGATGAATGTTGCCGACTACTTGCTTCTCTAGTTATACCAGCTTAAGTAATGACCACAGAGAGCCACGCGCTCAACCAAAACACCACTCTATAGCCACAAATAATGCTCAGAACAGCACCTAACTTCATCAACAGTACATAGAAGGTCCCAGCCACAGCACTAGCCACCAAACATCTTTTTAGCTTTGCCTAATTTCTTTAGCAAAGAGACTAAACACAACTCACCTACTCTCTTCCAGCAGCCGCTTGTTTGTATGGAGACCTCTGGCCAGTCCAGCAGCTCAAGGAAGAACATTTACAATAATTTCCTCATGGAAATACAATCAGACCGAGACGCTAAGGCAGAAGAACTACAGTTTCTGCAGTGCAACGTGTTTAATGTGGTGATTATCACTTCAAGAAATTGAGAAAGTAATAAATATAAATGTTCTTTCTTGAGCTGCAGTCGACGGACTCACCCGGAGGTCTCTGTACAAACAAGCGGCTGCTGGAAGAGAGTGGGTGAGTACTAGAGAAGCAAGCGGTCGGCAACATTCATCTCTCAATGGGGTGTCTAACTCGATGTTACAGTGTGTTTGACCCTAATTTAATTTTACGCTGGAATGTCTCTTTAAACTGCATGTTTTTGGCAGTTCATTTACTGTTGTACTTCAGTATTTTACATCACTTATCACTTGGACTTATGGTTGTCCTAACTACACCACAACGCTGCTGAGTGGCTCAGAGGATAAGGCTTTAATTTTCCCTGAGTTTACTTTCATTCTCTGTCATTTTTACACAAGAAAAACATCCTCATGTGAACTCCGTCTTTACAAAAACATCAATTTATAATTTTCTTTCATTTTCGTGTTACTGATATGTTGCTGGAGACAATAGCTGATTAATTTGTTGTCTTCATGCACACCCTTCATAAAGATTTCTGATGAGCTCTCTTGTATAATGAGATTCCACTGAATCGTGTTTTAAAGATCACTGCCTGTCCTGAAAAGCAACCTGAGGGCAGAATAATTCTCAAGTACAAGCTTTTTTATTAAAACAGATTGTGCTGCTTGCATTTGTCCTTTCGCACCTCTGAGGGAAAGAAGGAGGTGACAGACCATCTTGACAGTAATTGGACAGTTGATTGTTGTTAGTGAGTCACCTCAGGAGACAGAGGCAACCAAGTAGCACGCTCATCCACTCTTGCAGTCTTAATACAATGACTGACATCAGTATGCGCCGGTATTTTACCACTGATTGGTGGCATTTGTAGCTAGTACCATGATCCTACTTTGGTGAAATGCGCTATCTGACCTAAGAACTAAAACTAGGTCAAGAACTGGGTAAAAATAAACTCAACACTCTGCCAGTACATTGGAGTATTACTGGTTTCAGGGTTGTTTTGTAATGTTTGATGAGCTGGTGGTTAAAGCTCCTTTGAAGAACATTTGCTTGGTTCTTTATCCTCTAACAGTAGGGTCTTTATTGATGTATCTTTCGCTGTGAATACTCAATGTGTAAACTATAAAAACAGGGCTGTTTCTTTACCTTCTAAGGCAGCTGACACTTGCCCCTTCACACCAGTTTCAGGTGTTCAGAATGACGACGTACAAATTGTCAATTTTATTGCTGATGGTCTTGTTTGCTTTTTGATATCATGAAAAGGCATCAAATCCTATTTCAGTCCATTTTATAAAAGCAAAAAAAAAGAAAAAGAAAAAAAAAAAAATCCTCATAGGAGTTTTCGGGTCACAAATAATGATCATCAGTTGCCACGTTTACATGGGCAAAATTTGAGGGACCAGATAATCTGAATCCACTGTTTATATGCCTGCAAAATCAAATAATCTGATCATGACGTGCGTATACATGCACCAAGTTTTATTCAGATTAGAAGCATTTGGACATGCGCAGAGTTGTCTAATTTTGCTAAAACAACCGCAGAAGAAGAGTTGTATTGACGCCTGTGCTGTCAACAAACCAACAAACGTGGTAGTGGCTCACTCCATCCAATTCAGGAGTTTTTCCCCTGTTAAATGTTGTCGTTAGATGGCGCCCTTGCTTACTTATTTTACTGTTTTGTCAAAGGTTGCACTGTGCGTGCAGATGTGACATCAATACGCTGTATGTTTGCCTTGTTATGTTATCGGAAGAGTACCTGCGGTTGTGTTTTATGCCAGAGTGTTAATAATGAAACCTCCTGTACTGACCTCAATAAATAAGCCAAAGGCTAAAGAGTGAAGGTCGAGTCAGGTAAGAGAGTCATGTTCAGAATAAGTGTTTACATTGACGCGTTTCAGAATAACGATCGGCATAAACCACCCCTCTTGATTGAAATTCAATTTCTTTCAGATTGATTGATTTGATCAGAATCCTCTGATCGACATGTTTACATGACGCAGTTTTATTCCGATCGGGCATTTATGGAAGAATAATGATTCTACTGATTAAAAATTCCGCTTATTTGAACAGGCAGAACAGAGAAAACCCTTTTTGATTCATCTATTTGAAACATTTCCTTGGATACACTATGTTCATGGTACAGTTAAGACATTAGCCTGATTCATTGGCTCTGATTAAGTTCTGTTTACCCCACAACTTTGAAAGTCTGTCAACATTTTCTTTTCCGTCAACCAGTTTTTTAACACTATCGAAGCCCACTGCCACGTTCTGTTTAGTGTCTGTTTCACAGAACTGGCTGATGGAAATGAAAATGTTTACAGACCTGACACTCTTTCAGTCAGCTTCTTGTGTTTTCTTAGTTCCCCTCACTGTTTTTGCACCATTTTCCTCCTCTCCTTTCTTTTTTTGCTGGTAACTGGTTAGCTATTAACCACAAAACTACAATTTTGGACCTTCTGGGTAAATCAAAGTAAAAAAACATCCTCTGTTATTTTCAGTAGGTTTACAGAAAATGACATTTTCGTCACAGTGTCAACAAGAGGAGGTGAATTTGATTTGACTTGTGGGACCAGGCTCTCACTGGCAAGAAATAAATAATAGATAATCAGGTTTTCATCAACCAGACCAGACATTTAATTCAGCCGGGTAATGTAACACTGTTTCTTGCTTACTTCCTCCCCTATGGAAACATCATCTCATCATCCTCTTCTGCTGCTCTAATAATACACTCAGTAATGGGATTCAATTTATAATGCATAAAGCATAATGGACTACAACGCAGCACAACAAAATTAAAAAACTAGCAATGAACTTGCCAGAGTAAAGTTGAGAGCTTAACAGAGTCAACTATTGAATGTAATAGTCTGCAGTGTATTTGTAGAGCTATTGTACTATGCTGCATTGAACGTTACTGAGTTTACCTCCTGTGCATGCTTCCCTTGGAAGGATTTCAGATTTCCTCTTTTGATTAAAGTGTAATAAGGATGCATACAGCGTTCTTTATTTAACCTAAAAACAGAACAAAGTTGAGCATTGTACCCATGATACTTAACATCCTTCAAGGGAATCAGCTGGTTACCACACTCATTCAGTTTGACCTACTAAAGAATCATGAAAGACCTGAAGAACAAATAAAAAAACAAAAAACAAAGAGGAAAAAAAAAAACCAATATCTGCTTTCCTGTGTTACTATGTCAGAATTCATTCTGGAGAAGCTGACTGGTTGGAAACTAGTGCATGTTGATAGGTCTGTTTCCCTTCAAGTGCAGTGACCCAGAAGTGTAAAGGCTTATCCACTGCTTGCTAGATAGCATCCAAACCAAATCTTCGCGGAAAAAGCCTGTTTCATAAGTCGCCGCAACTTCTGACCTGTTCTGAACCCCACTCAAAGCAGCCTCCAGGTGTTATGACGGTCAAACAAAGTAGGGCAGATTTCATCGTTCAAAAGACAAATATTAGAGGCAGGAGGAGACGCCGCAGCTGTCTGCTCAGTTGTGCATGAGACGATTAACACAGAGGAGCTTTTATCTGAGTGCTTTTCCCCGGGATTCTGTTCACACGAGGGTGAGCAATGAACTACTCCGATAATAAATAAATAAAAAACAGATTTGTTGCTTTTGAAAACACCAGAAAACCAGGCTGTGTCGCTTTCACGTCTCACATGTCACCTGTTGCGGCATCTGGTTCAGCCATGCTTATTGTGTGCCTCTGGCAATTGATGTGGCAGTAACTACAGAGAAATCAATGCTGTTGAAAGTACTCTACAGAGCACACAATTTGCTTTCATTCATTAAACAATGCAGCAGGCAGCCGGTTTGTTTAAATGTTTACATTAAACTGATTTCCTGCGGAGAGAGTTCCCTGTTGATGCCCGAATGTCTTGAGAGGATCAGACCAGTCTGTTTCTACATACCCACACAAACTAACCATCTATAACACACACTGGCCTCACGCACGAACACACACCACACACTGGCTTGATCGATGCTCTGTGCTATATGAGGGCTGTGTGTGATGGGTAGCCAGCAGGGGGATGGGTCAATGTGCTGCTGCTCGGCTTCTATCAGTCTCTCTGTGTGCACTCACATTCTCTCAAGCACTGGCAGCAGCAGCAGCAGCTTACTCGTTGCTGATCTCTATAGACAAGCTCAGTCTTACTTGGGGATTAGAGAAGAAGTCATTCACAGAGTCTGTTTAGATGTAAAGCGTGGTGGATTTTTCACGAGCAGTGTTACATGCAGCAGAGCTTCGGGGGCTCTGGTCCTCTCTGACAGTCTATACTCCAAACATTGAGGTGCCCTGAGGAGGAGAGGGGGGCGTCACTCTGGATAAGGTACAGAACCAGACTTTTTACACACTGTTTTAACAGCTTCTGTAACTTCATGGCAACTATTAACTATCACAAACAACTTGTAAAGGCTTATACAAATGCTGAATTGTTGATTGCATCTTTTTGTGGCACTTCATGAACTTGTTGTAGCTTGCTTGTTTTATATATGCTGTCAGTGATTTTGAGTTTACATTGTGGATCTTTATTTGTCTTAAGCTCTTGATTAAACAGAACTGATTAAATTCTGATCATACATTTCTACTATACTGTTTACAGCAGCTCATGTTTACATCCATAACTGTCCCAAAGCTGGGCATATACTCCTGGGTGTTTGCAGAAAGAGCCTTGATCACCTCTCTTCCCAAACAAATATACATATTTGAAAATGTATTATTAGCCCTAATTGTAGAAGTCCATTAGAATTAACTACTCTGAAAACAGAAAATCTGACTGTTTACACTATAAAGCAAATACTATTTATTTCCCTTGATTTAAACAACACTGTGACAGCATGAGAGCTGTCAGCATGAACACATTAATGGCAATAATGAGGTTCTAAATTAAAGTGTTTCTCATTTAAACTGCATGCTATTAGTCCATTAGTCGCTTCTCACTGCCTCCTACTGTCTCTGTGATGGCAAATACCATTCCACTTTGCTCTTCTATTGTGCATTTCACTTAAAAAATCAGACGACCTAGTTGAAAAGCAGTAAGTAAAATGATCTTCTAGTAAAAGAGATTTAAAATATCGTACCTTCAAGCTAAGCATTCAGGTGCAGCTGATCAGACAAATTTAAGCGGGCAACTGCATCATCATATAAGACAGCAGAGTACGAGATTCTGCAAATAACTACAAATATGAAGACACCTTTATTCTGATAGGACAGCTTGAGAAAGAGACAGAGAGAGGGTTAATATGCACCAAATTATAACAGGGCAGGGAATCAGCGCGGCTACTAATGCAAGGAGGGCAGCTTCTCTACATGCGGTCCCTGCTTTACTAACTGAGTCGATCCATTACCTCTACACTGTTATCTTTAAAAATATAAACACTGTGTTTCACTGAAAAAGCACTTTAAAACTGTCTCCCACCTCTCAGTCATGTCTTCAGACCACACTGGTGTAGAAATGCAGCCTTTGTTTTGGCAATAAATCTCAAGGTATGACCGTGACTTTAAAGTAACTTTCATTGCATCTGTCTGATCCCGAAATCAAGACACTGGTAGAATTTTTTAACAGTCATGATTCATAATAATAATAATAATAATAGTAATAATAATGATAATAATAATGATAATAATAATTTTTATAATAATAATAATAATAATAATAATAATAATAATAATAATAATAATAATAATAATAATTGTTCTTATTATTATTGTTATTATTATTATTATTATTATTTTTATTATTATTATTATTAACCCTTTAATGCCATTTGTATCATATCTATCAAATCAATATTATCAACAAATTACTAAAAAAAAACCTGAATACAGTCCAATAAATGAAAAAAATGTCCTCTTGTGGTTTATTAGTTTCCAAAAACATGTTTTAAACCAGATAAATAAATATATTTGTTAAATTTTAAGGAATTTTTGATTTTTGGGGGGTTTCCAGTAGTAAGTGAAATAAACATTTCAGCTCCCAAAAATGTTTTAATTTTCTGGCCATAATTTGTAGTGTCAGGCATTAAAGGGTTACAAATGTGTTCAATCACAATCAACAACTGAATTTCAGCAATTATTCCGGATTAAAAAATAATCCCTTGACAGCCCTAAATCATGTTTTCATAACCGCAAAGGCCCAACAGCAACCTCACATCTACGCACAAAGCAGACAAGGCAGTTCCTTTTCTATCAAAGCCCATTGATCCAAATTGATCCATTTGCTTTCCATGAACATGAACACCCTGTAAGCAATTTCTAAATGAACACAGACACCTCCTGACTCTGAAATACTCATAAACATTCAAACTTCCAGTGTGAACAAAGGCGCAATGAATCAGGTGTAGTTGATGTGATTTAAGCCTTTTGTGAGACGCTGCTTTGTTGCCTAATGAGGGGAAACAAGAGGTGATAGAGAGTTTCTCTGACGCACAAAGCTTCACTGAGCACAGCAAGAGGTCCCTGTTTTGACCTGACACACTGTACGTCCGTGTGTACATCGCCCATTCTACTGTTAAATGCATGTCCATGACTTTTTTTCACCATTACCAGGAATGTACGCATGTTTTCATCTTAGGCTGTGCTTTTATGTAATGCTGTAATAACAGGTGCTTTAAATATACAGTGACTGCTCTTTGCAAAAATACCACAAAGAGTCAATATATTTCAAAATCATTAAAGCAGCATATAAGTCTCATATAGTATGCATGATTCACCGCTGCTCTGGTGGATTAAGTACAGTACCATCCCTTAGCTTAACTCTACATTATGCACTGTCTGTCACTGAGTCAACAACAGCGGACACAATTTAAAATGTGTTCTTGTTCTCCGATAAATTATTAATGTGATACATGACAGATGTTTTACAGCATCTGCGGTAATGGATGTGGCAGAGAGCGTCGTACTGCAATTGTACCCAACTCCCTTTTCTATAATGCAGATTAGAGGCAGACAGGAAGTGGCATTACATAGGGTGATAACTGCTGTTAATATTGCGTGACTCACTCTGCACCCCTGATTCCATCACATTAGCAAAAATATTGGAATCCTCTTATGATCATTTGGGCAGCTGAGCAGCAGCTGCATGTAACAGTATTCGGAGGTCCAAACATCAATTTCATTACAAAAATTACTTTACATAATCAACCCAGGAAAATATTTGTCAGACCTCTACAGCATTTTGACAGAGTGAAAGAATACACTTTCACTTTTATGCATTTCTCACTGGCATATTTTTAAAATATAATCCTGTTTAAGACTTTTCTTGAGTTCTTTCTTTGCTCTATCTCAAAATATATAACCCTAAATCCAAAAAAAGACACTGTGTGAAATGCTAATAAAAACAGAACTGAGGACAACAGTTTCTGAAAGTTTTGAAAGAGAAATGTTGTCCCATTCTTTCCTGATAAAGAATTTTAGCTGCTTAACAGTTTAGGGTCTCCTTTGCTTGTTTCATTATGTACCAAATGTTTTCGATGGATGAGGAAATCAGGACTGCAGGCAGACCACTTTAGCACCCAGGCTCTTCTTCTGCCGAGCCACGTTGTCGATTCATGCAGAATACGGCTTATCTTGCTAAAATATGCAAGGGCTGCTCTGGAAATGGCATTGCCTAAACGTCAGGATATGTTGCTCCAAAACCTGATTGTATTGTTCAGACTTAATAGTACCTTCCCAAATAATAATCTCCCCCCAGCCATGGGTTCTTATGCATCCTCTTACCATCATTTGTGCTGGCTTTTGATCTGCTAGTGTTCCTTCTCTTTTTAATGCCGGGGACGTGGAGCCCATAATTATCAAAAAGGATGTCAAATTTAGATTCATCACATCATTGGACACAACAGTCTATCTGAAACGGGCTCAGGCTCAGAGAAATTTTGAATGTCAATGAATTGAAAATGGATAATTTATACTTATATAGTTTCCCTTTTTGCATGGTAAACTTTTAACCTGAAATCCACAGATGCAAATACACTATGTTAATTGACAGTGATTTTTTAAAAGCGGTTTAGAGCTCATGCTGTGATTTCCACTGCAAAGTCTTGTTCATTTAAATGCAGTGTCGCCTCAAGCGCTGTAATTTGGGCCTCATCCCCTCTGGACAGAGGTTTGCCCAGATTCTATGAATTCCCAAATGATGATATGTCCTGTGTGCTGTAAAACGTGACAGTACAATCATTAAACTGAACAGAGGAACATTATTCTTTAACATCATCAGACACTCACATTGTCTGCATTGCTCTTTTTATACCCAGTCATGCCGCTGACCTCTTGAAAATTAGCCTAGTAAGTTGGCAGATGCTCCTTATACAACTTGCTTGCACAACTTTTTCAGTCTTTCATTGTCCATGTCACTACGTTTCTGGAAGGTATTTTTTAAAGTGAGCATATACTTTTCACAGAAAAAGAAAATATCTATTTTTTTGTCAGTTAAAATCTTGTCATTGCACTATTTCTCAATTAAATCTTTACACAGTATCCCAAATTGGGGATTGTAAAATTTGGTTGTCCACAGTAAGACCTCAAAACACCTCAGCTCAGTTTAAGGTAAAAGCATTTCACTAATGCTGAGTAAGGCTTCAGTAGATTCTCTTCTCTCATATATTATTATAATAAATATTGAGCCATCCAACTCCCAGAGCAGTAAATAATTGATGTTGAAAGGCATAGACTATTGTAACTCTTCTTTAATCTAATAGACATTGCAAGGAAGAGAAATGCAAGCTTTCTCTCATCTTTCACATCACTGTATCAAACCAACTGGAAGATTTATTGTGGGCAAAATGAAGAAGAAAAAAGAAGACATAGATGTAGTGTTGTGGAAAAGGAAAAAACAGAAATGAACTTGGTGCAGATCATTTGAACTCATATTTAAGGATAACACTAAACTCTGTTTTTTTTCCCACAGTGTTAACAGATATTTGGTTTAAAGCGCCAAAGCAAATGTAAAGAGTTCACATACCCCTCATTCCATGGAAATTGCTCTCAAACAAAACAAAAATGGGGTGAGACAAGGACCGAGGGGCTGAATCAACACATTTTTAGTCATATTTTTATTTTCACCCAACCTTATCCCCCCCATGACTCTTCTGGACCCATGACCCCCTGCTGTATGCATGACATCTATATTAACATAGCTGACACATCTAGTCATTTGTTATTAAAAGAGACTAAAAAGGCTGTATCCATAACAGCCTTGTGAGGTTGTCAACATCAAAAGTATGCTAGCAATGAAATAATGATGGTTTTCAGCAGCTATAGTGCTAATAATGCTCCGAATCCTAGTTCTAAAAGTTCTGGTGTCTTTCGTGAAGACTAATCATGTTATACAGTCTACGGTTTCAAGTGTAAGCATGCAAGACTTGCACCAAGACATTGACGAAGTAGATCCAAAATTTGATTATTGTGTCCTCAGTTTTAAAGTTATTTATTCATGACACAATTCAACAGTTTTGATAACAGGGATGACCACTATGTCAGCAATTTTTTTATTCAATAAAGTATGACTATGGAAACATCAAAGTAATTCTTTCCATGGCCTCCATGTAGCAGACCAATGGGGGCTTCATTTATCCTGAATTTCTATGTAGGTAGTAGGTTGATGGGTTGATAATGACCTCCAGAAAGGCTTTGTTCAGGGTCCATATGAGCATGTAATGGTATGTCAATTTCAAGCCATTGCATATCTACCAGTTGGCCTATACTATACTGTGAACCCCAACACATCTTGAGTTGGGCGTCAGGTTTACACCATAACATAGCTAAGACCCACAAAGACCCCTCTTGGACATGTCTGACCCAAAATCACAAGTTTTAATGTTAGGAAGAAGGGAAGTCAAGTTATCTGGCAAGGTTTGTAGGATTCAAGGTTTGTTAGTATGCACTGTGGTCACTTCACTCCTTCTCTTCTGTCCCTTATCGTGGTATTGCACTTATGTATTGTCATTTTGTATATTTTTAACCCTTTTAACCTGTCATGTTATTGCTGTGTATTTTAATGTTGCCTCTGTTTTGCTGCTGGCTGCACCACAAATTGCCCCTCGGGGACAATAAAGATTTCTTGACTTCATCCTCTGGGACTGATATTGATATTGACTGTCGAGGTTTACTTGTAGCCAAGGTTGTGTCAAATGGATGTCAAGTCACAATACTTAAATAACCGCAAGAAAATCCTTGCAAACTAAAAGTATAAGAGACCATGTATTCACTTTTTTCCCTCCTTCATACCTTTTTTTTCCTGAGATTTAAGTGCCAACCAAAGAAAATGTATACAATAAACTGCAAAGAAATTACTAGCAGCTTGCAACACAGTACAAACAGTTGATTTCACGATGAGTCTAGTTTTTGACCTGGCGAATTGCCCATAATGGTCTAAGATTTTGGGGTGGCACCCTGGGTGGCCAATCAGATTTTACATGAGGCTAGTGCCACCCTTGGCATCCTCCTTGGCCACCTCCTTGGCCGTGCCCCTGTCTACAGTGGAGGGAAAAGTGCTCAGGTGTAAAATTTCAAAGCTTTTATCACCATCTTGTGTGAAACTAAGCTTCTCAGCATTTTTCCCTGTAGAGTTTGAAAGGCAGACAAGCCAGACGGTTTATGATGTCCAACCAGGAAAAAGAAACATATTGTACTGTGAGGTATCCCCACAGAAAACACAAAGACAGAAACTGCGATGAAACATAAAATCAACAGCAGTTTCTGGTAGAGCTGTGGGCCTTTACATTTTCTGCTTGTGCATCTAAACATTTTTCTTGTAGATTTAATAAATAATCTTACATAAAGCTTGGAAGTTTAATGGGTCAAAGTAATAGAAAGAAGGATTAGATTCTTATAGAAGTCACAAAGATATACTGCTCAAGAAGGCAGACCATGTAATCCTGACATCTGTGCCTTTGTGGTTTTTCATGTGTGTTTGTATGTGTGTTGTCACAGAGATGGACAGGGATCACGGGTTTTATCGGCAGGTGGACGTCCATGACCACGCTCACTACATTGTTGCCTTCTTTGTCCTTGTGATCGGGACAGTGGGTGTGACCGGTAACGCCTTGGTCATGTACGCCTTCTTCTGGTAAGAGAATTGATATTGGTGATGAAAATGTTTATCTATTGCAGCCAATGAGAAGTGCAAAACTCATAATTGGGAGAACAGTAACTATTTTGAGAGCTAAACCACTGTGCAGATCAATAATTTCACACTGTATACTCTCTGGAGTCCTTAGTACAGCCTTTGCTTGTAATCTGAAGATGACATCTTGTGTTAAGATTGGGAAGGCAAAATGTCTTTGATTTGAAATAAAACCATATTTTGACCATGTCCTCCATGCTTTGAGTTGGATTGCAACAAGGTTAAAAAAAAAGGACTAGCTTTTTTGACATTTGTGTTGTTACCAATGGAAGGTTACAAATTTCAGCCCCACAAAATGATCTACAGGTAACACATTCAAAAAAATGCTGCAGGGACCTAAATCTGCTCTCTTTCATGGCCTGAATTCTTGCATTAAAAAAATTGCTGTAAATCTCCCAGTTAATTATCGTACAGGCTATGATTAGTAATGATCTCAGTTTAAAGCACTCAAAATGTGCCTCACTAAAGTGCAAAGAAATCTACCAGCAGCCAGGTGCAACACCACCCAGATAACTCATTTAGGTTTCTGGGGTGGCCAATCATCAGTGGGGCTTAGGCCACCCCTTCTCCTCCTCCTGGATCTACCCCTGTCTCCCAGTTATAATGACCAGCCCAGTGCACACACCACTAAGAAAACAGAGGTGCCTTTTCTTCAGCTTCATGGATGCAAAGGTCAAACCAGTAAGATGTTCGCACTTCGCTCTGTTTTTACCAGAAGCTGCAACACAATCCAACTTTAGCGTGCGTTAACAAGTTAAGGTTGACAGCCCCGGTAACAGAAATCATTAAAAGGATGGTTTAAATTATAGATGCATTGTTACTCTTACCTCTTGATTTTTGTGCTGTATGTGACCTACATCTTCTTTAGCAACACTATTACCTCCAGTTCTAATATCAAATACTAATACACAAGGCTTATGCTGTATCAGTTGATGAATGATGAAGCTTCACTATTAAATGAAGCAGACATAAAATAGCTAGTATCCAGGTATTACATTTTAAAAAAAAGATACAACCTGGTCAGAAAGTTTTTAAAAATCAATTGAAAAGTTATTTTAAAAGGATGGTAAAATCCCCATGAGTAGTATTCTGCAGAAAGTACAGCTGCGTGATGTGTTTTATCATCATTATTCAACACGCCACAGTTTGCATCACATTTCTGCACATGAACTGTTCCAACTTCTGGGAAACGGAGGAGAAAAGCACAGCCGACCGTGGGAGCATAGTGATCTACTGTTTCAGTTTGCTATGAGCTCCAAAAACCAAGTCAACTCAAAGAAGCTGTTTGCCTCAGGATTGTTCAAATCAGAAAACATGACACAGTTAATAGTCCCTTTGGAACAATATTTGCAATCACAGTTCAACCATTTTGTGAACCCTGTTAGAAAACTTGTTGACAAGAACAGTGTACAAGAACAAAGTTTAGAAATCAAGAGAACTATGTAAAAAGAGCTCAGACTGTCTGCAGGGACACCATAAAAGAGCTATATATAGAACAAGAAAATGAAGGAGACCTCAGATTATCTAATACATAAAAATATCTGAATATCTCAGCGTAAATTATGTAACAATTATCTTATCAAAGCCTTGCTCATAGAAAATAAATATGTTAGTAAAAAAACGCGTTCTTTAAGTCATAAAAGTATTTTTAATCTGGTATGACCCCTTTTTTTTAAATTATTTTTGAGTGTTGTTAGGCGTCAACTTGTTGTCATATGAGTGACTACTCAGAAAATGTTGGCCTGTGTTTCAGTATTTCATGAAATGTACTTTGTCCTCTTCACTGTACCCTGAATAGTCTGGGTGTTGCATGCAGGGAAATGGACAGCTGACCCACTCTGTTCACACACTGAGGAGCACATATGTCACAGTGAAAAGCCAAGAGGCCCTCACAACAGCTCAGTGATTTCTACCCGAACTGGATGAATCAGTGCATAATTCAATAGTCACTTACATTAAGTCAAATAATCTCTTATCAAAACCAAACACAAAAAGAGGAAGCAACCTTTAACAACAGTGTCAGAGTTACACAGGTAATACAAGAAAGCCCCCAGTGCTTCACCTTATACTGGGGTCATACAATGCAACCATGTTCCCAGCTACACTACAAATAAAGAAAGTCTATTTAGGTTAAATAAAATAAAAAAAAAACCTCTCAAGTCCCTCCAAAATTCTCAGTTTTTTCTTTTAACTTTCCTTGACACGCATCCTGACATAGCTAATGACCACTCATCGCAGCCTCATTATTTTCCAGCCAAAAGCTGCTGTCTTTCATCCTTGGTGTTATAACCGCAGGAATAAAAGCAGCCTCATTTTAGGGCGGTGATGATGATGTGTCTGATTTGTATTTGACATTGCTGGGGGCAGCATTTTGGAAGTCATGTCTTGGTGATGAGATGATAGACACGCACAAACTCACATCTCGGGGCAGCCGATGTGTTGAAATCAAAGACCAAGTAAAATATGGACGTAGACTTTGTGATGTCACCAATTGGTTTGTGAAGCCAATGACGGTGGTAACCATACTGGAAACTCTTGACTCAACCGAACATCAGATGGAGGTGAAGCAGAGGCCCTGAGCCTTATGGTAAACCACTGTAGTTTATCTGCTTTTCAGTCAAATCAGCTGTGCTCAATTTTGCCTAATAGTGCAGAACTATAAGTTAATGTAGTCAAACCATAAAACATATAGTAAATGCAGTGATGAGCTTTTAAGACCAAAGACATTTAAAAAAAAAAAAAAAAATGGGGGCCTTTTTTAAAAACAGGATTTTCAGTATAGGTGTTTACAGGAATTCCTCAACTTTGGGGGTCAGCCTCAAGTGGACATTTCAGGAACTGCAGCCTTTGCACCTTTGTATTGGCTTCATTTTTTTTTATGCTTAAGACTGTTACCTGGTTAGAATTGTAAATCTCCAGTGGGCATTTACGATAAAATTAATCAAATGTGGATGATTGATTTAAAAAATATCAGTGAGTTAAAAAAACTCACTAAATATATTTATTTTGTCACACTTTCATTACTGTGAAAACCCAGAGTATAAGATGTTAAAGGTTACTTACATGTATACCTTCTTTTGGGGCCTCCTTGACTGAATTTTTTAAAATCAACTTCCTCTTTAAAGCTCCAATGGGGAACTTTTGGATTATCAAATTTGGCGCCCCCTGTGGACAAAAAGGTTCTTGCCTATCTTGCTCTTTAAATGCCAAAACAAGGACTTCTAGCTGAAAATCACATCCATCATCTCATTTTCCATCTACCATCCTGGTGGCTACCAGTGGTTGTTAGGTCAGCTCAGACTATAGCAGCACTGGTTGTTGTGAGGTGCAGATAGTAGACCTTCCTTTTCAAAAATTTCAAAAATTTTGTGTTATCGAAAATTATTGAGGCAAGACTTCTGTGTTCGCAACACACAAATGAATGACCGAACAGTCTTTGTCTATACTCTTCTCTTAAAGACATATACACGAAAAGATACAGAGGAAATGATGCCAATGGCCTTGAAGTATACAAACTGGCTAGTCTGTAACATCAGAATACCACATTGTATGGCCTCTCCTTGGTGTATAGCGGGACTAAGTGTGAGGTAAAATTCTGGGCCGGACATGTTTTCTGCATTAAGGTCCAGCCTCCAGTGATACACAGCCATCTCAGAGGTCGCATCACTCGATCTCTCTTTCAGTCACACTTGCTCCGTGCACCCACCCACTTGCATGTAAACACACAAATACACTCAAACTGACTCGGTGCAGCGTGGGTCCCTTTGGCCTTCTTTTACAGTCAGCAGGCAAAAAGGGAGAATAATACCCAGAGACTGAGACTGATAAGCGAAAATAATATAAATAAAACCTTTTAACCCTTTTCTGGCATAGTTAATAACATATATTTTTATAAATTTGATAGTAATGTTAAAGAGGGGTTCAAGATGTACTTGATGTTTGGATATATCTAGTTTATCATGAAAAGTAAGTCTGTGTAAAAGCACTTACAAATGTCCCTTTGAACATCTCTCCTGTTTGTAGGAGCCACTTCCAGGGTAAAAAATGCATTTGCTAAGATTTGCAAACAGCTGCAGAAAAGCAATCTGAGTTGATGTGAGGGTGTGCAGTGAGCTATGGCATGCTATGGCAGTCAAGGATTTTAAGAACACGCCACTGCCCAAATGAAAAAAAAGAACATCTGTGCCTCACGTGGCACTAAAAGAAGTCAACATCTGCTGGGCTCCACATGGACTTAAAGTTTTAAACTCAATATTAACAATCAACTTTTTATGCTTTTCCAAGTGAGCACTCACCAGAACTTCAACAGTGATATATGACTAAAAACAGGGACTTCCAAGACCGCTTCCCAGCTATTTTCCAGATAAACTGTTTCTTTTTTATTTTATCTCCAAATCCCCTTGTTATAACAAAGAAGTCAACATCTGCTGGGTTTCAAGTGCACTTAAAGTTTAAAACTTAATACTAATAATGAACTTTTTATGCTCTTCCAAGTTAGCACTTACCAGAACTTCAGCAGTGGTATTTGACTGAAAACAGGGTCTGGACTTCCAAGACCTCTTCCCAGCTATTTTCTGGTAAACCGTTTCTTTTTTTTTTATTGTATCTCCAAACTCCCTTGTTATATTATTCAGCCTGTGAAGTGCCTTTTTCAATGAAATCCATAAACTTACACCAAGAGTTCAACTTAAGCAGAAGAAACACAAGAGCCCAGTACTCCCTATTTAACATAAGTCATCAAAGTCCCAGCTTTACGAAGGTTTCGAGGTTATATTTTTGGATTTTTCTGCAGTGGGAGGTATCTAAAGATTGATTTTACTATCCCCTATCTGTTCATTAGAACAGCACAGTGATTTAATATTAGATATATTAACAGATATCCTGTGATGTGGGAGAAACCTTGAGGACAGATGGAAAAAATATCTGTTGATTGCCTCTTAACAAAGCATTGCTAATAGGCAAATTAACTGTGAAAATGAAAACAACAAATAGCAGGCAGGGTAACAATAGCAACGCAAAAAGTACATTGAGATACAAAATAGAAGGCCAACTTGTTAATTTCTGGTATAAACAAGAGTGTTTACGCAACGTGTCCTGAACATACCACAATCAAACTGATAGGGAGTAATTGCTTGTACTGGCTGCTTAGCAACCTGGATGTTCAAAGAGGTCATTTTGCTTTCCATGTTGGCCAAGGCACAAAACTCCCAATACTATCATCTCTTTTCTCAAATTTTCAACATCAGTCAAGTTTTCAGAGTGGACCAGCGATAACACTACTGTGGGACTTTGCATAAATGCAGTCATAGTAATCACTACCATTTTCCTTTTGACTCTCAGTGTATTTTATTTTATTTCTTTGCACTTTTTAAAATTCTTGACCATGTTTTGATTCAATAGAAAACTAGATGAGGTCATAGATGTTTGGACCTGATTTGTTTTGTGTTTTCAACTAAGTTCTAATGTTGACACCCGGATTAGTGTTCACTAGGCAGTCCATGAAAAAAGAAACGTGTTCAATTTGAGCTGAGACAAACTAAATCATCCCGCTCAGTTGTTGCACTGTTAAGCAAAATTCACAGGACGGTTGGAGTAATGGATTTTATGTGTCTATCTGTCTCCACTCCAGGTCGTGTCAGTTCACTTTCTCCTCTGAATATTGGAGGAGAGCAATGTTACTCGAACTGAAGTGTTTTATTCAAGGGAGGTTAACAAGAAAACGCTATCATGGACAAAATTGAAAGATTTAAAATTCATTTTAACCTTACTCCTGAGTTTGTGTACAAGGTGTGCTCCAAAAGCAAAAGCAGGGATGCTGCGGAGGTTGTGGACGTTTGTGCTCCTAAAATCTTGGACAAATTTATCTGAATGTTTTTGGATATCCTTATTTGACTGATGGTGATTATCTGCCATCGTTCAGAGAGTGCATCTTATATAAAAGTTTGTTTATAATTGGGAGTCTGACCTCTAGTGATGGAGAGTCAAATTTAACTGACTCTTCATTATAGCTGCTAACAGCTTCAAAGAAGTCATTGCCTCGATGACCGGACTCTGAGCAGACTAACAGGTTTAGTTTGCCATAACAAAGTTAAACAGATCAAATGGTGTTGAATAAACGCTTGTGCTCCTCCATTATATTTCTACGGTATTGTCTTTAAATTAAACACAGTTTAAAGATTCCTAATGTAAAAGATCCTGTTTGCACTTTAAATTTTTAAATGCCCCTGTCTTAACAGAAATATTTTGTGAAACAATGTGATTGACACAAATAAAAATAATAGTTTGTGGCCTGATAGTAATTTTGATTTGAAGACTTCGCTGTCATTTTGTGTTTCAGTAACAAGAAGCTGCGCACTCCTCCCAACTTTTTCATCATGAACCTGGCAGTCAGTGACTTCCTCATGGCCATCACACAGTCGCCAATCTTCTTTGTGAACTCCCTTTACAAAGGGTGGATTTTTGGTGAAACAGGTACTTTTTATAGGGTTGGGTTAGAGAGTACAAACAGTAGTAACACTGTTGAACGTTTGTTGTACTTATGCGTCAGTCTGACTTCTGAGACCAAGTCCACTCACTTGGCTAAGACTAAAAATTGCCACTAAGAGTCTTCAACAAAGAAATCATAAATAAGTCATGTTACTTGAATTAAAAAACTAACATATCCTCCTGTCTTTTCCTTTACAGGTTGTAAAATCTATGCATTTTGTGGAGCTTTATTTGGAATCACTTCTATGATAAACCTTCTGGCAATCTCCATAGACCGCTACATTGTCATCACGAAGCCTCTGCAGGCTCTACAGTGGACCTCCAAGAGACGCACTTGCCTTACGATAGTGCTGGTCTGGCTTTACTCACTCGCCTGGAGCCTCGCACCACTTCTAGGTTGGAGTAAGTGACTTAATCTCTTTCTCTTGTACTCTTCATTTTAATGAACCATCCTTAATTTATGTTATCAGGGCCTCATTTTCTCTCTTATCTCTCTTCGTTGCTGTCTTCTCCAGGTTCGTACATACCAGAGGGTCTGATGACCTCATGCACATGGGATTATGTGACATCCACTCCTGCCAATAAGAGTTACACTTTGATGCTGTGCTGTTTCGTATTCTTCATCCCTTTGGGCATAATATCCTACTGTTACCTGTGCATGTTCCTGGCGATCCGCCGTGCGAGCAGGTGAATGAATTCATATCTGTGAATATGCAGCACTCCTAAGGAGAGGACCCTTTAATGTTAATACTTTTGCTACTTTTAGCCACTATACTGAAAAAAAAACTTTATCATACCATATTAGAGTGCACAAATTAAGATGCATTTTCACAAAAAAATTCACTCTAGTTCTTCTTGCTTGTCTAGTTTTTTCAGTATATGTTGATATATTGTCTTTCATACTGTGGATTCTGCCATCTCATGCCTGCCTTTTAGAAGATATGTGGGCTTCTACAGTGGCTTTTACACTACTTGTGATTTACTGCAAAAAAGACAACCCCCTTAAGCTTCAGTTATTCACTTTTAGTATTTACCTGAAAGGCATGAGTGCTGCTATGGATTTCGGCCACATAAAAAAAAAAAAACTCTACTTTAAAACTGCAAATGTTCAAATATTTTTTAGGAATGGGACCTTGAATCATCCTAACATTACTCCTTCATAGAGAGCTCTGCTGGAGGGCAACTGAACCTGTCAACTCAAAAAATGATAGTTTTAGCTTACATTACTTACTATGAATATTTCAGAGTTTCTGGATACTTTAATATTCATATGAGAAAATAAGAATAACTGGGTTCCCTCTACCTCTATACCTTCCTCAGTTTAAAAGCTTTTCAGGTTTGCCATGCCATAACTGCAGTGTTCACATCCTTTCTGCGTCACACTTCTGTTGCTGTGACGGTCAAAGATAACAATACACTTCAGGTAGAAGGTTGATGTTGTACACCCAAACAAAGAGCGCGCCATTTTCAGCTCATACACTTTCATACGAACACACACTCACACAATAACCATTGGTGAGTGAGTGAGTGACAGCTGTCCAACATAAATACATCCCTTGCTATCTGTGTTATGAACTGTCTTTCTGGAAGCATTACATACAGTCATTTTAAATTCATTTAAATTTCTCATTTTTTAATCTGTCTAAAAGACACATGCATCTAATGGAATTTAAATATTGTGAAAAAGTTTTGTAATTCTGCAGCTCAAAGAATGCAAATATAACATCTCAAATTTTCATTTTAAGTTTGAGTAAATTACTATTCAACTACTATAAATACAGTGCATCTCTTCGTCTAGTCCAGTACATGTAACCACAATCATGGGAAAAACTGCTGACCTGACAGCAGCCCAGAAGATCATCATTGACACCCTCCAGATGGAGTGTAATCAAAAGTAGACCGGTGCTGAAAAGGTTGGCTGTTCACTGACTGCTGTATTGGATAACATAAAGAGGAAAATTGACTGGATGGAAAAAGTGTGGTTGAAAAATCTTCACAGGCAACAGGGATGACTGCAGCCTTGAGAGGATTGTCAAGAACAGTCAATTTAAGACCTTTGGAGGGTTTCACATAGAGTGGATTGAGGCTGAGGTCAGTGCTGATCCTGAATTAGGGACAACATCAGAGGAGCCTTACTTGCACTAGGGGAAAAAAGGAGCTATACTGTAGTCTGTGATGATTTAGGGTGCTGTGTCATCGCCTGGTGTTGGACCACTAAGTCCAAAGTTAACACAGCCATCTGAGCTTAGTGTAGAAATGATCATATTTTTCAAAAATTTGGGTTGAAGTTTCACGTTTGATACGTAATGGGTGTGGAACTTCAGGAGGTCTATCTTTTCGCATGACAAATATACAACTTTTTCATGATATTCTAATTCATTGAGATGCACCTGTATGTTAACACCTAAATTCCTCTTCTCCTCCCTGACAGAGATGTGGAGAAATTGGGATCACAGGTGAGGAAGTCAGCCCTGATCCAGCAGCAGTCCATCAAGACTGAATGGAAGCTGGCCAAGATTGCCTTTGTGGTCATCATAGTGTTTGTGCTTTCCTGGTCGCCCTATGCATGTGTCACTCTCATCGCCTGGGCTGGGTAAATATACAATGTGACAAGGCTCTTAATGCCATGATTTATTCTGACACTGTACTGCATTTTGATGTGGAGATTACATGAAAGTCCCTGACATTAAAGCATATAACATAAATGATGCTTGCCTGCCCTGCTGAACTCATTTCAGCCATCAACCATGAACCGCATCCCACTACTCGTATCTCTTGAGTACCATTGAATAAGGCATGATGGATTGTCATGGAAAAGGTCAACTGCTGGTGAAGGAACATAGCTTCTGTTTTAATAGACAGTTCCTCTTCTTACAAATGTCTGACACCTTTCAGATATGGAAGCATCCTTGACCCCTATTCCAAAGCAGTTCCTGCTGTTATCGCCAAAGCATCAGCCATCTATAACCCCTTCATCTATGCCATCATTCACTCTAAATACAGGTGAGCACAACCTCAAACTAATTGAGAATCTAAGCTTGAGAAGAAGGAGATTTTACCAAGAAGTGTTTTTTTTTTTTTTTCAACAGGGACACCCTTGCAGAAAAAGTCCCTTGTCTCTACTTTCTGGCCCAGGCCCCAAAGAGAGAGTGCATATCAGTGTCACAAAGCGAGTCCTCCTTCAGGGAATTGATGCTCAGCAGACAGTCATCAGTGTCCATAACCAAGTTTCACAGAGTTTCCTCCATGTCCACGACCGAAACAGTAAGCAGAGCTTTTGAACTACCTCACAGAAATCAAATGCAAGGACATTTTATTAACAAGTATTTATTCAAACCAAGAGCTTGTTGATTTAATGTTAAGGTAGAAGATGGAATCAGCCATTTTTGACAATTCAAGCTTCAGCATATGAACATAGATTTCATATTTCTGGCTTTAGAAGAACTTAAAATATAAAAAAAATGTAGGTACTATGTTTTTTATATGCAGTTGGATTGATCATGTCTGCTGTGATATCAGATTCTACGTTCTCACGCACAGTCTGCGAAACAAGTCCTGAAAATGACTCACAATTATAGATTCATACCTGACTATATGCATCTATCCTTTATAGCAGATTTGGAGTGATGTAGAGCTGGATCCCATTGGCCACAGTCTGAGGTCCAGCAATTCCCTCGGAGCTCTGAGGGACAAAGAGTACAGCACATTGGCAAAGAAACCCAATCAAAAGGGAGGCCAAAGCATGGAACAGGTAAGGTAGGTGCTCTCCATTACATGTATTTAACTGATTCAATAATATTGGAGTTAAAGGCATTAAAAGCGTGTGTCATGTCATGTACCAAACTTAAAAAAACAACAACTTCTGTTCAAGACTACCATCTCAGAGCACAGCTCATTGAAAAGAAGAGACCACGTCCTGACTGTGAACACAGGGAAGCCCTCAACATGGGGGGCCAGAAAGGAAGAGGATCCCAAAAGCTGGAATAAAGAAACAGAAGTGGACTTCAAAAACCAGCAAGGGAGAGATGAATCTGAACAAACAGAGATACAGCAGATGCACAAGGAGAGAGATAAGAAGGACACAGAGATCCTCATCAGGCCAGACACTCTGGATAATACTATGCGAGTGAACTCCACTGCTATTATCAGACCCAACACCAAGAAAGGCTGTACGGACTATAGCTACAGTGAAGAAAAACATAGCAAAAAGAAGGAGCTGTTGCTCGATTTGCAGCCTCTTGACTGTCCTGCTCAGTTATTTGAGTCTGTGCAAAGATTTCTTTCTCCAACTCCAAGGAGCTAAATGTTCAATATGTATTATTTATCTTTGAAGCTACATGTTTCTGTGACACAACAGAGTGAAAAAGTTTGTTTTCCGTCTAAGACTGCTGCTGTTTTTATAAAGCTTTTAAAACTTTGATTTCAACTGTTTCGCCATGCACAGAAACCAGATACATACATACATACATTATGAATTACATGCAACAATCCTAACACACATGCACACGCTGTTATACAAAATGATGCTAAATGGTAATTGGACTGTGCTTATATAGCGCTTTCTCTGATCTTCTGACCACTCAGGGTGCTTTTACACTAGAGCACTTATGGAAGAGGCTGCTTTGTAAGGCACTCATCAGTATTATCCCATTCATACAACACTGGGCGCAATTGGCAGGAGGTCTGGGGTCAACAAGAGCCCAAGGACACTTCAACATATAGACAGTGGGACCTGGGATCGAACATCTGACAGTGACTTTATCACTGAGCCACAGCCACCACAGCTACTGTTTTTGTTCAATGCAATTCCTTGTTACTTTACCATTTCTTTTCAAGACAGAGAACCATAGAAGCCCTGGGAAGACATAAATCCATAAATTTGATTGACTCTGTTTTTTCCATAATAAATAATTTCTAGTTGTTTTCTCAAAAGCTCCAAGTTTTTTTAAGTTATATTTTGGGGAATTCTCGCCGTTATTTGGCTGAACAGCTGAAGAGAGACGGGAAAGGCGAAGAGTTGAGAGTGGGGGTAGATATGCAGCAAGGGGTCATGACAAGGAATAAAACCAGGAGACCACAGCAACAAGGACTCTAGCCTCTGTGTATGGGGGTGCTAATACTGCCACTGCTGGCAACTACAACATAACCCACCTGTCAGGTAATTTTTTGGTGTTTTAAATATGCAAATTTACAAACAAGTCTTAATCTTTTTCTACGTCAACAGATGTGTTATAGAAAATGGCTCCCTGTAACAAATAAAGACATGAATCAAAACCAAACCAGGCAGTAAAAATGTGTCATTTTGCTGTCCAAATTGACATTTTGACATAAGACCTAAAGGGAAATCTGTTCTTGGTCCAAGCCAGCCCCAAGTGGACACTCCAGGAACTGCAGTTTCTTGTACTTTCTTGACTACTTTGTCTTTAATTTCCAAACCTGGAGATTGCCACTTGGTGAAAATTGGAAAATGAAGGAAATGAATGCCTGAATGCTTGTTTGTGTGAAGCTTTCACTGAAAAAAGACCATGAATCAACCTAATACAGTCCAGTCAGGTCTATCATTAACTTGCTGTAAAGAGACCAAAGATAGTCTTTCTTCATGTTCCTTTTTCATTTTTGTGTGGAGGCAGATTTTATTTATCTGTTTACCTTGTAACTAAGGCTTCCTGCCTTGTTTATATAAATATCACTGTGGCACCATGTATGACGCTGATAAGAAAGTTGACATTATGTTCTGTATCACGAGCTCAGGCACTTTAAGTTACATAAAAGACTTTCATTCACTGCACTTTTAACATGGTTTAATATTTCTACTGAGCATTTTCCAAGTATGAAAGAGCCACTGTGTATGAATGCTTCCAGACTTTGTACATTATAAAGACACTTTATCCTTGATTATTTGTTTGTCATCATCTGTTAAAATACTCTCTGCAAATGTAACTGTTACCTATACATAGTCTCTATGGAGCTGCAGCACTTTTTTGTAACTTCATTTCTTGTTACATTCAGTATTTTTTGCCCTTGGTGCTACATTTTTTCAATGCAGATAAGTAAATTATGTCTCTTTGTTTTCAAATTAAATTCAGCTACTTCTATGGTGCTCAAGATTTCCTTTGACTTCTATTTCTGTTTTACTACTTCAAAGTACTGTGTCTTTATTGCAAACTGCAGCTATCGTATCCTCCTGATTTCATTGTGTTAAGAAGGATTTTGATCAACATCAGGACACTAAAACTATGATAGAAGCTGTTATACATAAGCAGCTGAATTATGCCCAAAGCCTTCCAAAGGTATGACCGTAACTCAGACGTCCTGTTGAAAAGCAAATGGAGATTAATATATTTTCAACTTGTTCAATCCCGCAGGTCACATTTATTTTGTAAGTGCTTGTCAGCATGTTGGCTCATATTAAAATTGAGGGAAAAGAAACAAAGAGTTAAGAGAAAGATATGGAAAAAAAAGAAAAAGAAATAAATCTAGGCTAACAGATGTCCCACACTGGATTTAAAAACCAGGACGCACTGCACATCTGAGCCACGACCAAACTCCATTAATAATATGGATCTGTTGAATGTACAGCTGTAGAGGCACTGGAGGGAGTTTTCTGTTCTACTTTCTACATCCTATATCATTATATTCTCATGGGGTAACATTGATCTATAGTGAAACTTTAAAGTGTCCTCTTCCTTCAAATTCACGCTGCCTGAAACCCTCCGTCTGATCCGTCTTTGAACTTTAATTCCAAGATAAGAGCATTTCTTATCCAGTTATATAAAGATGAGCTGAGGGTACGCAATTCAGACTTACGTAAAGAACTCACACACTTCAGCAGTTCAATAGCACAGAGAGGGATTTGCCTTTGGGCTTCCCGTCAGTTTATAACCATTTATTGACATGGCACACATGGGGCTGAAAGAAAACCTATGGAGAGGTGGTGCAGCAGAATGAAAACAACTAATGATACCTATATTATCATGCTGTCTGTAGCAATTCAATGGTAATCTAACCAACAGGCCCTGCTGTTTAGAATAAAATACATCAGTGTGTTTTAACAAAAACACTACTGTAAAAAATAAGCCGAAGCTAAAATAGATGGTAATGTTTATCACTACACAGGCAAAGCATGACACCCTTCACCTTTGGTAAAAAAAAACAACCCTGAAACAGTAATCACACATTCCTGACCTATTTAAAACTGATGGATTAAGGGCAGGGTATTAAAAAACACATACCACCAAATATGGGGTAGACGCTGGCAATGGAGGTAGAAGTTTCAGGTCAGCCACAATAGTAGCAGAGAATAACCTCAATGTTTAAAAGTATTTCTGAACTTCAAAAAACATTTAGAAACTAACTGACATTTGTTTGGCCAGTGTTGTCATGCCAGTGTAAGACTATTGGAGATATATCTGTTCAGTGTAAATCTTTTCCAACATGTCTGATGCAGAAAACAAACCTGGGAGTTAATGTAAAAAACGGAGTCAAACAGTTTGCCTTGATTGTCCAAATTACAATAAAGTTAATAATGTTGGCAAATACTCTTTTAACATGTTGTTTGTTTACAAAAGGTGCACAGTACCTTTAAATAGTTAAACCGGATTAGGATAGTTATACTGTCCTAATATACTGTGACTTTTGAGTGGTTACTATCTATCTGCGTAATTTGAAAATGTTGGTCTTGTGTTTGTGTAAAAGAAAATTAATTTTTAAAAAACATTATTAAGAAATGCACCTGAATCTTAATTTTTAAAAGCTGATAAGTTTCATTGTTCTCTATACCAAGTTAGGCAGCCATGTGCAAACTCTGACTTTAAAAACTAATAGAGGGTAATTAGCAGTGACTTGTTTGATTTGTTCTTACAGTTATATTTCTTTTAATTAAAACTTTGATATTTAGAAATTACACCCTTCAATTTTTTTTCTTTTTTTTTGTTGGCTTTCTGAAAACCTCAGCCTCAGGCTTGATGCCATGTTGTGGTAGACAAGAAACATGTCAACAAGATGAGTGACAAATTCTTATTTTATGAACCTTCCCACTTGTCTGTAAGGGCAGGGTTCTCTATTTACTTCATATCCACAGGCCACAAATTGCACAGTGGTTTTAAATCCAGATTACACATGTAGGCTGTGAAGCATGTACTTCCCTCTTGCTGAACACTAGAGGGCATGCAAACACAGCTCCACCAAATCTGGGTTAACGCTGACCCCTGCTTCACTGATATACAAGAGTAGACCTAAAAAATACATGAAAACTATGAGCAGTAAATCTTAATGTGTTGCAAAAGGCTTTACTCACCGATGCACATGAAGCTGAGTTTAAAACTGAACTTCTCTAGAAAAATAAATTTAGATGGAAATTAAAACCTGCTGTGTATATAATTTAATGGAGGGGAGAGTGGGGTAAGATGAGCCATTTTTCATATTTCGGATCACTCAAGGCAATCCTAGTTTTCTTGCTAACTAGTGTATCTGCATATTTCAAGATGTTGTTCATCCCTGCAAACCAACAGAATGAGTGTCAAAATAACTGTCTTGATAATATAGCATGACGAAAATTAGTGGTCTCCTATGGTCAACTTAACCTGTGTATGGGGTAAGTTGACCATAAGAGTGGGGTAAGTTAAGCTATATCCCTACTACTAATAATTCTTTTTATTATTATTGCATATAACTGCTAAATAGCTGTTTTGTAAAAAGCCATTTTAACATGAGAATGTCTTTAAGTGATTCAGAACATTCACAGCTGTATTTCTGAAAAGAAAAAGTAACACATTTCAACAATCTGAACTGAAACTCTGATCCTCTCATCAGACTCCTTTACTTTCTCGGTCGAGCCACTGGCTCAACTTACCCCAGAACTACTATGATGACTTTATTAGTCCTCGAAGCTAAAATGGTGGACTTTTATGCTAGGTTTTTTACCTCAAGTTGTAGCTCATAGATACCACAATTGATGTATAAAACAAATTTAAAATGATCTTTTTGGTCTGAACACAATTCTAATAAAACTTATTACAGACTAAATTCACTTTCAAGAGTGAAAAATGTTTTCTTGGAAATAAATGTCTAACCCCTTCACCCATGTGCTTCTAACCTTCACAGACTCCATGAATTGATGCCCATCTCCCTTTGACACAACCTACCCCACTCTCCCCTATAAATCTCTTGACACATGATTTGATACCTCTAAAAACCTCTTTATGTTTCAGGTCATTACAGTTTAGAACAGAGATTAAAATGTGGAAAATAAAAAAGTGTTTATATTTGGTGATAAAAAGTTAGGGCAAGTCATTTTACTGTCATTCCTAATTTATGCGAACACTTGGAGGAGATGTCAGACTAGCCTGTGTTTATGGCAGGAATCCGCTCGTTAAAAGTGTCAGCAATTACAACCGGATTTTGTCTGGGTTACCGTCTCCCTCGACGGACCTGACTTGGTTTTTCAACTTCGTCCAAGTTAGACGCTTTAAGGGCCTGCTCCATTATAACTCACCTGAACTTCCTCACCTTGTGGCAAGCTCGTGCCTGCCTCTGTGCTGCCGTCAGTCGACTCCACACGCGGAACTGTGAGCCCTCCTACCCGCAGCCAGATGGGGCTGGCTCATACGCGGAAGTCTCAGTTCCGCTCAGTCCAGTTCACTTCGAAACTGAGAGCACACGGACTAAAGTCACGCTTTCCCTGAGCAGCAGACCCGGCTTCACAAGGCAAGGTGAGACAACTTCTGAACTTTTTTAATCTTTGAGAAATTTACACAGGAAGAACGAGAGACTTTTTCGCCTCATTTTCTCCTGTTTTCTTTTATGACACCGTTATTAAGTTACTTTTTAAAGAGCAGAACCGTATTGAAATAGGTCAGTGCTGCAAGTTTAAAACTTTCAGTAAATCCAGTTTTATTCTGCTCCCAACACATTATTTTATTCCCCTAACTTCAAGAATCATCTGGTATCTCAGTTTCAGACTCCATCAGGACAGAGCATTTGAAATGTTAGACATGTGTCACACCCACTGACAAATTAAGGTTCAGTGAGAAAAACAAACTCGGTAGTTTATCACCGGCGCTACTCCACGGAGACACCCGAGTGAGCACGAGCTGTGCTTACCTGGAAATGAACCCTAGTCGCTTTATGATATTAAATCATATAACCTGAGATTAAAAAAAAAAAAAAGCTTTTTCATTTAGACTTTTGAAAGTTAGTCTCTATGAATTCAGTCTATCATATGATAAAAGAGCAAAGGGGTTTTCTGAACAACTTGTGTCCCAAACAAGTTGTCTCCATGACTGACTGAATGATAAAAATGGACAAATGTGACTGTCAAATGCAGCTTAGTATGAAAGAAATATCTATATCTATATAATAAGTATTATTTAAAATGCTATATTTGCATGCACTCTTGCGACAGTACATTGTGAAAACATTCTCCACTCTTTGAGTCAACATATCCTGCAATGATGTCACCTGGCAACACTGTCCCCAAGCATTGTGAAAGCAGCATAACGGCCGAAACTCCAGAGATCTGAATAATACACTTTGTGTTCAGTAGTTTGTAGACATTTCCTGACCGATACTGAAGGAGGACTTTCAGGGAACATGACTGAGCACAGTTGTAGGTAAACACCCATTCACACACTCTCTCTGGATTGGGTCATAGAGGTCAAAGTAGAGAATGGGACTTACGTTTAAATATACAGATATGTGTTTGATTTATGATTTGTGGAGCTCTTGTGCTGTTTGGGTACTTTTTTAATTTAACAGAAGTTTCATTAATCAAAGTATAACAATGAATTAAAGTATACAGAGCTATGTAAATGAATAAAAAGTCAAGGATATTTCAGTGTGTCTAAGACAAGCACATGACATGACTCTAAATTAGATCGTGTTTAAATGAGCGAGATCATTGATACCTCTGCCAGCAGGTCCCCGTTGTGCTGTGCTGAAAGAATCATGTTTTAATCTCCTCTATGGTGTGAAAGTGATGAAATCTGCAGCACATTTAAGTGCCATTATGTGACAGGAACTTAAAAGATAAGGCTGGTGTGGAAAATAACCAGAGCGAATAGTGCTACTAGCTGAGTGAAGTTTTGATGTGGGTGCTGCTTGTAAAATGCTTGTGCACAGCTCAACGGTTTGCCTCTTGTTTGGGAACATTAAAGGTGTGTCTCCTCACGTCTGTGCATGATATCATTAGAGATTACACAACAAGCAGAGACATGACATGAGCTGAAGGTTTCCGCTCTCCATACTCCATATTAGGAAGAGAAATGCTGATATGAGAGACGAGTGTGACTCAGCTTCAAAATCTGTGTTTTAGGCATCTTTTACTGTGAAGTCCCTGTTGGCTTTGAAATCCAACACTGAGAGAAGCTCGAGTGAACAAATGACATAGTTGTTAAAGAGCTATCTAATGGTGTGTTTTCCTCCAGGGTGGGTTTTTTTTTTCAAATGAGAGGTGTGTGTCCTCAAGCCGTGAACCTTGGTTCAAAGATCTTTGTTGAAAACTTGACGTATTTATGTCTACTCTGTCTTACCCCTTCAAGAAGATTAAGTGTTTGTCAGATTTCGTGGTTCAGAGGTGTCAGGTTGAGTGAAATGGCAAACAAATCTCGCAAAGGGGGGCTTTGTTGCTGAGTTCATTGTATTGTGTTCAGTATTTGTTTAAGTGGTGTTAAGCTGTCCAAAGTTGAGTCGACTAAAGAGATACATCTGTGTGGAAGACTTCTATCTAGGCACTTATTTAATCTTAAGTCACCTTGAAGGAAGAGACAGCTGCCTTCATTGCTTACTTATTATAGACCTGATTATTCCACATGTGTGCATGAGTGTATTAGCTTGATTTCAAAAGTGTGTGCTCTCCAGGTGTTAAAGTCCTCCTTATCACTTTCACACATTATTCTATTCCTCTCCACATGCTCTTTTGTGGCTCCTTAAAAGTGACGGCACCCTTTTAGGCCTGGTGCTGAAACAGATAAACCAACCCTCTGATTTTGACGCGTGTCTCTCTTAGAGCTGACCAGGTGACGGGTTAGAGCAGGTGGTGCTGTGACGGCAGCATGACTTACAACCTCAAAATGACATGCCTCGGAGAAGACAAGGCATTATTATTCATGAAATACTCATCAGAAAAGTATTTTCCCCCTGCAGCACAGCCCAGGCACACAAATGAATAAATGTATGCGCTTCTTTCACAGCTGCAGTAAAATATCATCTGCGTAATAGTTAAACACTCCTAAATTCACTCATACTTTCTTTACTATCATATCAAATTTTCTCAACAGATACACCAGATGACATTAAACGCATGTCTCATAAAGTTAGAGTCAGATTTATTTCTATTTCTCTCTTTTCTGCTGTATTATAATGATCTGTACATGACATTCAGTGATTATGGGTCAGTCTGTGATGTGATGTTTTCATGTCAACATACTCCCTTCCTGTTGTGGAGTCCAAAGGCGATATTTTTCCACATGATCTGCTTCATTTCTGACATTTTGAACTCACATACACACAGACAGATCCAGTCTGTGAACTAATAATCAGACCAGACTCAAAAGAAAGCCACATCTGCCAGTGTGGTATACTAATTTTCTCGCCAAACTCAATAAATTTAATCATGCACTTAAAATATAACATGATTGCACTTAACCTCAGCCTCACTTTCGATAATAAGCCTGCAACTTCAATTTTTCAGGGGCAAAGGAATGCATGACAGACAGGGCTTAAACCAGTGAAACTCAATAAGCCATGAAATATTTTACACCGCACCAAATAGTCTTTGCTAAGTGGTTGGAAGTCTCTGGAAAAAAGACAGATGATTCTTGTGTCTCTCAGTGCCTAATATTCTCGCATCTGGTTTGTTCATTTATTCCCCTGTGTGCTGTACGACTGTGTGATTATAGTTTTCATTCTTGTTGCAAAAGCTCTGCTAATGTTTCAGGTGAGTTAGTATCTCTGAATTATCTCTTCTCTTAAAACACGAAAATGTAGTTTGTTGGATACCGTAGTCATAACAAAACTTTCACACTCTGTGGGTTCATTGAAAGGACATGGTGATGGCAGGTCCAAAGTTCAGCTTCAGAGTCACTGATCCAGTTTTTTTTCAAAGTAAACAAAAAGATAATCAGGACTATGGATTAATGTCAACCTCATTTCTTATTCAAAAGTGTGTCTTTTCATTCTTATTTCCCCCCCTAAATTTGACTTTGTGCTGTATTTAACATATTGCAATAAAGACCTTATTTTTCTCTCATCTTGACTCATCAGGAAATAATCCTCTTCAAAGAATATAACTGTACATTTCATGCCTCTTTACCCTGAAAGTTCAAATATTTTCTAAATGCCAGTCTTGGCTGCATGCTGTTTGTTTATTACTGCACAGGAAGACACCCAGTGTGTTTACATCCTCCTTTTCCTGTTATTCTCTTCCCCTCGTTCTTCCTCTTTCTTGTAGTCTATGATATCAGTGTGGTACTTGCCCCTTGTTTGGTTATATATTCCTGTAAATGTGGTTTCATGCACAACCAAGTGTAAAATAACTGCTCCTCTGTCCTCAGGTGAATCATGAGCAGCAGCTACAGCGTCACCCTGGCTGGCCCCGCCCCCTGGGGCTTCAGACTGCAAGGAGGGAAGGACTTCTGTCTGCCCCTCACCATCTCACGGGTTAGTCAAACACGCACATGCAGACAGAAACAAACACACGTCTCTTGCGTACCCTTTACTCCATGACAGTCACCTCTGAGGAATGCTGTCCGTGTTCACGATGCCATTTGCCTAGTAAGTGATGAAAGCGCGTGTGCCATTCATCGTCTGTGTCACACTCATTGCTGGATTTAGACACCTCGTGTAACAGTTCACGACCTCTGTCACTCAGCCCCCTCAGCGGTCTTGACCTCCCCCTGTCAAGGCTGTGACTACTGTCAAAATAATGTTACATAACTGAACCAAAATATCCAACAAATTAAAAAAAACTCAGCTGGACTCCTCTGACGGCCTTTTGGGATGTGTTTCTAGGATTAGTTTGAAACCTGTTAACGGCTTCTGTCATTTCGGTCATTCAGATGAGGGATAGTGCTAAGTGTCCTGGCCTTTCTCGCTGGCTTTAGCCTTGATGTGAGGCACAGGAGACTTTTATATTCCTGGTCTGCTGCGCAACCATAGAAAACCATCCTGAAAATGTCCATCTGGCTGAGACTCTGGAAAGCCAGTGGTCTGCAATAACTATTTGTGACTTCGGGCCATGTAAAACTTGACTTTTACACTGGCTGACCAGGTTTTGTTAAACTCTTAGATGAAAGAAGGAGTCGGGGTGGGACTACAGTTTGAAAACAGCCTGTTTATAAGACAGATTCAGCCTCAGCCTAAACATAGCAACCCTGTTTATGTTCATGGTGTAAGGCCCTTCTGTGCAAACACTGTGATTGCTGCACAATAAACAAAAAGTTCAAAGTGCAGCCTGATGGAAGTCTGTGAAGTGGCTCGCTTTTTCAACTTTAGGGACGTCTAAAAAGTCACAGTCCTACTCAAAACTTTCCTGTCAGATTTGATTAAAAATTGGATATTTGTCCTCTGCAAGTTTTCTGTGAAGACGAGGGCCTTCAGCCAGTTTAAGGGTGAGGAGTTCACTCAAGTGTTGACCTGGAAATTAGCAAAAAACAAAAGCTAGAATAGGATCAATATAGCTTTCTTTTCTAATGGTGTAATTGGTATATGGTATAGAAATGGACGACATCCTTGTCCTGTTATAAAAAGTGAAGCCAAACCAACCCAGGTGGTGGGCAATGACACATTACATTGGAGGTGTTTTTTGAGCCGGAGTATGTGCAGTAGGTATCAGCTGGTGGGGCCTCTATACACCTTGGAAAGCTCACTTCAGATCAGCATGTGGTGTCCAGGAGTTATACCCCTTTCATATTTCATTCAGGTTATTGTGGATCCTTCTTTCAAGAACCATATAAAATATAACTTTTCTCCACTATTGTGTATAAAAAAAGCAAAATGGGTTCTTGAGCATCTTAGCCCCTTAAAACTTCAATTCAACTGGAAAAAGAAGAGGGAATAATTTTCAAATGGAGTCTTGCGCAGTTTTCTACAAGGACCCTGAGTGTGCCAAGTGTCCCAATAAAACAAATCGTTCTTTTCGTCAAACAGGATTATAAATAGGAAGCCTGTCCTCTATCAGTCAAGCCTGTGCTTTGACAACAACTCTGAGTGCGGCAGAATGAGCCGTGTTTTTTCACTTCCTGCTGCTTCCTGTTATGTAATTGTAATCTTAATGTCACGGCCAAGGTCAGTGACTCTGTTTATTTGTTGTGGGCAGGATCACTTACAGAACTGTGAAAGCTACGTGTGGAGAGGAAGAGTGCCTTTTCTCAAGTGGAAACATGATCCGCTTTAACAGTACGAAAGGTTAGAGGAGCTGTCCAGACTATTTTTATGCCCTGCCACTATGATAATAATGGAACGCGGGACATTGTGTTGTCATAGTGGCATGTAGCTGTCAGAAGACATCTTAACATCTTATTTTAAACACAATACATAGAAACACACTTTATTATCTTATCAAAAACTGTTGATGTTCTCTTTTTAATGAGGTTTAAGAATTCAAGGCTTTCCACGATCAGCATCAAATTGGCTGTTTGCCTCTGTTGCCCTTTCAAGTTTGGCATCAGCCATTAAAAACACACACAAGGCCAACATCTGCTTAGTATACCTCTCTATTTTCAACAGCTGAGTAACTTTTCACTTGGACTTCTAAAGCGAAGGTGTCCCAACCATAATTCATCATGAATTTGCTCCAACATTTACTTCACAAGAGGTGTAACATTTGGATTGGGGATATGATTGGTCACTATATAAACTCTTTAAAAACTTAAGGAACAAAAGAAAAGCATGTGGGCATCTGTGCCGTCTGTGATAAGTCACGTCCTGAGAGTCAAGGCAGGTGGGTTCAAAGAGGCCACAAACCACATGAAAGCTTTGAATCTGTTGAAATCCCAAGCTCTAGTAATGTGGTACTTTTGATCACTTCTTCATATTTTTGTGGGCTATCGTGGCAGAAAGCTACAGACCATAAATGTTTTGAGTATCCCCTCTGTCCTGTGTTGAGTCATCGGTGGTCTGGTGTGCGCCACAGTACTGCTGAGCCAGGCAACGCAGCACTCACGGCTGTTCATTCCATCACACTTGTTGGTTAGTTTCATTCCTGTGACATATTTTCATCCCAGTACATCACAGTGAGAAAACGTCACAGACTTCTTGTTATTGTCCTAGCACCACTGTCTCCTAATCCATCCACAGACACGTTTACAGGCGACGTAAATCAGGGTGGAGAAGTGCTCTTTAATGTGAAGCAATGCTGAATGACGGATCCACCAGTTCTCTGGTAAAGCTGGTGGTTTCAAAACTTTCTCTACAGGGCCCCCCTTAGTAGATGAAAATATTTTCAATCCCTCACTCCCCCTCACCATACACATCAACACATTATCCATTTACAGTAAAACACTACCAGACGTGCCCTTTGTGAACAATTTCCTGTATCTTTAAAATTGATTGAAACACTGCAAAAAAAAAAACATCCTTTTATCCATTTACAAAATTTGGCATGCTTCTCTGGCGGTGCAGAACTGGACCCCTCCAAGGAATTCCGTCCCCCCCAGTTTGGGAATATCTAGTATGAGCAGTTGTCTATGATTCCTGAATCTTGTTTTGAATTAAAGGAGCAAATTTATTCACGAAGCAAAAACTGAACAGACGGAGCATATATGGAAACACTTTCACCATCACTTAAGCTTCTTGATTTGAGAATAATGCAGACTACAGACCTGTTTTAAGGCTCATTTGAGACCAACGATGATAAATAGGCACAATTTGCAGTGAATTAAATGCATCTGTTGCTTTCACTCTAAGGCATATGTATTTTATATATATTTTTTTGCTTAGATGGTTGCAATTACCATAGAATAATGATGTAATGACTCTACTTATTTTTCCCATATGTAACTGATCCTAAGATTACATGCTGCACTGTACAGTATATGAGGCTGGTTGCTTACAAGACAACCACAGCGTATTATCCTATAGTTTTTTGATGGTATGATCAGTGTTGACCCTGTAATAACGCTGAATAAAAGTATAGGATGGATTTCATACTAAATCAATCAGTCTTTACTTTGAAAATCTTACAGAATAAAGGAGCAAAATTTGCCTCATTTTAACTGTTTGTACTGCAGGAATATATAAGAACAGAGAAAAACTACTTTGATCTGTATTCATGTATTTAACACAATCACACTCTGAACAATGCAGCTGCTAAAAGTAAGACCACCCAATACTTTAAGGGTGACATATGGAGGAAAGGCCTAGTTATGTACATAATGTGTGGGGGTGTATGTGTTCCTGTTCCCCCAGACTCTTTCCGCCCTCATCGTCTGTGGTTATCCAAGCTCCTTTTTTGGCATTTCTTGATGAGCTTTACATGAGAACGACCATCACTCACAATGTTTTTTGTGCTGCTTATGAAGGAATGGAAAATATCTACCCAAAAGACATAACACCAGAGTAAATTATATCAATTTATGCTCAGAGGATTAAGATGAACAGTTAGGTCATAAATTCACTTCACTGTTATTTTTAAGAATTATGTAAGACTTATTAACAGAAATAAGAGTAACTCTCACTTATCTACATGTCTGGTCAGTTTGGGGTCAATTTCCCCCTCTTTTCCCATTGACCCCTAACCCCGCCCCCTCCTGCTTTTCTCTGGCGTCTTTTGGTTGTTGTTTTAGTGACATGTGATACTCTGAGTAAACTTTGTGCAAACTAATTTTAGCTCTGTGTTTGCAGTCGGCTCCGAGCTTAGGGATTTGTTCTACCTCGAGCACCTCCTTTATGTGTTAATATGGTGAAGCTACTTTCACTCTCAAAGAAAGAGGAATGTGATGATGTAGTGTATCTGGGCAACCCACATCAACATTAGGAGTGAGAGGCATTCATTGTGCTTTTTATTAAGAAAAACAGGGTGTAGTAGAACCAGACAGCCTGTTTTGACTACTTAAGTATACAGCTGTACAGTGATAGTGTTTATAGTTTACAGATATATCAGTTGATGATTCATTGGCAGAAAAGTGAGGCAGTAACAGCTTAATGAAAATGATGATTGATCAGAGCCTGCCAATTGGCCAAAACCCAAGCCGAGCCAAACTGAGCAGGTTCCTTTGAGAAACCAAAACAGCTGGAGTTGATTTTGGAAGTTTTGTGAATTAAATTTGGTTTGAAACACCCTGATGTGTGCTCTTTGATGTGCCTGTAAACATATCCTTTACCTAGTAGTTTTCTTCTTCTTTCTGTAAATGTTGTGACGTTTTAAATTGAGCCCGTACTGAATTTGAAAGGTTGACAGAAAGTTCAATTTCTTCTCTAAACTCTAGTCTAAAAAGATTTTTTCTAGCTCCATTTGTTGAGCAACTGAATAAACTTAGGTGGTGTCCAGCTTCCAAAAATTTGCAGTGTAGACTCTTTGGATGGTAATGACATGAAAAGACTGTAATTACACTGGTGTCTCCATATGAGCTACAAAAGAAAACCAGACAAACAGCATCGAGATCAATCTTTGATGGACCTTAGGCCTTTTGTTTGTTGGTATCAGACTACATTCAGGGCTGCCAAGTTTCAGAAAATGACAAGGGTGAGACTTTAGCGTCATGATGTGTTTGGCGGTGGCAAAAATATTGGCTTTTTTAGCGTCGATTTATACCTCAAGACTGATGTCCTCACCTCCATCCACCTATCATCCATCTTCGGGAGAGCAGAAGAATGTTGAGTGGGTTTTAAATGTCAGGGCTGTTGTGTGTGAAAGATAGAAACGCCAAGACCTGCCTTACATTGCATCTGATTGGTTTATATTCCGTGGTGCCTTCTGTGGTTGGTTAGGTTTAGGCACACAGGACTGATGGATTGGTCTGGGATTGGTTATCTCAGTCAGTCAATCAGAGTTACTCAAACTACGGCAAGCCAAGTTTATCATCATGAAAAAAAAAAAATGCAGAGTATTGCATGGGGAAATATAAGCGTGAGAAATGTCAAGTGTGGCGTGTGGTGTGAGAATGGGTCAAATTGCGTGACTGTCACACACAAAGCATGACGCTCGGCAGCTCTGCTATATACATCGTAAAAAATGCCTTTCTTCACTGTCATCCCTGTAAAGAATCACAGTAATGTGAATAAACATCACTTAAAGTGATTTTAAAGTCACAGAAAGAGTTGGAATATAAACCTTAAGTTTTGCCAAAGTTCAGATGTGCTTCCGTGATTTAGGCCATTCGTTGTAAGGTTGTCATTAAACTCAACCAGAACTGTTTAAACAAAGCTTTTCCCCCCTTCTGGTGTTCAAATGAAACCACATATGATGAATATTATCGTAGGCCTTTTGTCTCGTCAAATCATGTTGTCCAATGACAAAATCTCCGCCATCAGCCAGTCTGCACGTTTTCACCGGCACCAAACAGGAAGCTGCAAGCTAGCAAAACAAACATGACAGGGAGGTGAAAGAACGAGCTGTACTCTTGTGCTGTAGAAAGGAGGGAAAACTGTTGTACTTGTGGAGTGAACAATAAAGCTTTTATGTCAGAATAGCGCTGAAAAATGTGGACAGCAACTGACCAAAGCTTGCTAGCTAACTATAGCGCCCTAGCTGTTCCTAGCAAGCTAGCTAACCACTGTTTTAAGTGGCAGCAGGAATCCAGTTGAACTCTTGTTCGTGACCCAATTTTTGCAAAACTTAGTCAGTTTTTGTGAAGTTTTTCCAAAATCTTTCTCTGTAAGAAGTTGTAGGTAATATGTTTGACTGTAACCTGTGAGCAAGAAAATTTGTATCACCAATAAAACACCAACAATGAATGAACAAGTAGATCAGCAAAGGGTGAAAAGTTACCACAGCTGGTGCCAAATTCCACTCAGATTTAAAGGTCTTCACAGTCGGTGTAAAACAACTGAAATGACGAATGAGTTTCATCTGTTTTCTCAGGTTGTTGAGTATTAAAAGATAATATTTTGTGATAGTAAATGCTGGAGTACAAGTAAAGACGCCCTGCTGTTTGTGGAAACCTGTCTCTTGTATTTCGCCATTGATTTACTCTCAATACAGAAAGTAGTTTATATCTTGCGAAGCTCATCGGATAAAGAATAATCCGTCTTGCCTCTTCTGACATTGAGCTGTAACTTTAAGTTCAGTTCACGTCCAGAAAAAATAAACTCAAGCAGTGAGAAATTCCCCTGGCATTTCAGGAAACCTTTAAGACGGATAGTTTGCGGTCTAGGCCGCATAGCTGCCAAACAGATTGTGTGTAATTCTTTTATCTGTCTCTTGTCTTAAAATCTCCAGAGCGTTCATACACGGAAACTAGAATTTAATAAAACCATTTTAATCTCTCCAATATTTCACTGCTTTAGATTTTTAGACTTTCACACGATATACTTAGTAATATGGGATTCATGCAGGGTCCTGAAGATGTGTTCAGGTTACATATGGTCTTAGTAGATAACTGCAGTATGTGTTTGATCCCAGTTTCATCTCCCTGGTGTCTGTCTGACATTATATTGAAGGCATCTGCTTTCAATCTTCCTGATGCTGTATGGCAGAGCTATAAAGAATAACAGAGCTGTCACTTTTTGATTTAGATCAAGAGCGCTGGTTTCTTTTTTTCCTTGTGATAAAAGATATTTAAAGGAATAATACACGTGATTTAAACACCCAATATGCTCTGCACTGAGGTTCACTCCGTGCCAATCTTTTCCAGGTTGGATTACATCTTAAATTTATGGCTGTGCCCATCATTTAGCAAATCATATAGAGACAGGAGAAGGTCAAGGCTCAGACTGTAGTATACGTGATAATATTTAGAGTGATCCTCTGATCCACCACTATGCACTTGGCAACAGTAGCATGAAAACTTTCTTCCTTAGCACTTCCTCTTATCAGGCAGAAACCATAAGCAGAGCCAAACACATTGACTGGCAGCTGTCTGCCCCAATTCAATGAGTTGAGAAAGTAGAAAAGAGAGAAATCTCTCCACCACTGATAGGCTGATTGTTTTATGACAGACTTTTTATAATGAAAAGCACAGGAAAGTGCAGATTTGTAGATTGTAGTACAGCATTGATGCAGTTGAAGTCTTGTTTATGCTACAAGCTTATGGTGCCAGTTTCGGCTCCAATCTGTTGTCCATTGGCACATCATTTTCTACTCCGTCTTCCTTGTTTTCTACTCCACTGTCCTTTCCTCAATAAAGGTGTGAAAAGGCCAAATGGAAACTGGTTTAATGCAGTTGATTAGATAAAACTGGTCTAGTATTCTGGTGGTTCTCTGAAGTCATGTGGTTGAACCTGAATTTTGATGTGATACATTGTGACAGTCGAGAAATCACTGTACCTTCTGTTACTTTAAAAAAGTCTTTTTCAAAATAATTGATAAAGTATCTTTCAAAATAGAGTTTCGAGGAGTTATTAAAACACTGCACAAACAGAGATAGACTGAAACAAACTGACAGCCATAAAACCAGACACATTCTCACACATCACCTCCACTTGTTTCTCAAGGGTTGTTATGAAGCCCAAAGATGGTGCTTGCCATTTGGAAAGCAGACTCCAGCTAACTTGTAGCTAGGCTAGAAGCTTGTGAAGAGGTGGGGTTGAGGCATTGGCCTTGCTGCATGGAAACAGCTACAGTGCCAGGAATTATGCTTGACTCCTAGCCATAACTATCAAAACATTGGTTCTTCGTGACACTAAAGACTGTTGTACACCCATTTACACATGAGCCATCCAGAATGAGCTGCCGTCAAACCAGTAGATGAAACTACATCATCAAACTTTATTCAAAATCATGAATGGAGACAAAAAACAGCAGTTGCACTTGACTCAAAACCCCACCATGGCTACCAGCCTTTTCATATCATCTGCGTCAGCAGTGCCAGTCAGCCTGGTTTGTTTCTAACCTGACTAAGGAGCATTCAGTATTCAGTACAGGATTGGCACCGCTTTGTGCTGTTTTGTTTGTGTTGTCATGGCGACTTGACTGAGAGCTTCGTATGTAGGTCTGCCTGGAATCTCGTGTTTTCCAGCAGCCTCATTGATGTAGAAAGAGTCCAGGGTTAAACCATGACAACCACGGGTTTACCTCTACTCAAGTGGCCTTAATTGCAATGTTTGGCTCAGAGGAAAAGAGCCCTTGCTTTTTTGTCCACTCCCAGCATCTGTAAGGGTGCATTGCTGGCCTTCTCTTCACCTCTCTACTGTTTAACAAGTTTGTGCAAGGTGTTGCAGGTGCATAGCAGGATTCTCCTCACAGTAATGTGCACTCAGTGGATTCTGCTTGTGTTACCTGGACTAATTCACCCCAGAGTTTCTGCAGGGTAGACTAATTTTCTTTTTGATGAGCTTTACAGGTGGAACGCAGGAACCACAGTCCTTCCTGTAAGGAAAACTTCATACTGCATGATGAGCTCTAAAATTAAGAGACAGCATTCTGAAGTCCTCCTCCAGATTTTCAGGCATGTTGGATTCATTACAACAAAACCAACAAACAAAACCCCAGTCTTGTAAAACACCAACTGTTACTCATGAAGTTGTCCAGCTTCATAATTACACAGTCAGAGTCAGTCAATCTTCATCTTTGTGTGCGATGACATAATATTAGGCCCAAGTCTTTTCCATATAAGGTCCGGTGTCTATGCCTCTGCCCTACAGACATGACATGCATCTCACAGGCCTTCAGTTCTCGCCACAAGACACTTCCTGTAACATGACTTCTGAAATGTGAAAAGACCACAGCCCTTTTCCCTTCTCCAGAAGAATTCCACTGAAGGCAGGAAGTTACACACCAGCAAAGAGGATGATTAGCATCCCATCAGTGCTTTAATGAGCTACCCTTCCTTAAATATGTCTGGCTTTAGAGTCTCAAATTAAAAGTACTGTATATTTCACCTATAAAGGTTTTTGCATTGAATTTCAATTGTTGAACTAAACTCTATGAATCAGTGGTTCGTATAAAACAGAAATCATCTGCTACTGATTATTGCCACTGAATTGGGAGTTTTAGCTGCAGCTTATGATCTCAGCATGATAGACATCTAGCTGAATACAAAGCTAAGGTCTGTTTTCTCTACAAACAGAGTTTCTGCGCCCAGTTTTCCCCAATAATGAAACCTCTTGAACTATTTATTGTTCTTCAGTCATTTACATCCCCATTCAGGATCAGCAGATGACTCAAAGTTATTTATTCACATACATTAATATATTTGATTATGGCTGCATGGATCAAAACATATCCGCATCATTATTCTAGGCTCTCCCTCTCCTTTTCGAATAGCCTTATCCAAAAAACGTTTAAATTTCTTATTAGTGTTTTATAGTCTACCTTTCTGCAAAGACATCTGTACACAAATGAGGTGGTTTTCTCTGCATTAATCTCCCAATCTCAAGTATCATATAAGTTTTTCTACAAGCCCTCAGGTTGATCTGTCAAGTCCTTGGCAATAGTCTCTGTTGGAGCTTCATTTGTCGAAGCAGAGACATTTACATGTGTAGCGTGAGGCAACTGGTCATTACCAGTAACAGCACAGCAGTCGGATCAGCCGTGTGGAGAGGAGCAGAGCAGCACAGCGGTAACACCATTATGTGGCTGGAATCCCATTCATGTAATCACAGTTGGAAAGACACTTCATTCATTTGGAGGAGTCTCTCTTGTCTGCAGCCCTCACTTTGGAAAATAGCCATCAAATAAATCTTTTTTTTACCCCTAACTTGGATGATTTTTAGATTTTTTTTGGCCTAGAAAGGTTTTTTAAAAAACTAGCTTTTGTCCCTACGCGCTCAAAAGATTTGTTCGATACTACAGTGCTAAAATGTCCCACTCTTTTGAGGGAGAAACAGTAGCACGGCCAAAGTTCCTGCTCATTATTTATCTGCTCTCCATGAGTGCCTTCAACCTCTCTTGATTTGTATTTATAGACTGCAGATGCCACAGATTCTTACTGTGACATCTATTTGTTTTGTATCCATGTGAGAAAGAGAGTGTTTGACCAGCGGAGCTTTGGATTTATAAAGTGCTCTCTGTTCACCACAGACTGAACCATTAAACACAGCTGACCACATACAAAAACACATATTTTATTCGCGACTTCTTCTCTCTTTAAGTTTTTAAGGGAGCATATTTGTGGAATTCCCATATATAGAGCTGTATAGCATTGTCTTTTCTCACATCCTTACAAGGAGAGATGTCTTTTCACTCTGGCTAACTCATACAGCCACACACACACACACAGGCACGCTGAGACGGAGACACGGGCAGATTAAGAGAGAGGAATCCGTGTCCTAGGGACGTGTCCATTCAGCAATCCCTTTGCAGCTTTCTTCCTGCCATTAACCTCTGGATCTGCCTAAAAGAGTACAACAGAGCTAACAGATGCCAGTGATCTCTGAAGAGTGCTTACACGCTCTTTTGAGGCCTCTGCACAGAAGAGTAATGGTTTTCTTTATTGGAAGTGAATGAGTCAGGACAGACTTGCTCAATGCTGACAGGTGTGAGTGTGTATGAGTCTGTGCCGGACACTGAGTGAGTGAGCAAGTGAGTCAGTCAAAGCTGTGTTCACGCACGCCCTTTGTGAGTGACACTTAGCACGTTGCTGCACTATAGGTTTCCAGGGCATTGGTATGCATACATCAGCCCTGCTATACATCCTGCACTTCCCGCTACTGATTTACTTGATAAAGGCACAAGAAAAAACACAGCTCCAGAGAAAATATGCTGGCGGTCACTGCCACCAGCACCGTCACTTCCTCATTCTTTCCCTCCTTAACCCCCTCCCTCACACTTTGCCCCAATTTTTAATGAGGTGTACATAATAGCACACTCTTTATGTCACACTAGGTTCTTTTTAAATACAGGAAGGTCCTATAACTAGCTAAACAGAATGCATTCTCAGCAGTGTGGAGAGTATTTACATATATACATATATTCTAACACACACACATATATATTTATTTTTGATAATTCTCTTTAGTATTTATCTTTCTATTTTATTCTTATATGTACATTTTATTTTAATGTTATGTAGAATTCTTGTCTTGTATATATAGTACCTTCTTTCTTAAACTATTTGTACTTTTACTACCTTATTTCTACTTGCCTATTGCACTGGAAAAGGAGAAGCTCTCCAATCTCGTTGTACTTTTAGTATCATGACAATAAAGGACATTCTGATATTTCTTTTTTATATAACCAAGAAAGTTGAACTATTTAGTAAATGATGAGAAAACAAAGTATAAGACTAAGAGTTTTAATTCTAAGAAAAAAAATTGTTTGATGAAAAAAAGAGGCCCTAAAGTTGAGCCTTGTGGGACACCACATTTCACTTTTTAATTAATTTTCGACTCAGAAGTTCTTTCTCTCAGGTTAAGGGTGAGGCACTAAAAGAGATCTGCAGACTTAGTTTATTTACAGGGGGGGTTTTAAAATGTTTAAGTGGTTTGAGAGTGTGTAGACAGTTTTTTTATTTTGCATCTGTTTTGTTTGGTTGGTTTGTACGCTTAGATGCCAGTGGAGGTGAACACAGTTACTGATCTCACCTCGGTGTCTTCTATACACATGTTTATGTTCTACCATACTGGTGTACGCTCAATGTTTTTTTCCTTTACGTGTAAGGCTCCAGGCGGTCGGGAATCGTGTTCCCTCACATTTCTGAGAGATGACATAAAGATATGATCACATGACAACCATCATAAAATAATGAGAAAGCAGAGTCTGTTTTTGTTCCCATGGCCGTACCCAGCATGGCTGTACTTGTTGTGGGTGCTTTAAGAGCGCGCTGAGTGATGAATGAGGTGTGCACAGCTTTGAGACGTCACTGGTTGATCACCACACCTGGTAGAGAGTCATCGCACTGTCACGGTTTTATTACACTTTTTCCCGCTTGTTAAAATCTGAGCTTTAGAATGATGGAGGGGTTGAATAACCTCAACCCTGGTCAACCGACTACACTCTCGGTGAAACAATAAAATAGCCGGCACAAGAGTATGGTGAATTATCCAGGGACTATTTCTCAAACACAGTTGTGCAAATGACAGAGGCACAATGAATACAACCCGATGGAATTAAAACATGACTAAAGATTTTGTCTTATTTCTTGGTCCTTTTTTCTCAACCTCTTGTTTAAATGTGCGTCTCTGCTGATCCTGGCCTGTGAATGTTTTTGTTTGTGAAGAGTGCAGAACTCTCTTATCTCTTCTGATAACGGTTACATAAGTCAGGAAACAGGAATGAGAACACAATACTCAGTGATAAGAAATAAATCAACAAATTGCTTGATTTGTAATACACTTTGTTTTGCTTTGAAATTTTAGATACAACCCCGAAGTCCCAGATGTCAACCTAAATTATTCTTGAGTAAAACAAAATACTCTCTCATCATGTTTATTGACTTTTTTTGTGTCATTGCAGCTCACTGATGGAGGTAAAGCAGCCAAAGCCAAGATCAGCATTGGAGACATCATTCTGTCTATAGATGGCATTTCAACAGACAGCATGAATCATCTGGAGGCCCAGAACAAGATAAAGGCCTGCACAGACCAACTCAGCCTCACTCTGCAGAGGTAACATTTCCATACACGTACACATACCTGTTTATGGTTCGAACAATATCAGAAAAAAAGTTTTCAATTATTAAATCAGAAAGAAATCTTGTGAATGAAAAATATGTAAAGGTTAATTTTAGTCTAATTCTTGGTTAATTAGTCAAAGTTCTTGTTTGATGTTTTTCCATGCTGCTAAGTGTTTGGACCTAATATCTAAAAGTCTGCCAAGTTTGCTCCTCTGCTTCCTCCATTATAAAAAGGAAGGACCTCCTGTTCTGGGCTCTTGTGTCCACTAAAGCTTTACTGCGAGCATCAGGAGCACTTTGAGTGAGGGCCCTTTGTTCCTTTAGACATGCCTCAAAGAAAAGAAAACAAGGATTCAACAGAGATCCACCAGGGAAACTTTCAATCCAAAGAAAACTACTCAGTGTCCAAAATCTCTTTACCTGGCTCAGAAATTTCAGCAAACAAAGCTCTATTTATTCCACTTTGAAGAGTAGGCAATAAAAGAAGAGTGTCCACAACAACAAGCAATTAAACCAAACCCAGTGGATTTTTCTGCAGCAGTAGAGCGTAAAAGAGCGGCCTCAGCGTCAAACCCAAACAAATGGCAGTGAAGCACGCTAGCTGTAAAACATGTTGACAGAAAGAAATCAAAGCCTAGTTTGCGTGTCGTGTCATTTCAGCACCACATCACTGCTGTAATCGTGGGAAAATAGTCCTAAAATAGCTCTGGACCCCAGCTGCATGTAATTGACTGTGAGGAATGGATGCTCAATGAAACATCAAACGCGCCTCATCTCAGAAAGGACATAAACTACATCTACAAATCCCCCAATAAACAAGAAAGGCTTTCTTCTCACAAAGAAAACATGAAGTTTGATCCATATATGGTTACATTTTAGGAGGTAGTTTTCCTTGTATGAATATTTTATGCCTATAGATAGTTTAAGAGCCATTTTACTGTTTAAAAGAGTACATTTTGAAGAATCAGGACTGGAGAAGTTAGTCTGTTGCTTAAAAGTTCACTGAGGCTGAAGAGAGCGGGAACGTTGAATAGTCACTCTGACCTTTATGCAGTCTCTTCTACAGCTCCACACAACAAAAGATCTCAAATTCCAATAATTATCTCTGCAAGGTGTAGTTTTCTACAGTCATGTTCTCAAACTGGAATAAGTTTTATTGGGCAGGTGCGTGCAGACAAGGAATTTATTGCTTCCACAGAAAGAAATAGACAGACGCTTTAGAAAAAAGGACAACAAGCTCCACGAAGAAAAAGAGAAATTCAGTTCTAAAATTATAAACATATTTTTAAATCGTACAGAAATAAATACAGACACAGCAGTATTAACATTTGCAAGCAGTAAGATAACATTTGATTTACGTGTTCATTGTTACCAACTGAAACCGACTATTTTGGTCACACGAAACATTCCCAGAGTGCCAAGATGTGATGAATGGACTACAGTTTCGTACAATTATGTCACTTTGTCATAGTTTGCATTCTTTGCTCCTTAAATAGACACTCTGTGCTGCGTGGTGCAGGTGTGTGAAATGACGTCATCCCACAGAGAAGTTACACTGCTGTTTGTTTTCATTAAGATTTGGCGTTATTAATTAAAAAAAGATCTATCTTCCAGTCAAACTGTGTTTTATGGAATAAAACACAAAAGTTTGAAAAAGATAACGCCTGCAGTTGTTCATTAACTAGAGTGTAACAAACAGAAGTGGTTACAAAATGACTATTTCTGGTCATGCTGTAATGTCTAAAGAAGTTCGCAGTTAACAACACTGAAGTGTCACATTCATTGCAGTTTCCGTTTATTGTCTGGAAGAAAAGGGCAGACACGCTCATTGATGCGGATATGTTTTAAGTTATTTCCCTGTTGCTAGGTGATGGGACAACATGTTCTCATAAGGGAGGATATTGACTTTGTCAAAGTACGTTTCTCATCCTGTAGCTCCTCTACACAGTAAACCCTGAATGTACTGTCCAGATGAGTCTGACTGAGTGAGGAGGTGTTGTGTGTTTTGTGGCAGACTGAGAAACCAGGCTTTCCTTTTCCAAGAGTGTGGTCTCAGGGAAAGATATTAAAGCACTGTGTGGTAGCCAGGGGTGCAACCAGAACGTTTTGACATGGGTGGCATGAAGTGTGTGTGACATATCGCACAAATACATTTTCCATGCCTCTTTGTAGACTAAAAAAAAAAACTGAGGTAGATTCAGAAGTTGATATATGTGGAAAGTATATATAAAAAAATCTGGATTGAAAATGCTGAAAAGCTGCTCGGAACCAAGTGGCAACCTCTAGTGTGGAAAAACAAAGCCAATGCAAGAGCGCAAAAAACCTGCAGTTCCTGGAGTGTCCACTTGAGGCTGGTTCAATGAGTAATTTTTAATGAGTAACCCTTTTAAGGTTTTAGTATTAAAATGCCCATTTTTACAGCAGAACAGAAGACATTTGAAGCCTGTTAAAAATGAAAAAAAATATGGGTTTTTGTCTAAGATAAGATAAGAACTTTATTTATCCCCAAGGTAAAATTTGATAAAAAATTTTTGCTGAAAGTCTCTCAGCAGAGGCAGATTTTTCTGTATCTCATCTGTTTTGATTATACTTGGAATGATTAGATTGATATGTGGACTAGGGCTGTTAAGTGTGTCAGATTTTCACCTCACTATTGTTGTGGCTATAAAAATATCACAAAAACACTGTTGTTGTAGAAAAAAGGCTAAGCAAAGGTTAGGGCAGCAAAATATATAAGTTCCTAAATATTACAAGTCCGTACATTTTACTCATAAACACAGTTAATCCACACGTCACCATCCATTTGTAATTGTGCTTGAATTTATTATTCATCCACATCACTGTCTGTGTAACTCAAACTCAAGTTAATACACAGGCAGTCATCTGCTTCTTCTTTGTCTCCTCTCTGTTTTATGGCATGTGACCTCAACTATGAATTCAGGGTATTACTGTTTGTTTATGCTTAATACAATATCAATAATTCCACATTTTAATGAAGACAGTTTTCATTAATACCACGTCTTTTATTGACTGAAACCTTAGCTGAGTCAGCACTTAAAACATGGCGAGTTTCTGTGGCTTATGGGTCTATGTCTTCAACTTGTTGAAATACACCTTTTTAAGTGCCTCTCTGTCACAGTGGATGGCCAATCAGTTTTTGTTGGAGGCAAAGTGCCTCTCCAGGTCGATCCTTGAAACTGTCTCTGGCGGAAGCACACACTAACTCATACTGAATTTCATTATTTCTTCAACAGAATGAAATGTTTGGTCCAAATTGTCAGCCAAAGAGTCAGCAGCAATCTGTTAGTGATTTCATCAGCTCATGTTTTTATCATCCGTTGCTAATGTGCTCTTGCAGTTGTTTGAATGACCTGCTGTAATGAGTGAATTTTACGGGTACTTTTTGTTCTTACTATTACGTGACGGAATCGAAGCCAGTAAGCAGCCAGCAGTCAGCTACACCAGCCGGCCATGGGAAGTCTCCTTAGGAAAGTATGATAATTGATGTTTATTTATTGTCATTGAAATATGCGGCACAGTGCAATGAAACTCCACTCCCCAGAGTTTGTGGCTGACTGCACCTGGTTCCAAAACCTCAAAGACAATCAGCACCACTGGCTCTGCAGTTTTCTTCGCTTTTTTTTTCTAACAAGAATTGGTAACAGCTACCACAGCAAGAAATCATTACAGATTTTTTGTGGTTTCTACTTCTGTGTGTGTGTGCGAGTTTGTGTGTATTGGTGCCATAGGTTGGTGCTAAGCTTTAGGGTCATGCAAAACTACCTTCTTTTATGAAATATGTCTGATATAAAGGAAAATTAACACCAAAAAACTATAGATATCACATTGTTCAAATATAACACTGCATAGTGTCCTCTTGCTCTTCTTTGTATAACCTCCTCTCTTTCTTCACCAATCTTGTTTTAAAGATACCTGTCCCACTATAGCTCTGCAGTACATGGTACTCTTTTACCCTCAGGGTTATTACAATAGCTGCCTAGCAACTAAGCTTGGCAGCTGGGGGTTAAATCGACAGATACTATCATACAAGCTCTATGTACTCATAGTTCTTAAGGTATATAACAGTGTGAAGCAGAGGACAGTCCAGTATCTCCCATAAGCCGCCTTTGACTCCTGGCTGCCTTAGCCACATGTGGTGTGGTTGTCTGAGGGAAAAAAAGAAAGGACAGGAGCTTGTTTTAACAATTTGGTCCTGCATTCAGAAGACAATTTAACTGCAGTTTATTCTGTAGTGGTTTCTGTGTCCACAGATCTGACCCAAAGAAGAACTCTGTTATTCCCCTACTGGCTTTATTCATTCATTCAGGGGTTGGATTTCTAAATTTAATTAAACCCTAATATAAAATTATTATTTTTCTTGTCCTGTGGTTGTGCGTTATCCCACTATTTGCTCGCACACATGACCAGAGAGTCTCTGTAGAGGAGCATGACGGGACACATGGAGACAAGTGGCATGAATGCCCTCCGTTATTATGCTGCATGTGACTGCTGATATGGACAAGAGCACAGGGTTCCTACTTGACACGTGGACACACACATAAGCCACGCGCTGTATCCATGTTAGGGTAGTATCCAGGCAACTTACAGCAGCAACAGGCTGTCCAGTTAAATGTTAATAAGCTTTCACTCTGGAAATAGCAATCTCGTTTCTGTTATTGTTAGCTCTGTCACTGCTGTAAATCTCAGGTCCCTGGTCCCCTAAGAGCCTTTTATGTGAGCTCTACTTGTAAGTGCAAAATTCTTCCTTCCAGGATGCTCGTTGTTGATGAAATATGAGGGAGCAGTGAATAGAAGGGGAACATGGGAAACATAAGAGGTAATGTGCCAGATGCTAGCTGTGAGTTTTGCCACTGAGAGGATAGGCTGGCTGCTCAGAAAAACAGAGAGGAGTTGTTTTCCGCTCCAGCTTATTCCAAATCCCTCTGTTGGAGTTTTTTTTTATTTTGGTTTCCTATGTTTTTATTCTTCCTGTTTTTATTCTTTGCCATGCTTTGGTGAACATTTTCATGAGGTGAGATATCTGTGAAAACATTCAGTGTTTTTCTGATCCCCTGCAGAGCTTTGCACTATATCACCAGGCTTCATTATAAGATGTCAGACTTCATACTGCACAGTTTTTACTCTTTTTCTCATTTAAATTACAGTTTGTCTTGTACTTTTTATGATAAAAATCATTCTTTAATAACAAAATTTTACCTTTCGTCTCATAAAAATGGCCTTTTATTCTCTAAATGTGCCTTTATCAAATTTACATTTGGGGATGAATAAAGTTCTTCTCATCTCATCTCATCTCAAATTACTTTTAGATAACATTAATGATAATAATAAATTTGATTTATACTTTGCAAAGAGCCTTAGGTCACTGAACAGAAGTGGGCTAATAAATAAAAACCAGGACTGAGTGAAAAGGCATCAGGGTCCAGTGGTAAGGTAGAGTTATGGGAGGTTGTGGTGAACAGGTGGCGTTTTAGTAGTTTTTTACAACGTGGCCAGAGATGGGGCATTTCAGATGTCTGAGTTCCAGGGGATTCAGGATGAGGTTTATTAGTGAAGAAGTTCAGAGAGGTACTAAGAGATGAGGGCATGGAGGGATTTATAAGTGAGAAGTGGTGTTTTATAGTCAGTGTTAGATTCTATTGGGAGCTAGAGGAGGTGGGTGAGGGGTTGGAGTGATATTCTGCCAGGGCTTGGTGTGGAGAAGAACCCTGGCAGCTGAGTTTGGTATATACTGAAGCCCGTCCAGGGCTTTGGTGAGAACTCCAGGAAAGGCTTCATAGTGGTGGTGAAGGTGAATGGTTCTACAGACATAAATGAGGGTTGCAGCTACAGAGAAAGAGAGTGATGGCAGATTTTTGGGGGATTTTTTTAAGATAAACAATGTTTTGTGGTGGAATTGATGTGGGAGTGAGAAGAGAGGGTGGAATCCATGGAGACACCCTCATTTTGATCCTCAAATGTTGGGTGGATGGTGCACCCATCTAGGACCAGAAGATCTTAAATCTTGGGGGCCACTGCCAGTTTGAGGGAATAGTGCAACATCCAGGCTGTGATATTACAGAAGCAATTGACTGAGGAATGGGGGAGCCTGAGTCGATGTTATTGTGCTGAGATAGAGTTGTATTTCATCGGCGTAGGCGTGGAAGTTGAGACTGTGTTAGGGGAAGATCTGTCCAAGAAGGGCTCCAAGTACAGAACTTTGAGGCACTCCATGGTTGGCTTGGGTTGAGGAGCAGGAGTTGCTGGTGGTAACAGACTGAATTCAAGTCCAGATTGAAGGGAATTGAGGACTTCATGGTTGGTTGGTCACTTGATGGCCATCCGCAGGTGTGAAGGAGTTGAGGGGGCAGGTAATGTGAGTTGCCGGTGGATAGAGTCGACTATTGTCTTGAAGAATTTCAAGAACCTGGAGCAGGGTCCCCTGGTCGGTGGAAGGGGGTCAATAGGATGGAGTAAGCTGGAGTAAATAAGATAATTGATGGTTGAGGACAGCATTCTGGGGTGATTATGCTGGTGGAATAGTAATGTAGTAATGTGTTTTGGTTTTTGGTAGAGCTTCCTTGTAGGAGCTCTATTAGTGCAGATTTTATAAAATATTATTCCCACTTTACGTGAGCATTTATTTTTCATCCAAGTTAAGTTGTCATTTCCCTTTTTTAACTGGCAGAAATGTGTTTCCATGTGCTGTAATAGTAAAGTAAAACAGTTCTGGGTAAATTAAAGGCTACTTCTATTTCTGCCTTTTTCCCAGCGTATTAAAAAATTCATATGTAAGTCTGTAAGCTGCTGAGGCGTGTGTAGTAAAAAAGCTGTGTCTTTCAGCTTCTCCATCATTCAGTCAGATGCCATACACCGCACTGTTGCTCTTGGCTCTTTAGGAGACAGGGTGGAAATGCGTCAGCGTGCTTTTCCCTCAGGCTTATTGCTCTGGTTAACCTCCTCTTTCTCTAATTTTTGTGTGTGACAGAATGGGTGCACAGACAAGTCTATGATGATAAAAAAAAACCTCTCATGGCCACTGTCTCTAACCTACTCATTCAATATAACTGTCATTTCTTATAACTTGCGCTTGCATTTTGCTATCTTTTTGGTTAGGTTTATAGTCTTGAAATTTAGTCCATAAATAGACGTTGTAGATATCAGCATCTGTAATGTAATAAAACAAGGCATCCTGATTAGATTAGGAGGAGCCAGCTGATTTGTGCTCTAGGCTGAGGAAAGCCAGGACTGTATCTTTAACAGGGGGAAAATTTCTCTGTGCTACTGTATGTGTTCATAGTGCAGATGTTGTACTTAATACATCTGTAACTAAAATCCTTTGCAGTCATGGCTTTACTCAAGAAGACTTTTTTAATAACAAGGCGGTCTCAGAAGAGTCTCAATATACATAACCTGTCTGACAACAATAGTCAACCTTTCTGTTATTCCAGCGGCTATCCTTGGACAACTTCAAGGCAAGGCCACCTTTTTAGTGCGCCGCATTGTGAAGAGTTCAGTTTACTATTTAAGAAGTGGTTATACGTTTAGATCAGCTGCAAATCAAATGCGTCTCCTGAGGCATCTATTTCTGGGGTGTCATATGAGACCTTAAAAAGACAGATTTTCTTGCGATTTGTTTGTGTTTATGGGTCGTAATTTGTCTAAATAACAGCATGATCAAGTGTGTAAAATGTTAAAAGTTGTGTATAGATTAACAACAACGAAAATATATGTGATACATAAAAATAGATCATTATGTATCTATTGGAGGAGAATAAAATTCGGTATGTTATTATATTTCTTTATATGTGACTGTATTTGTTAGGCTAGATTAAAAAACAGTGATGGAGTAACACTGTCCAGTTAAATCAAGATTACACTTGTGCATTCACACTTAGACACCAAAAAGTAATTTAACTTTCGTGGGCCCACACACTCACCCAGTGAGTGTTTGTCTCTGTCACAGCAGAATAAAAGAAGGTCCAGCCCGGCAGGGAGTGGGACAGCTCAGAGGGGCTGAGCTGAGCAGATGTTAGCAGGACCACCCCAGCAAGTGTTTGTTCAGTTTGCTCTGAGAAAAGACAGATAGAGAGTGAATCCACCCAGCGCAGGGCCACTGATGGCAGACACACACTGTTTCATTGTAGAGCAGGTCCTGTTTGTAACGGAATGTGCTGTTTGATCTCTGGACCTTTCACTGTTTTCCCTGGCACAGCGTGCTGCTTCTCCATAAGCATGTCCAATAATACAAGCACATTGGAAAATAAGCATGGTCTGCATTAGCTGCTAAGTGGAAAACTGTAAATGGAAGTATGGGCGAAGATCAACATCTGGTCAGAAGGCGTGGCTTTTTATTAACTGTGTGCCAGGCTCAGTCAGGGAGGAAATTCATCAGGGTTTGTTGATTGTTTTCCTAATACGGCAGAGAAAACAAGGACACCAGCAGGACATACCGGAGCTCCTGGTCCAGAACCAGCCTTGCTGACTCACTGTCTGGTCTTTTTGTTGTTGTTATTCTTCATAATGAGGAATCAGGGACTCATTGTCTCCATGTCTGGACCAAAGACGGGACACATTGTCAACAATAAACTATCTTGATTTAGGTGTTCACAATTGGCTAAAGGGATAGTTTGAAGACAGTTAGATCACCTGACAGGGGCTGACTTGCATCTTTAGTAACATTAAGGATAATATTTAAGAGGCTTATTCTAGTTTTTATAACTTTAGAGGACAGACAAACAGACCTCCCACCTCTCCCATAGGTGATAAAACTGCAGCAGCTGCTTTGATCATGAGTGTAAATCAGAAATACACCACAGTTTAAAGACAGTCTTATCGTGAACAGATAGAAAATGTAGAGTCTGTTGACATATACTGGTGGTTTTGAATGTTTTACCACCTTGACAACAAATTACATATAATTGGTTTGGACCATTTTTCAAAGCATTTAGCTTTGGAGTACCATCTTTGTCCAGTTATATCAGTCAAGTTTGCAATAATATTGAATTTCCCCTTTGGGATCAATAAAGTTCTTGTTTGTATGTATGTAAAAATGTGAAACTCCTAAGCTTGAACCCTGCTAGACATTTCAAACATAACCTATTTATTTTTTAAAAATTTAATGGCAGACAAATTTACATTTAGAAAATCCTTGTGTTTGGATGTATTGTGGTCACTGACATATGAATTTAATGATATTTTTAGAAACTTTGAATGTCGGATTTCGAGTTCAATTTCAATTTTTGACTTTTCATCATTCTTCTTTCTGTCTTACAGACCCTCCAGCACCCCGAAAAATGGAGTACCTAAGGTAAGAGACAGGATATTTACAAAAACTTTGACCATGCTAAAGTTAACTTGAATTTCCTCTTTGTAAAAAGATGAAATCAGTTTATGTAGAGTGAGCATGCTCATTGTGCCCTTCTGAGATAGTGTGAGAGCCCACATTGGCTTAGCATGCGTTGCTGACCTGAGCAGTCATCTTTAACTCATATGGCACAGGCATGACTTCTCATTGAGTTTGACTTTGACAGGATTGCTGTGCAGTGCTATTAGGAATGCTTGTTTGCATGCATGAGTTGGGTTGAAGATTTGTTGTGTGTGCATGTCGTGTGTCTCCACCTTTCATCCAGGACGAACCTCAAGAAATCATAAAGCCTGTCCCAATCACTCACTCTCCTGCGAGCACCGCGTACACCAAGCCATCCAGTCAGGCCAGCCCTGCTTACAACAAAACTGCCCGGCCTTTTGGTGCGGGTGGAAGTGCGGTCACGGCCTCTTCTATGCTGGATGCCCCAAAAGTAGCCACCATCCCTTCTGCATCATCTGCTTTCACGCCAGCCGCCCCCTCTCAACCACAGCCCCCTTTTCCGCTGAAGTCGAGCCCGGCCCCACCGGACTCAACTCCAGCCAGCTCAGCTCCAAAACCCACTTCCGGTCGTTCCCCCTTCACCTCCCCGTACTCCTCTTCCTCTTCGTCTAACTCCTCCTCTCCAGCCAGAGTGACAGCCCCCTCCTCCAATCCAAATGTCCCACAGTCATCCGTCTATAACACGCCCATCAACCTTTACTCCTCCTCCAATGCTTGTGAGGTGGCGATGGGACAGAGACGGGGTCTTTTGGAGAGCCAAGGGCTGACAGAGCAATTTAATGGGTAGGTACCATTCATCAAACTCAGGTGATATTCATACAGCCCAGATATGCTCAAGGTTTCTGCCTGTTAAAGGAAGTTTTTTCTTCGAGATGGGCCAACACCCATCTTGGGTCGGTTTTTGATAATTTATCAAACAATGAGCGTGGTCTAGACCTGCTCTTGTTCTTTGAAAAGTGTGTTGGGATGACGACTGTTGTGAATTGGCGCTATATGAATAAAATTTGAATGATTGATTGATTGATTGATTGATTGATTGATATGAGATGGTTTCTCTGACATGGTTTCTTTATTTACCCAATCGACCATTGACCATATCGCTAGTTTGGTCACTAAACTCAGACTAAAAATCGGTTTCTACTACAGGAATAAATCCTGCTTCTCCCTCAGTGCTCGAAAATAACTTGTATCTGCTACCTTTCTTCCACTGCTGGATCATGGTGACGTTTTATGTATGACTGCTTCAGCTAAATGTCTGCAGTCCTTAACTACTGTCCATCACTGTGCGCTGAGATTTGTTACTGCTTGTAGTTGCCTTACACATCATTGCGAACTTTATGCCAAGTCTGGCTGGCCTTCTCTGAATACTCGCAGGTACACTCCCTGGATGACTCTAATTTATAAGGTTCTTCTTGGCTTAGTTTCTTCTTATTTATGTGGTCTTCTTCAAAGGACTGAAAGCCACTACACCCTGCGCTCAAACAACGCTATCCATTTGATTGTTCTGTGAGTCAGAACTGCCACTTCAGCATGGAAAACTCTCCAGACTGACCTGAAATTGTCTGAATTAATTTCACTGGGAGCATTTTGTTCAATCTTACATGACAAAATTTGGGAGACCATAGAACAGTGCTTGTGTTTTTAATTATGTTTCTGGAGGTCATTTTCTTCTTCTTTATTATTATTATTTATTATTGTGATGTGTGCTGCCGACCTCTTGGCCGGGTCACTCTTGTAAATGAGATCAAGGGTGTAACACTAACAGATGCCGCTATAGCTTTAGTCCTTTGTGAGGCTGAGTAAGAACATGAGTGATGACTTTTTCCAGGGCTATTTGCTCTGCTGTGTTTATGGGAATACCACGTCGCATCAACAGGTGAAACCATTTGTTCCCCTTTGCGTTCTTTGCAAACAGCCACTTATTTTTATCAAGGACACCTCTGGTTTCTCAAATATGTCCACATTTTAGACTTGAAATCATGAATTTACATACAGGTACATCATATGATAGTGTTGTGAGTGTGTTTGCATATCAGTACTGGTAAATTGTGTCAGTTTAAAACAATGAATTAATACAAGGAGTGCCGTTATACTCAATATGAGCTGGATAGTGATTGAGTTGTGGCAACAAGACCACTATCTTAGTGATGATATGATCAGAGCTGAGTAGATTTACTTAAAATGTGATGTTTCTTTTACTCAGCAGTCCTACCAACATATTATGGAAAAAGTAGTAAGCAGCAACAGATAGCTATTTTGTTGTCACTTAGAAATGACTTTGGCTCCACCAACACAACTTCACTGCGCTGTCACTTGATGTGATTCAGATCACCTGTGATAGTCAAAAGTGCTGATTCATACTGCTGTATAAGCACTTTTAGAATGACTCTTGTCCAATTAGATTTAGAAGTTTGGATTAACTGTTGTATTGTACATTAGAAGTTGGGATTAACTGTTGTATTGTACATTTTATGTGTACTGTATGCTGTGTCCTCATGACTGTAGCCACCAAATAGAGGGCCTTTTTGTTTTGCAGTCTACTTAATAGTTTTAGAAAATTGAATATTCCAGTGCCTTCCCCCATTTGCCCAAATTCAGCCAAGAATATGCGCCTAATTTGAAAAGCCAACACTGGAGGAGCCCCTCACCCATGTTTTCACACAGCTGTGCTCAAAGAAAATCCCAGGCATGCCGCACATCTTGTTCAAATCTTCCACACGGCAACTGGAAAAGGAACAGAGACGAGACAACACGCTTTTAGTGATGCTACTGCCTGCCTATCTTTAATCGACGGTAGGCTTTGCAGCGCTGCCAAACACACAGTCTGCCCGACAGGCACCGCTGGTGTAGCACTTGTTTCTAATTAGCCAGACTCCTGGCAGCCCTGCGCTTTCAGGGACCAGGAGTAGAGCTCAGTTTGGCTAGACGGGATTTCATCAGTAGGGATTTGGCTTGCTGGTTGGGTTACAGAGACTGAGACACCGAGACAGGTTTTAAGTGATTTGACACTCATTTTTTGGTCTAGTTCACCTGGAAAATTGGGTCACAGCGACCTGTTTTTGACAGCTTGAGAGTTATGGATTCTAAAACCTACTGCAATAGTTTTTAGTTTTCTTATAGTTCGGTGTAATAATGGGCCCTCTTTTCAAACTTTCTGTCGCCTGAAATCTCCAAAAAGACTTCCAGCTTGTAAGATGAGATGTGCGTATTTGTCGGAGCATGTGCGTGTTGTTTTGTTCTGACCTGCATGTTTTTGTTCAGGCTTTCTGTGGTTTCCTTGATTCACATTCTCTCAGAAGGGCCTTTCACTTAAAGGGCATGTGTCTGGGACTACTTTCTGTATCTCAAACTGGTCTATTCATGTGTTTTCTTGGCTTCAACCATTTCCCCTTTTCCCCCCTTTTCTTTGCCCACAGGAGGAAGGAGACACAGACACCAAGTTAGTGCTGTGAATGATAATATATGTGCTGCAGTAGCTTTCTAACTATGTGGAATGTGATTACAGCCTTCACATCTCTCTGGTTTATGATTACCAAAGGCATGCATGCACCTCTTTGAGCTAACCACTCACAAACCTCACAACCGTGCTCATCCGCTCACTGTACATGCTAATTTCAAGGCCCAGCAAACACCCGTAAATAATCCAATCTCTGAGGCTCCACAGGACACCCACTAGGGTCAGATCACGCAACTCAGTCATTTTCCCTGTGCCACCAGACTCAGCGTTAGCTCCTACTGTATTTACATATGCAGCCGCTGCTCTGCATCCGAGCAGCTCCACCTGCTGCTGCTGTCATTGTGTTTACTTGAAGCAAAGAAATCTCTGCTCCGTTTATTCTACGTTGGCTAAGAATAGCCTGACTTGTGCTGCCTTTCATCATCCTCCACCTCCACTCACCTGTCACACACACACACACAGACAAAAACACACAAGATAAATTGCACACACTTAGATGTTTGACATGAAACTGACCCACAGTTTGGAGCAGCCTTTAAACTAAACTGAGCATGTAAACAGTCAATATAAATATTATTGGCTTCAAGGGCGCCATCAAATTATTTTAACGGAAAGCAGGTCTTTTGTTCAAACAGCACACCACCCCCACCTTGTGGTGATTAAAGGAAACTGTCACTTGAATCTCCCAAACGTTCACTGCTGTTAACACAGTCTCAGTGTTTAACTTCACCATTTAAAACCAAGTTCATTACATCGCTTTTACACTTTTTACATCATGATTGACTCCACGAAGACACAGATTGTTTTCAAGGAAATTCGAGTTTTATGATCAGGCTGATCACTTCTGTTCTGGTTTTCTTTCGAATAGTGAGCCTCCGAGAAGTCCAAAGTGAGTACATGTCAGGACAGTATTTACTTTCCCAGTAGAATCAATGCAGTATCACTTAATATAACTTGTGAATCTGTGACTGTTTCTGCCTTTTTGCATCTTCTTTTACCTTCCTCTGGTTATCCGCCTGCAGAACTCCATCTCCAGCTAGACCTAGGAGGTAAATGTGAGATATATAACCAGTGAGGTGTCACAGTGAACTTTGTATCTACAGGTCACACTTTTAAACAGCACTAACTGCATAGCCACTGTTTGTCAGTGTTGAAGTTTAAGACAACAAACCTCAAGTCTGAGTCTAGACTCAAGTACCCAATGTTAAGAGTTTTAGTCAGTTATCAGAATACTTTATTTAATCTGGGGGGCGATGATGGCTGTAACAGGCTGCAGGATCCAAATCAAGACCAAATCAAGGTGACAAGGTGTCTTGTCTTGAAGGTAGAGAAGAGTCCCAGGCTGAGTCTCAGTTCTCCACTTTGGCACAGCCTTGGAGATGGACTACCAATAAAAAAGCCCTACATTGGTGCCTCGTTGTCTTTTTGTGAACATATAGCACATGAAGACGTAAACACACATGCCAGCCCTTCCTTGAATCTCATTTATATTACTGGGCCCCTTTACAGCTAAAAAAGAAAGAGGAAACATTCAAACAAAACAAAAAACAGAAGAATAGTCTTTCATAAAGCAATTTGTCAGTGAATCAGATGCAGCACAACACAGGACTTGAAAAACCACTGCATAGATTAGACTGGAGTCAGAGTCCTGGACTTGAGTACTACGACACTGCTTGTTTATGTATTGTTTGTTTTGATTGTGACCATGAATGTGAGTTTGTATATGGATAAAATGAACCTGTTACATCCTGTGGTTGAGGTTATTTACTAAACAGTAAATAACTAATATTGTGATAGTTGTTGAAGTTGTTTTTAGCAGAAGTCATCTACTGAGCAGCTTAAACACAGATGCATTTTAAGTTAGTAACCTCGTCTTTATTTGGTTGCTCTGTCTTCAGGAAACCAATCGATGACCCTGAGATCGATGCTAGCAAGAAGCGTCTGATTGAGGACACTGAAGACTGGCACCCGAGAACTGGCACCTCCCAGTCCCGCTCCTTCCGTATCCTGGCGCAGCTCACTGGGACTGAAAATGGTGCGTGTCAACCTCAGCTCACCTGTTTCTAACAGACTTACCGCTCTAAAGAAAGAGACTAGTTGAAACTGATATAAGTTTTCTCTCCTTTTCTACCTAAAAAAAACAGGAAAATCACAACTGCTAAACTTCTTGATGTCCCAGTAGTTTTAAAGAATCAATGATTGTTTGGTTTAATGTTGTTTTATATTACTGTCTTGACTATAACTGACATTGGTGGTCATATGAGCAGACTGTGGCTTTTAAGTCTCCATCCGTCTGTCAGGGGTCTCTAAATGTGTTTGTGAGGATCTCTTTAACTGATATGAAACGACGTTCACAGTTATTCACTTATTCAAATGAAGTAAGACGAGACATTCATCTTTCATCCTTCCTTCCTCTTTGTCCAATAATGTTAGCAGACTGGTGTGGAAAATATTTGATGAGATTTGAACATTTGATATAAATCCAGCTGGTCACAGTGTTTCTGCAGCTGGGAACAATCGGTGGGGGGATAAGTCCGGGAAGTCCCATCAGGGTCTAGCTGGAGGGGATGGCAGCTGCCCATTCATGTGGCCTTGCTTTGACAGGATTAATCAGCTAAAAAACAAGTTAAAGATGTATTGATTTTAACATTTTTTTATGTAACTTTCTGTCTTTTTTTTCTTCTTCAGAGCAAGTTCCAGAAAACAGTGGAAAGAAGTAAGTAGTTGGTGGTTTTTGATACAATCAAATCTGGTATGTGTTTATGAGTTTTCACTCTGTCTCCTCTGGGTTTTTCTTGACTGTGAGTACTTTTGCAAGAAAAACTACACGTGTTAAAGCAGTGGTGTTTCCCTCGGAACTGTAATTTGTAGACCAGTTACAAAGTTGTCCTTCAAAGCCATCATATGATGATGTTTGGGAGTCTGTAATCCAGGGTTAAACCATGATTTCCTGATTTTGTGCTCCCAAAGTATCATTCTTAATTAAAGGCTTAATTCGGAGAAACCACATCGAAAGCTTTTAAAACGGCGATGGTTGAAGGAAGAGGGTCATAGACTTAACAAAGGCTGTGATTTCTACGACTGCACTCAGTTCTGAGCCGATTTAATCTGCAGTAAACACAGCCTGCCCTCCTCAGCACCACATCTCCAACCACTCAGTGTGTCACTCACTGGAAACTGTGGGTAATTAAGTGGTATTGTGGGAAATAGCACTCAAGCCAGAAGGGGATTCCTGCTCTCCTCATGTTAGTGAGATTTTGTTTCTGTGTACTCTTCCTAAAGAGGGGAGAGATATTAAACATCTGTATTGGGTTATAATTCGATCCACATCTGCAAAAAGAAAGTCTGGGTTGGTTTAAACTCTAATTCCTTTTTTTCTTGCACAATTTTTTAACATTTCTCTTGTGTTAACTATCGCATTTCTTGTCCTAATCTTACAACTGTCTTCTTTCTCCCTTTTTTCTCTCTTTTTCTTCCTTTTTTCTCGTTTTCTCATTTAATCTGGTTTTATGGGGGAAATCAGGGCGAACAAGCTGGACCCAGAAGTGATAGGACAGCAGTACATGAAGCTGAGAGACTGGCATCATGATGTTTCAGCACGGTTGCTAAATGTGTAGTTTTTTGTTTTTGTTTTAATGTTTAATTTATTTTCTTTTGACCAATATAAGATTGAAATAGTCATCAAACATAATAACTGCTAACTTTGAAAAGATGCAGAAACACAAGCCAGCATACTGTGTTGTATAAATGTCCGAGGGTACGCATTGATACTAAGATATATGCTGTTATATTTCAGATTATAAATGCATGCACGTGAATATGGAAATCAGCTTGGAAATACTTTGTGCTTATCTTTAGTGTTGTGTTAATTTATCTCTGTATCCTTTCTCCTATCCTTTGATTCATTTTTCTGAGCGTGTCTTTTCCATCTGTTGTCTAACTAACAGATAGTAGTTTTATTTGTCAGCTTTTGACTGTTTTACTTCAATAAAACATTTCCTTTCTTTCCTGCTGTTTCTTATTTCCTACCTTTGTCCTTTCTTTTCTACTTGCTAGCTATTAAAAAACTAAAGTGGGTAAAGTGAAATGCAATCCTATTTTGTTCAATCATACCACCTAATCCAGATTTGATACCATGCAGCTCTGAAGCTTTAGGGCCTATGTCCACTAAAAGCATTTTTGGCCTGACCTCACTTCTGTATCAAAGTGCTCCTCACTGCTTTATTGATGCTAGTTGACCACAGTTGTCTCAGGCACTTCTACTTTCCTTAGCAGTGATCATTAAGTCTGCTTTTCATATGCTCTTTTGTGCTTCATTTTTAACTATTAAAACCTAAAAAATGAATAGAGTGATCATAGTATTAGCAGCAGGAAATAATAACCTCAAAAACAAGTGTGGTTTGCTTCCCCCTCTGTACAAACATCCGCTATTGTTGTTGTCAAATTATGATACTAGAAGTCCTGCTCTTTCTTGATTTTAAATGGTTATGAGGAAAAAGGGACATTATGGACAAAGGCCTGTATTTGTCAGGGGATAAAAGTGAGGTTTCGTGATGGTATAAAACATATACAATTATAAATACCAAAAAACTCCTCACAGGAGCTCTAAGATCTCAGGTTTCTCATAATTTTCTCAGATGTGTTAAATGCATCATAACTGTAAATCTGTTCATAGGTGCTGACGAATGCCCTCAATGCTGATACAAAACCATAAATCAATGTTTTTGTAGTTGGTAACATGCAGTGAACTGTAACTGACAAACAAAACAGCTTAAAGATTACAAACTGAGGACCTGTTGGGGCAAAACCCCGGGCGAACTGGTCTACCTGAGCAGCGACAGAGCTGTGTTATGATTTCTGAGGGGTTACATCCTTATCTGTCAGAATAGGATCTTCTGAATCCAGTTTACACCTGCCACCATTTTAGCCCTTTAAAAATGACATGTTTGCTCAAGATGCAAAATATTCAAATTGCTCTCAATCTGCTAAAAAGATCAAATCAGAATATATAGTTTATGAATCATCAAACAGCTATACTGTACATCTCTGGAAATTTTAGAGTCTGAGCTACATGCCCAACAGACACACGTGCGTCATCCCCACTTGAATTGTTTCCTTATGTCAGTAATTGAAAACCTCATGGATAGTAGGCAGCACTGCATATCCTTATTGGAGGGTGCCCCATAATTGTCGTGATTGTTTGCATGTGTCACTGAGATTTCAACCAAGCAAACGTAAACATGAGCTAGTCAAGGAAGAACCTGCATTAAGAATTCCCCTGCACTGGAGCTGCCATCTGACTGGTGGCAGAGTCTTGGTTGTCTTGCTTACTCAGACACGTCACCAGTTTGTACCTGAATTTGTATGAATTGCAAGAAAACAGCTCAAAAATACCAAACAAGGAGGTACGCACTGAGTGTTTACCCCAAAATGTTGTTTATGGAAAATCAAAAAAGGGAAAAGATACACAAATATTGTATTAGTTCCTAAATATGTGTTTTTATTTTTCTAATAAGCGATTGTTTGCACATCTTTTTTTCCTAGTGAGGATGTTGATGTAAGTGCTCCAGCTGCGCACACCTCGCCTGCAGCAAAAACATTTTCCAAATCTGCACCAGCGCCTAGAAATGGCAATGTTGTTCCTGCCTCTTCATACAAGAGCCCACTGGCCCAAAACAAGCCACCCTTCCAGCCTGGAGGTCTATCAGGTAAAGGAGCAGACTCACAAACCCTCTATTATTTCTCTGATTTACTGCCCCTTGCACAGTTTTCTTCTGTAGTAGCTTCTTCTTGCCAACAGAGGGCAGGCTTGTGTCTTTAAATCACTGCTGCTCAGCTTTGACATTTATTGCAGCTTTAAAGCCTGACACTAAGCCATTTAAGATTACGAGCACTATAAAAGCCAGAGGTATTCCGTTAATGAGCTCAGATTATTGGCTTTTCCCAAGATCCCCTCAGTTAAAAAGATTGTGAAAATGAGAATTATGTATTTTATTTTGTGTGTAAGCTGCTCTTAAAACACTGCGATCCCTGCCACGGGACCTGGAGGTGGTCAGGGTAAATATTTGCTGAAAGGCATCAGTCAGGGGTCATTATTAGCAATACTTAGACACAAGTATGCACTCATACATGAACAGATGCACTATGTGCCCTGCAGATTTCCCAGAAGGCCTTTTAAGAACAGCCCGCTGAAAGGTACCTCAGGGTGAGAGCTGGAGAGGCCACAGTTACCTCTCTGTGTGCTCTGTTATTTATCAGATTAACACATACTTCAGTTCAAGTAAACAAGCAAGTATCTTATAGTGTCGAGTGAGCAACTTCACCTGAAGGATGGAATTAAGGCTCCAAGAAGAAGTTAGGAAAATTTGGGCTTTGCTTGTCATTTGAAGTTTGTTGTAAAGTTGTTTTAATCATTTTTTTCTCTTTAAAATTAAAGGCTTTAATCAAGTTTTGTCATGTTGACTCAGTTGCGTTGCTTTCTAGCTCTCTCTGTATTTACGCAAAAGGGACTGAACAGAGATTTGCAGTCCTGCTGTGATTCAGTTCTGAAATCTTCTCAAGCTGACTTTTTTCCTCCTTATCTTCCTTATACAGCGAGACAGCAGCGACAAATGTCTGCTCACTCTCTGTCCCGTTTAATGTGGCTCAGCCCCCAATCTTCGCTCGAGCCAAAGGATTTGTTTTAAAGTGACAGCTTGTCAGCATTCAGCTCACTGTGCCAGCTTTCAACCAGATAAGCTTTTATAGTGAGAAATACTTTTACTCCAATGTAACTCTCAGCATCAGTATGACTTCATTGTAATTGTTAAAAAATGTGCTTTTTCCAACAGACCTAAATACTGTTGATGCTGAATCGTTTCACTGTTTTAACATTAAGTAAAATAGTGATGGGTCACCATTCAATCTGGAGAGAAGGTGCAGGATTACCAGAAACTTTAAAGTAAAAAGAGAGAAACAATCCGCACACTTCTGGTCTGTTGCAAAAAGAGCTTTACTGAAGCAAGCTTTCTGTCGGTTAGACCTTCATCAAGGCAGAGTGCACAGACCATCTTTTTGCAACAGACCAGAAGTGTGCGGATTGTTTCTCTCTTTTTACTTTACCGTTTTAACAACGCACCTTTTTAATTTGTGCAATTCATCCTCTTCTCTGTCGAGGAGGATTTTGTATCAGACAACAGGTTTAAAGCTCCTGTGAGGAGTTTTTATGTTTATGAAATAGAATGAATTTCATGTTGATGCCTTTTTGTGATATACAAAGTCAAACAAGACCATCATTGATATGGTTTATGTTGTTACTTTATAATGTCTGAAAAAGCAATTTTTTTTTTTACAATTTACTCATCAAAAATTAACAATATCTAATATATTTGACTGTTGAAAGACATCACAATCAGATTTTTGCCAGATGAGATAACTTAAGCAAGTAAAGGACAAGATAAGCCAAGACTGATTTGTGTGCAGGGAGTGCCAAATCTAACTCTCAGTGGAAGTTCCTCACAGGAACTTTAATAATACTTTTATTTTTATCTAAACCGGAATTTAATAACTTTTGAATGTTTGATGAGAATTTTCTTTATTGACATTAAAGTTTAGGTGTTGACACTGAACAAATATTTATATAGAAACACATTATCCTGCAGTATTTGCTTTGTATGTTAGATCCTGTTTAGATCACATCTATCCGCAGTCCATTACATTTTATTACTTCCTGTCAACTCTGTGGCAAAAATAATCATTTAATCGGTTAAACAACATGGGAATTAATTTTAATATTAGATTTATTTGGAGAATTTAGAATTGTGATTTTGTAGCTACTCGTACCCCAGCAGGTCAGAAGCAAAGAAACAAAACAGCAGGAGGAAAACAGTTGCCGTTTCAGAACTGTAAATACTTTGACCACATTATTCCACAATCTCACTGAAAATCGTAAAACTGGTGTTTTTTAAGAGGATCAGCCCTCGGATTTAACCACCACCAAAAGAAACAGTTTTTCTCTTTATCACACTTACTCTCTATGAGCTTTCTTCCTCTTAAATCTGCTCTTTCAGTCCTCTCATGTCTTTGCCAGTTCCCCGTCTTGTTTATTCAGCCCGTTACCTCTTTTTCAGGGAAATTTTGGAAGCACTTGTCCTCTGACCTGCAGAGTCTTTGATAACGGTGCTCTCTATCAATAGTGTCTCTGTCCCCACTGCCTTTACCCTCGAGCACTCCCTCGTAGGGCGGATAGCAGCTGACCTCCGTCCTGGCTGTGTCTTTGCACAGAGAAAAAGAAAGAGTTACTGTGCATCTTCTCCATGTGTTCAGTGATGAGAGGAGGGGGATTATTTTTCCAGGTGTCTCCTCTGACTCTGGGAATGTGTTGTTTCCCTCAGTGGGAAAAATGGATCCCTTGCCTATGCAGGGTGGGGTGGACTTGTCCCACCCAGCTGTCTCATGCTTCAGGCATGGAGGTTAGAGATCACTGAATTGTCACCATTTATTACCCGAGAACACCCACCGAAAGAAATGAAGTAGTAGACTAGCTTGATTGTTTATCTGGTTATTTTTAATAGTATAACTTGACATTATCTTGATATGATTTGACCCAAGAAAACTCATTTTATGTTCCCATGTTTTTCCCTGCTGGTTTAGGTTTCCCTAAGGGTGGAGCAGCTCCTTCATTTGGCAAAGTTACCACCCCTGCACCCAGAGGCCCAGACCGCCCCACCCCACAACCACACCCAGAGGATCTCAACTCTCTGGTGCAGCGGGCGGAGCACGTCCCAGCTGGCACTCGCACCCCAATTTGTAACAAATGCAACAGTGTCATCAGGTAAAAAAACATCTGTTTTTTAGGATGGCTGGATTCAGAATGTAGAGTTTTTTTAACTGGTGCAAATCTTCTCTGTTCGCTCTTTAATCTCTCCAGGGGTCCTTTCCTTGTGGCCATGGGCATGTCCTGGCACCCTGAGGAGTTCAATTGTGCTCACTGCCACTCCTCTCTGGTAGACAATGGCTTTGTGGAGGAAAAAGGGCAGGTGTACTGCACAAACTGCTACGAGCAGTTCTTCGCTCCCTCCTGCGCTCGCTGCAACCAGAAGATCCTTGGGGTTAGTTTACAGAAGTGAAGAAAACACTGTTCTGAACTCTGACTCAGACACCTCTTTAAACACCACCCACCGTCTTGGTTCCTGCTTAAACTCTTTTACTCTACTGCTATTTTTCCCATTAGCTTAAATTTACCAAAATTTACAAATGTTTAGAATCAACTTCCTCACACTGTCTCTCATGCTTTTCTTTATTTGATTTGATTTGTCTTTGCAGGAGATCATGAATGCCCTCAAACAGACTTGGCATGTGTCCTGTTTCGTCTGTAGTGCCTGCAATCAGCCAATCAGAGGCAACATGTTCCACATGGAGGATGGGCAGCCATACTGTGAACAAGGTACGAGAAGAACCCAGATAAAGTTCAGAATAAAGTTTGATTGGTTGATTGATTGATTGAACAGGACAGGCTAAGTAGATATGAAGTTAGGGTTAGGGTTATGGGGTTTGGGTTAAAGTGTTATTGTTACATTGGGGTAACCTTGGGATATTGGAGTTTTAACACATTTGCTGACCAGTGATCCTCAAGGAAATGAGGTAGAGCTGGGACCAAGACCAAACCACCCTATTTCATGTACCCTGATTTTACTGGTACCAAAATGAAGTCTCTACAAAGTTGCATTCAAAAGTTATAGGCAATTTAAAAAATCCCAATTCAAGTGAATGGGATTGCCCGGGCTTTAACAGAACAGGCTACATAGATATGGCATTAGAGTTAGGGTTAAAATTACTGTCCAGGACCTATTTAGGAGCACATTTCAGACCATTTGGAGTCAATTGGTACAAAAAAAAATTTTGGAAAAATATCTTTTTTTTGTTGTTGAATGTATGCAAATTAGTGCATATTCAGTTAGATACTGCCTAATTTACATATTCATACATAACATTTGAAAAAACTTGTAATACAAAAAGTATTTGTCTTAATGTAAGTTATAAACTTGGGAAGTTTCATGGTGATATCTGTTAGTTAAAAATTTTACCCTATTCACCTGGGGTGTCTCCCCTGGGCTTCCTATCCATCATGGATGCCATCTTAAAAATAGCACCTTTCTAGTGGTCAAACTTGGGTAAACTTTTAGTATGTTATTAAGGACATCTTATACTATAAAAAACAGCTGAGAAACCTTTTTTGGGGTCAAGTCATAAATGCACCTGACTATTGTTGCACCACATCATATTTGTTTGTTCACCTAGACTACTACAGCCTGTTTGGGACAAACTGCCACGGCTGTGACTTCCCCATCGAGGCGGGGGATAAGTTCCTGGAGGCTATGGGATTCACCTGGCATGACACCTGCTTTGTGTGTGCGGTAGGTGCAGGAGACGGTGTAACTCACAGTTACAAGACAACAGAATCTACAAACAAGAAATAACATGTAACATCTTCATCTACAGGTGTGCTCTGCTAACCTGGAGGGTCAGCCATTCTTCTCGAAAAAAGACAAGGCTCTGTGCAAGAAACATGCTCACTCTGTCAACATCTGACCTGCCTCCATTAAAGGGCAACAGTGTCAGTTTACAGCAATTCATAGTTCTTAAGATGTTTTGGTAATTACAACTGTGTTCTGGTAGAAGTACATTGGGTCAGAGGTTCCACTCTATGCTTTATTTTTGCTCCAATTTTGTTGGTTCATATCTGTTTTATAAAGTTAAACTATGCAGGACTACCCTTCTTTTTCTATACTTGTGTCAAGGTTTTCATACACATGTTTGTGTCGGAGTTTTAATCTCTTGATGGGACGTTTCTTTTTTTTTTTTTTTACCTCACACAGAACAAAAGAGATCACTGCAATGACCTACTGAGCCCCTCAGGGGTCACATACAGTATTAGGAGAAAAAATATGATGTGCGAAGATATGCTATTACACTAAAAGTGTAAGTAAAAGAGTTATTTAACATCAGGGGGATATATTTATTAAAAGTGAAGATTGTTCTGTTAGTGTAGGTTAAAATGGGAAATTAAAGTTTTTTACTTTTGTTTGTAAAACTAAAAGCACAAACATTTGTACAGCGGTGTGCAAATTAGACGCTGCAAATTTGAATATTTTTGATAACAATTCAGTGCAAAGATAAAATTGCAATATAGATTTTCCTGTAAAGTTAATTATAACTTTAAATCAGGGGCAGAATGGTTCAAAGGAGACGTGAATTTACTTCATCTGGAATTTCATTAAAAAATAATTTCGATTTCAAAATGATAAAGTCAGTGTTGATGTATTTTACAGAATCCTCTTCCCTCCATTGTGGCAGTGTTTTCTCCATTTATACCAATTAGGATGCTTCATATTTGATCTGTTCTTATACATTCAGTGTTTTTTCTTAAATTTGTTTATAATTAACAAAAATGATGTTAATATATATTTCAGTTCCATTTGTCTTGCACATTTTCTTTAAATAGAGGAAAACGTGCATGTTTGTTTTTACTTCAGCAAAAGATTTCGTCATTGAACACTGCTTAAAAAAGCACCAGTCATTTTAATCTCATTTCAATAAAATGGTTCAACATAGACTGACACCTCCTGAGTGTGTTCCTTAGTTTTTCAACACCAACTCATCCTGTTTTTTTTTTCCCCCTGACACATGGAGTAGTAACTCATCCACTTTCTAAATGCTTTGTTTGTGTTTCATCCAAATGTACTTTTTATGTGTTGGTCGATACACAGAAAGCATTGCAGCAGAGAAGTGATGCATGTAATGTGTGTTATAAATCTGCAGTTGTGACAGTAATTATTCAGCAGGCAGGCAGGCAGGCACCAGCATGAGCTAACTCACACATTCACCTGCAGAAAGAGTGGGGAAAGTACACAACTCCACAGGGACGGGTGAAAACAACACCCTCCACCAGGCAACAGGTCAGACAGTGCAAGGTGGTGCATTTCTTCTTTTTGGACCAAATTCTATCGATTTGGATGACTGAAAGTGGCAGATAGATAAATAAATGTGTTGTGAGTTTCATTGGGGGTGTTATTTTTGCTGGAAAGTGTACCTGGAGTTTCAAATGAGCTGACGTGCGCTTCCTGAAGACGTCAAAGGGGGGAGCTGTGCGCAGGATGACTCCACATTAAACAAGCTTGAAAATTACGCGTGGGACACTTGGGGAAAGTGGGTCCACAAGAGAGAGGAAAACAAGCGAATCAAAGATACCACAGAAGATCTCAAATAAACTCTTACTCGGATGTTGTGGAGCTGCTGCTTCAGCCCGTGAGGAGTCGACGGTAAGGACGCTTTTTCCTGAAGGACCACATTGGCGTGTGTCGGAGCGCAGTTCGAGTCGAGGCGTTTGTGTCGCTCTGTTTTGATTGTCAAGCTTTCTTCACTTAATCCAGAGGCTTTCTAGTTTGTTTTTGGTACTTTGGCTCAAGTAAAATAAAGCAGACGTGCTTTAGTGAGCTGCATGTGGTGAGTTCGGTGCTGACAACAGCTGCAGGCGATCAACGAGAGTCCCCACAGTGTTGTTATCAGCGGTGTGCGATGATGAGAGTGATGATGAAGATGATGCTTATCCGTAATTGATGCCATGATAGCCGCTTAGCGCATCTTAACTTCTGATGTGAGGGAGGAGATCGTTTCTAAACTGCGTTAAGATTAGATGTAGTGTGTGTAAATGTTCACGAGTTTACTTTATGAGTCCTCGTTGCCTTTTAAGACAGTGAAACACCGACAATATTTCTGTTACTCTCGTCTTTATGGCCATTTAGCAGAGGCTGTGCAGCTTTCGATTAAATCTCGTTATTTGACCAATAGATGCTCAAAATTTTCTCTTTCCCCCTCTTGGAGTTTTTTCTCACCTCAGAACTGCTCGAGAAGGTCAGTCTTTTTTATTATTTTTTATAAAAAGTACCTTTAAACATCAGATGTAATGCCTCAATAATACCTACTTTTGATATTTTCCTGCCATTTCAAAAAGTTTTGTTGTTGTTGTTTTTCTGACATTGCATGACAGTTTTGTGATGATGTGTGATTTCATTGATAGCAAGTTATTTCTTTCACTATTTTATTAAGTCTTTTTTACAATGAGATATTTTCACATAATTTGGCCAATTTAAAATGCCAGTACAGCCCAGTGGTTTGCCACATTGTCAACAGGCAGATGTAAAGTGTGTCTTCTTTCCAATTTAATATATGAGATTAGGTTGTCCTTGGTGTTTTTTTTTTATGCTGTTGATAAGTAATATTGTTGTTTTGGGGTTTTGACCAATCAGAATCAAGTATGTAACTAGGGATGCACTGATTGGATGGGATATTGGCACCAATATTGACAAATGAACTGGATTGGATATCTGATGAATGATGCCAATCCAGCATCCCGATCCAGTCTTTTTTTTTCTTTCTTTTAATTATTATCATACACAGCAACACAGTGGTTCTGTTCCCTCTATATTTCATGTCTGTATATCCTTTTGCACTAAGTGTTTACATGGGAGTCTAACTTACTTTTGCTGTGTGCTAATAATGTTAAGTAATTTATATCTGTGTTAATTTGTTACCTTTTCTTTAACAAGGCTAATGTCAAGCCTGATGCCTTCACTCACAGGCATAGGTATACAGTTCATTCATTCAACAGTAGTATTGGATCAGTATCAGATATCAGCCGATATGCTCAGCCCAGGTATCGATATTGGATTGGATCAGAAAGAAATGGATCGGTGCATCTCTGTATTTAACCTGGATAAGAAATGCATGAGTGTACGTCTGTTTAAGGCTTCTGTGTAAATGGACCTTTTCAAGTGAGATTTATTCTATTTCTAGGTAAATGTTACTCCCACTGTGTATGGCTTTGAGCTAAAAACTCCACCACCAGTGGGTTCATAGTGGCATGTGGTCAATCACAATATTTGACTGACACAAAACCTCTCTGTACCCTGCACTCGATCACTGAGGGATGTGAAGCAGAGCTGATGTGTGTGACACCGCTTAGCCCCTGATGTTTACATCAGCATCCCAGAGAGCGGTGGGAGCCAAGCACAGCAGGCTGCACCTTATGTTGTGTGTCTGTGGTCTGTACTTTGAATGCACAGAACAGCTCATTGAGGCAGGGCTGAGTATAGTATCAAATAGGAGGGTTGATAAAACTTCTAACTACTGACCAGCTCTGCCTCTGACAGGAGGATGGCATGGCATTGGCACTGCATGATGGGACCGTGCTTTGTGGTCTACCACAAACTCAATCATCTCACTTGTTGGACCATAGTGGGAATGGCTAAGACAAAGGGTGTGTGTCTGTGAAATGTACTAAAATTAGACTAGATGAGACACTTGATAAAGGCCTATTTGTTAAAAAGTATATGAGATGACTGTGTCCTCAAAAACTAATGCTGAAAAGTCAAACCTGTGATTCAGGCAGCATTCAAAGTGTCTCCCCATGAGAGAGTTTGTGCAGAAGTTGTGTACCTGCAGTTGTTTTTCCCACAAAATCACAAGATGTTAAAAAACAAAGACCTCCAGGAGCCTCCACATACACTCAATCATAACTCAAGTGGAGTTACTCATGATCTATGCAGGCCCTGGTCTGAGTGTGGCTTCATCCACACGGCTAAACTTAGCAAGCTGTGAACCCTCACCCCAGTTTCCTCCCTTATAATTACAGGAAATGAGCCTAGCCAATCAGAGCAGAGATGCTTAGTGCATATTAACGAGCTGAATAGGAGCAGTATTTGAGGAGCAGACAGGTAATGAACAAGTATGTTGGAGGTGGGGTGAGGTCTCCACTGAGGCTACAGGAGACTTGGGTCGGACAGGAGAAGGAAGGTAAAGTTTTTACTATATCACCTCACACTCAGTAAGGTAACATGAGCACTGTGACTGCTGACAGATTGAACGGTACGATGGCAGCACATGAAGAGACAAACTGCCACTGATTTAATATCTTTTCCAGCTGTTAGATTATTAGATTTTTTAAAAGATTTCTTTGGGTTTCTTCCCTTACGTGCTCACTTAAACACACACTCATAGAGGAGTGTATCATATCAAGACTTCCCACAGGTATGGCTTTTCCATCAGTGGTTCACTTACTGATTTCTGCATCTGTTGCTGTTCTTCTCAGTCACTCTCTTCTTTATTTCTCATGCATAAACACACCTGGTATATAGGTAGCTGGTTGGTGGGTAAGCGGGTAATGAAGTAGGTGGGTGTGTATTAGGTTTGTCATATAGTACACACCATGATGAGCCAATACAGTACTATTCACATCTCAATTGCAGGTTTTGATTTAACTTAGAGCAATTTGATAAGACATGATGTCATTCAACAGTCTGAGTTTTAATCAATCAGATAAAATTAAGACCTTTCACAAACTTGAACTTTTTCACAAGTCCTACATGAGTGTTCTCTGTTTCAAGCTTTTGGTATTAAGTTGCAGCAGGTGCCAGCAGGTCCGGCTGGAAAACGAAATTGTGGTTGTGTGCTCTGAACCACTGTGAGAGAATAAATGCTCAGAAAACTTGTACAGGGGTCAAGAATAAGTAAACTGATTAGAGCTCGATTCAAGACTGAAATAACTGACAAGAATCTGGATTTTTTTACAGAGTATTGTAATGTTGTGAGATCGTAGATTTTTGTATTTCCATCATCAAGATTATTGTAAAAAAGGCCAAGGGGGAGGTAAGTTTGAAGGTAACAGTGAGTAGGCAGAAAAATAAGTGTGAAGGTAAGAAGGCGAAGAGTTGATAGGTAGATTGGTAAGCTAATAGGCAGATAGGGAGGTAGGCAAGTGGATGGGTTGGTTAGTTGGTCGTTGGTTGGTGGGCAGTCAAGTCAGTAGTAAGAGGCCAGATAGGTATGTAGGCAGGTTGGTTGGTAAGTGTAGAGGTCAGTTGGAGTCAATAAGGTAGGCTGATCTGTAAGTGGGTTGGCAGGTAAATAGACAGTGGGTTGGTTGGTTAGAAAGAAAGATTAAATAATTTGTAGGGAGTAAAATAGACACACAAGTGAGTGGGTGTGCAAGTTTGCAAAAAGACGATTATGCTGTTAGGTTGGTTGGGGGGTTACTAGGTTGTTTACCAGGTAGATATGAAGAGGTAAACAGGTATCTTGGGAGTAAAGGTTGGTGGACAGTCTGGTTGACACTTGTGAGAGGCTGAGGAAGGTAGGTATTTTGAAGGGTTCGTTGGGAGGTTGGTGGGGAATGAAACAGGTAGGTAGGCTGGTAGGTGGATTGCTTGTATGCGGGTGTTTAGGTAGGTAGGTTTGAAGGTTGTATGGCATTTTTGTTTAAGATATGGACAAAAAACAGGATAAACAGTATTTAATTCTACACTAAACGGTAAATGTAGGAGAAAAAAAAGGGTATGTAGGGAGGAAAATAGGGAAGCAAAAGTTAGTGAAAGTAGGACGGTAGGTAGATAGATTGGCAAATAAGTAGGTAGACAGGTTAATTGGTAAGAAGGTCAACTGATAAGGGGGCAGGCAGGTAGTCAAATAAAAAGGCAGAGAGCCAGGCAAATAGGAGTGGTAAATAGGCAGAGGTAGGCAGGTAGCTTAATCGGAAGGGAGGAGAGTAGGAAGGTGGGCAAGGAAGTAGGAAAGTAGGTAGACATATTAGATGATCACTTGGTGGATCCCAAACCAAAGTTATTTGAATCTAGGTCAAGTCTGAATTCAACTGTTGGGTTTAACTGCCATAATAACCTGTGAGAGCACTATGCTGTACCCCTCCAGCTCCCATCAGCCAGAAAGTACAGACATAATACAGCCAATCTTGTTCCACTTAGGAATAATCATCTTCTTACCTGCGGGCTCCACTGGAGCTTTGACAATTACTACAGCAACAAGACCAAAGTATAGATGCCCTCGGTTGCTGTTTCATCTTAAGTCCTTCATAATGAGACTCAAACTGAGGCAACAGGAATCACTTAAAGCTGCGAGCTGTTGTGCTCTCTGCCTGGAAGGTCAGCGGCCATGTGAGAGAAAGCCGACATCCTGTTATTAGAGAGGGAGAGGGAAAAAATATGGTGAAGGAGGTACAGGATGAGTGGGGGGATGATTGAAGATCGAAGAAGAGAAGAGGATAAGGGGTGCCTGATTGGATGAAAATCAAAGTGGGGAAAGACCTGAGGTTGAAATTTAGCCTCAGACCTTTTAGTTTGAGATGCGGGACATATGAGCTCATTCTAATAACTGTACTTTTTTCTTCCAGAGTGAGACCATGGCTGGAGTTCTGGCTGGATAAAGTCACAGGATGCTGTCTTATGCCTTATGATTAGATGGTGAGTGGAGCTTTTAGGTACTCAGCGTCCTTTTTCTCGTCTTAAAAATGTTCATAGTCAAACTTCAACACACTGTTAAATGTTCGATATAAATCCCAAACTCTGACATAAGATCACAAGTCGTTCCACTTGATGGTTCAAATCAATAATATCCTGAAGAAAGTGATATCCAAAGCTAAAAGCTGTATTGATCAGGTATGATTTTCCTGCATTTGAGATACTATTTGACAGAGCTGATTTTGTGTATGTGTGTGTGTTTGTGTGTTTTGGTATCATTATGCCATCTTGGCAGCAATTTGCTTCCAAAGTGGCAGCTAATTGACTTTCTTGCTGAGCATGTGGATGTCTGTGTAAAATAACCCACAGTGGCTATAATAGATCCTGTTTTCTCCACTTGAGTATCAGGCGAGACAGAGGGACTGTCCAACAAATGGAGCTCTGAGAAGGAACATTCGATAGAGAGTAGTACATTTCAGAAACTGTACAGAGCTTAAATTTCAGCAGAAAGATTTACCATAGCAGGACAGATATATCACATACTTAATCTACATATGAAACATTTTAAAATTTTTGGTGATTTCACGTAAAATTACCGACTATATTATGAAAATCAGAATCAGAACAGAATCTCTGTTAGGCTCTGCATGTTTGAAGATACACTGTATATTTCCCTCCTTTTATTTCAACAGTGAGCAGGCGTGCTCTGCCGTTTAATAAGCATTCCTTTTACACTAAGCAATGAACTTGCCACTACACGACCTATCATAAACAGCAGAATATGCTGACACAGCTCAAATGCAGAGTCTGGGTGTACAGCCGGGAGCCGGCCACATGCAGGGTGCAGAAACAAAGACAGAATAGGGTTACTATACCAGGTACCAAGACGATAGAAGACTCAGTTAGGACTTTACATGACGCTCTGTGACAGTTAACTGCTGGTAGGAAAGGAAAGAGGACTGAAGGCAAACACTGCTTCAAGTTGGAGAGTGACTCACTCACACCTATGAAGAATGTCAAGAATCTGTTAGAGTTCACACTGTGTCGTCATCTGGAGCTGGATCCTGCACATAAAAGCCAGCTGTGTGTCTGTGTATCTTTAGAGAAAAAGGGTATACAGACAGCTATGATATATAAGTATCTTAAGAATTATTCAACTGTGTTTTAAGATTGCTACAGGACCAAAATTTGAAACTTAATAGTTCTTTTGAGTGGTCAATGTGATATTGCCTAAACAATAGAAATAGGTTGATTAATTGGGCTGATTGGCATTTTGAGATAATCAGCATTGACCCTCACAAGGCCAATATTGCCATTATCTTGCTGAATGACAAACACTACATCTGCATTTATTTAATAAAATATTCAAGTTTTTCATTTGAACGTGTTATATTGTATTATATTGTTGTAGTTCTTTTGTTGAATTCATATAAAAACAAAACAGATAAACAAGAAACAATGTGTTGTTGGCATTATATCGCCTGCTCTCTTTGTATTGGTATTGGCATCTGGCTTTAAAAAATTGATATGGGTCTCTCACTATCCAAATTGTTTTCTTCTTTATTTTCTAAGGTACTGCCAAAAATCCAACAAGGCTTATACTTGTTCTGATACTACAACTAGTGGTCGACTGATTATAGTTTTTCAATGGCTGATACCAAAAAGCAGGTCTGCCGATGGCTGATACTCAATGCAGATATCACGTTGTTTTATTTTCTGTCTTTTTATTGCATTTGACACAGTACAATTAAACAAAACTAACAAATATGAAACAACGTTGCTGAACAAAATTGAACATTTTATTCGATGACAGTGGGTAGAAAAATACTTTGCGAAGTACAATATTACCACATTTATTTTGGAAGTCGGTCCAGCAATCCTAAATGATCAGAAATTGAAAAAAATAAAATTCTAAAGTTAATATTTCGGTTAAGATTCATAAAAATTGACCTTTTATTTCATGCATTTCAAAATCAAATAATCATGGTAATCTTAGCCAGTTACATTTTAAGAAACACAATGGAAATCTCAGTCTTGTGAGGGCTGATGTTGGTATGATACCGATTACCAAAAGATATCATTTATTGGCCCACTTGATCAGCCAACTTATTCACCAGTCTATCTCTAACTATAACAAGCTGCCTTCTCTGCACTAGCATTGTGTACAGTACAGAAAAGATAACTAATCATCTTCACATTTAATGCTGTTTATCCTTGCAGTTGTTTGCACATAAACGCTCATTGGCCTTTTTCTCCTTGTGCTCATCCTGTTCCTCTGCTTTACCATCACACAAACCTGCACACTCTCCCTAGCAGTGTTAAACAGCACTGTACTGCTGCTACAATACAATACACAACACAACACAACACATCACAACAAAACACAACACAACGACAGTACAGCAGTCTGTACTTAACGCATTTTGCGGCATTTGCAACTACTTTGCACTCCCAAACTTTGTTGCATCCATACTTTGGGAAAAAAGTCCAGATTGCCAGTCCAGCGCTTTCCTCCTCATGTCCATGCAACTTAAACTGAGAGGTGTTTGGGGGCAGAGCAGACCTTGTTGACAAGGAGGGGAGGGTGTGTCATATTGTGACTGAAATTGAAATTTGATTGATTGCCCAGCCTTACAAAGTACCAGTCAGCATGTTAGCCGCCTCTCCAACTTTGTGGTTTATTAAGAAAAGACAGGTCAGCAAGACCACCCAGAATCCCAAGATCATCACCTGTTCCAGCTGAAAGGGTAAAACCCGAGATCCAGCACTCTTCTTCTCTGTGTTGGTTCAGCAACATACCCAGCTGTGACTCAGCGTGTTATTTGGCTGAAATCATCTTGGCTCGACTTTAATGGAGTACATTTCACGAAGCTTGCTTTCTTTTCTGCGACTTCATAGTTCAAAAATGGTTATATCTGTGTGAAGGAGAGGTTTTGAGTTTCAGCACCCTCAGAACCCATCAGTATGATGTCCCCAGAGAGTTGAATCTTTCAACAGACTAATCTGCAAAGCTTTGTTCTGAAATTTTGCGCGTCTGCTCTACTGTAGGCCTCCCCCTGCACCGTATCTGATTCTGCAATTGAGCCTCACACTTGTCTTCAAAATAACAAGTGACAGGCAGTGCCACTCTGACTGTGAGAGGAGATGGGGAAACAGATGAAATCAATTTCTGTCTTGTTCGTGTTATTTTCCCGTTGCCCAGCTCTGTGATTCTGATGACAGATTGTGAAATAGGTTTCAGATGCGCCTTTTTCTTTCTTCTCCCCCACAGATTTCAGAGAGGGCAGAGGTCATGTGGAGTTATACCTGTGAGGCCGTCTGCCGGGAAATGTGCTGACATCAGAGCTTTGTATTTTAAACAAGAGGGAACAAGAAAGATCAGGACGATGCTACAGTGACAGTACAAAAGAAACTGTGTTTGCATAGATCACATCAGGTGAGTGTCATCTTTTATCAGCGTTATGCTAATCAGTCAGGTCATTTCAGACACACATCCTGGAAAAGCTGGACTATTATAGAGTATCACACCACCGGAAATGTGAAGCTGAAATAGCTTTTAACTGTGAAATGAAAACTTTTACAGGTATAAATATAAGGGGGAACTTAAGTGTATTAAAGTTTTGGTGATGTTTTAGATGTGTAAACTCCCTTAAGTTTGGGATTTGATTAGGCGTGGCCATGTTCAGATGTTTTGTATCACAACTGCTCAAATAATTCAATGAACAAATCACAGTTTCATTTTGTTTTGAATTATAACATGGCTAGTTTCTGCTGTTTATGTCTCAATTCACACAGCAGCTGCTTCCCCCTGATGTCATCTTAGGATAGGAAGTTCAGCTGCTGTAATTGTTCCGATCACCAGTGTGCAAGCCTGGGAAATCCCTGAAAAGACAGGACTCTGACCTTTTTTTTAACTTAATGTTACTCTCCCGCTGATCAGCAACTTGACACACATGTTTGATACAATCCAGAAAGATAGACCATGTTTCAAATCAAAACAAAGCATTTGATAACAGCTAACATTTGCACATAATGCTTTTTAAAGTTTTTTAATCAGTTTTTTAATTTATCAATTTATTATTTTTTTATGAATCATTTTTTTCTATGGTATCAAAAAATTTTAAAAAATAATAATAATTTCCCAACAACCAATTTTGTGTGAGCTGGTAATATTACTTGTTGGGATGTCATGCAGCAGTGAGTTGCTTGTGAGATACCCATTTTTAAAACTTGGAACTATTAACTGATTGTCTTCTCAGATCAGTCCAAAGTCGAAAAAAAAACAAGGATGTTTTTTTAATTGCTATGTGTTAAAATGTACCATCCATCCATCCATCCATCCATCCATCCATTAATACCAAAAAACCACCCAACTTTGAATACATCCATCCATCCATCCATCCATCCATCCATCATCCAAACATCATCTATCCCTTCAACCATCCAACATCCATTGATGATACATCAAATCATCCATCCATCCATCCATCCGTCATCCAAATTTCATCTTTCCATTCAACCATCCAACATCCATCCATTGATACCAAAAAACCATCCAACTTTGAATCCATCCATCCATCCATCCATCAATCCATCGTCCAAATATCAATGATCGATTCAACCATCCAACATCCATCCATTGATTCCAAAAAACCATCCAACTTTGCATCCATCCATTCATCCATCCATCCATCCATCCATCGTCCAAACACCGTCTATCCATTCAACCATCCAACATCCATCGATGATACATCAAACCATCCATCCATCCATCATCCAAATATCATCTATCCATTCAATCATCCAGCATCCATCCATTGATACCAAAAAACCATCCATCCATCCATCCATCAATCCATCCATCCATTCAAATTCTCTCAACCTGACGATGGGGTCCGATTAAACCTTTTGTATCCTAATTCTCCATGAGAGAAGCACTGAGTTCCTCTTAGGTAGTTAAAATAGCGGAGGAAAACTGCAGCTCATCTGGCAAACTAAGAGCACAACCAGCAAACGATCATCACATTTATGACATCAATACAGCACATTTTTTGCCACCACCATAATGTCAAAGGAAAATGGCCACTGAGTGAATATGATGAATGGTCAGGATTGTCAGTTGTTGACCACTGTTGTCTATTTTTGACTGCAGGAGTTCAGGGCAGGCTATGTTTGGGCTATTTGAGTCAGGGATTGTGGCTGGAAAGAGTTGAGCTCTTAAATAATGTAGCATCAGCTAATGTCACAGAGCAAACACTTGGCATGTAATTTATAGCATTGAGAGCAAATGGGGCCATCTGAGCTAGCTTAGCATGTTGATGCTTATAGCTACGAAGTACGATAGACGTAGAAGCCGGAAACCCAGAATGTTCAGGACTAGGGAGAGGCTAAAAGTACAACATGGTTAAAACTTTGATGACAAATGAGGGAATCTTAGCTTTTAATTCATGTTTATGCTCTCTATGACATTTTGCTCACCACTTAGGGATCAGATGCAAGATCTGACTCTCATGTAGCAGGGCCTTTGCTTCTTCATCTGTCACTCAGGAGGTCCAGACATTAAGTTGAAGGCTATAGATGCTTGTGCACAGCACCTGAAATACATCAGCACTACAAGGGTGATGTAGAAAGTTTTAAAAAGTTGATCTTCCATGCCTGTGCTGATTTGAGGAATGGCTAAACACACATTGTTACAAGTGAAAGCCATAATTCCTGCAGCTTTTAAAAGCTGAAACCATTACAACTGACAAAACAGTCATCACTCCATCCTATTCTACAGTGTCTTTGTGCAAACATTCAACTGAGTGTATTTCCAGCTTCTACAGTAATGTTTGTCTCCTGAGGGCACACTGCTCTAACTGGAAACACGCCTCACTCACACACACTCAAATTCACACTGTCAGACACAATACTGCATCACATTGCGATCCCTGTCAGGTTCTGGCATTAGCTGCAGGATTAGTCAGCCAGCCAAAACAGGTGACAGGTGACAAACTCATGTCAACACTTCATAAAGAGGACTTGAACATGGGATTAACTGAATTACTCTTGCAAACAAAAGGTGCGTCATGTTACTGCAGGAAGCATGTCAGTTTGCAGTAGTTGTATTTGCTGTTTATATCTCTGTCTGTCACGTTCCTGGCTTCAGCTTGTGACAGCTGCTGTTCTTTGTTGAAACTGTTTGGCTCTAGTTGTCATGATTTTCCAGACTTTTCCCTGTGACATTTCAAATACTCTTTCTGTTTATTTTTGTCCAGCTCTCCTGCTGTTTGGACAGATATAATTTGTCATGTTTGGAGCTCATATAGGTGTCTCCCCTTACTTTGAAAATATCAAACTAAAGATGCTCAAACCTGCTCTGTTGCTATAAATACTGCCACATAAACTGGCATCAGGCCCAGTACAACTCACCTATATAGAAGTGTTTGTAGATGTAATGAAGTTATGTCAATTATTTCCTGTGTTTGTAATAGAGGGGCTAACACAGAAGCCTAGGTTACAGACATCCTTAAATAAATAAGTAAAAGTTGGGTTGGGCCTGGCTTTGAGTGACGGATAAAGAAAAAAAAAGAATTAGCTAAAATGAGTATGCCTGATCAGCACCGCAGCGCTGTATTACTTTGCATTCGAGATATATCACATGAACTATAACCATAGACATACTGATTTTAGCCCTTAGACTTTGCCTGGTTGGCAAAAACATGTGGAATTATAGTTCACCCTGTTGTCTTTATAGATATGTGGGGCACTTTTCTGCTTTTCAAATCTACTTTTGAGCTGGAAAAACAGGTTGGCCACACCAATCACTCATTCTTCCTTCATCTTTAGTCACAGTTTTCTTCAGTGTGAGAAGACACCAGTTCCTGTCCTAGTCTTTCCAAGTCCGGCCCTCCTCTGTAGCTCTGAGAGCTCTAGGTAGTGGAGAAGACCAGATCAGATTACAACAAAAAGAAAGCAGGAGGGGAGTAGCAGCGAGCTAACCTGCTGCTGTCTGGATTGTTATTGCAGGTGTTCCAGAGCAGTCACAGCTGTTAATTACCACAGTGCAGCAGCACACATGGAGCTGCAGCTCAGCTGCGCATGAATGGCCTTGTACAAGTGCATGTTGGTATGTTAGCATGCCCAAAAACACAGATCAGGATTTGAGGATCAGGGAGTAAATGCTTTCTCACTGTTACAGAACCCTTTGGTTGAATCTTGTATTTGTTTTGGAATTTATTTTTGTATGTGTATTTGTAGAAGACTTCTGCTAAGCTGATTACAATCTTTGACATCTTTGTACAGTTTATTGAACTTTTTTAACTTTGAGAATTTTCATAATCTGTGCTGTTTGAGGGGCATGTGACTGTAAGGCAATACTGGTTGTCATATACATTGATTTCAAATTTGGGATCAATGTTGACTTTTATCCCTTTTCTGAAATGCTTACTGTGCAACCAAAAACACAGATTTATCTATAAATAGGCATTAGCCAAGCAGCTGAAGAAACAGACCTTTGTTTTTTTACATTTTCCACATAATATTTACACAAAAACTGAAAAATTGTGACTCTGAGAAGTCATCACATGATACGATTCAAGCAAAGACTGCTTTGTTTACGAGAGGCAGCAAAGTTGGCACAAACCAAAAGTTCCTCACAGGAGCTTTAATTTTAGTTATGTCACCTTGATAAACCAACATCACTGCTTATTTGTTGCTATGTGATACTGGACTATTAGTTGTGGTAATTTTCTTTGTACATCATCTTTTTATATAGGGATCTGCAGACTTCTAATCCTTGTTTGTCAGAATATTGTCTTTTCTTTAATGTTAGTTTATCTGCTTTCCAACACTCCTCAACCACAGCAGCATAAGGGTGATCAGTGTTCCCTGTAAGACGTTCTAATTTGAGGAAATTGAGCGAAATGTGTAGCTGTTAAATTCAGCAACTGTTTTTAAATTGATTCACCTCAATCTGCATCTCTAATCCGCTACGACAAAAACAGCACTGCGTCACAAGAATGTCTCTGTTTTTGAGTACACTCCCTTCCTTTTTATGAGATGTGTGTGTGCCTGTGTGTGTCCACGTTTGTGTCGGTGAACAGCTGTTCCTCTTTGCCTCCACCTGTGTAATGTGGCTTTGAACAACGCAACAGTAGCTCTTTTGTATTATTTGTGAAAGTTGAGTTAATTAAATGGTACAGGTTGTGAGTACCTGATGTGGAAGATAAGCGACTTTTGTCTCGAGTGCTGACATCTTGCGGCTTTAATGCTTTTCCTGATTCACATCTGAGCTGCTTGTTTGACACACTCGAGTAGTTTTTCAACAATTAAGCTCTGTTTTCTACTTCTGGACACAAGGTGGTCGAGCCGGTGGGTGTTCCCCCACATTTGGGAACTTGTGTTTATTTTATTTTTCGAAAGTGCTGCAAATTAAGCAGTAGGTAACCTTGGGCGGACTGTTCCATACAAGTGGGTAAAAGAGCGGGAAGGGGCAAAGAAGCTGAGAGCTGAGAGAGAAAAACCTCAAATGTGAAAATGACTGGAACTCCAAGGGTTTTCAAAACAGAGCCCAAAGATTTCATTACACATACCTGGACAACTGAGGGCATGGAAAAACCCCTCCCTTCATGCACACATGTGCACACACAGATACACACTGAACAGCTGGGCTAGTCTGAGAAATAATAAGAATAATGTAAACTAAATAAAGCAGAGACGACTCCCAGCCGACAGAGCCAACACGTGTTAGCTTCAGAAATATGCAGAAACCCGGTCATCAATCACAGACGGGCGGCCCTCAGTCTCGCTGACAGGCTCCGACAGATTGGAGGCAGAGATCTTTGGGCTGGTGGCGGCTTTGTTTCCAGACTTGACTGCAACTCGTCTTGAGTGATGTTTCGTTGGTACTCATCCAGGGGCGGTGGAGATCGACTGACGAACAGGCGGCAACATTGCAGAAAAGCTAATGCACTTGTCAACAATATTTTATGGTTGTGTTCTTAATGTTGTTAGAGTTGTTTTATTAAAGCTGCGGATCAAACCATTCCTTTAAAAGTGCTGTGGGAATATTCCCACTATGGCTCAACAGTCTACTGGTTACAGTATAACTGCAGGCGTTAAATTGGCCTAAACCAAGCAAAACAGAGCAAACGGGAGGCAGACAGTCCTGAGGGGCCAAGCTGGAGTTTAGTCTCTAAAACTGAACCTTCAGCAGGGTTCAGAAGGACAAGGAGGGATCCAGGGATGTTGGGATAGAAACGGGGAGTAGGGGGGACCCCTTACAAAGACAAAGCCCTCCGGGGTCCTACTCTGAGATCCAGCTTCGTCTGTGTAAACATGTCTGGAATGACACTTTCTGTATATGTGTGTGTGCGTGTGTGTGTATGGTGGGGGGTCAGTTCTAATTCTTGTAAAGCTATGGTATATGTATCTGGAAAAGTGAAGAGGATGGAAAATTTGAGCTGAAGAAGGTAATTCATTTTCTGTCATCCAGCAGTTCTTTACCTGCTGATACAGACCTCTCAAGAAGGTTTTAAACTTGACCATGTAGCTCCTCTTTTTTAGATTTTCTACCACACCACAGATCATGGTTTCCAAGACATTAGCATAAAACAGTCTGTAGGAGCCAAATATGTTGCTGTGATACATATTATGAGTTGCAGTTCACTTTGTGTGCCTTGGGTGTTGCTGTCTTGTTATCTGGGGGCTCAGGGATAAAGGTAGTCGTGTCACTGTTGTGGCAGGTGTTGGACCCGGAAGGGCAAATGGTTTTTGACCATTGTGGCGCTAACTACCAGCAATAAAATTTATGTTTGTTGAATCCGAGGAACAGCGTCCAATAATCCAGCGTTTCAATAATCATCACAACTCACAGTAAAACTCAGTAGCACGGCGCATCAACCAGGTTACTCCAGGTCAAGCATCTCAGTAGCTTAAAGTATCGACTTAGCTCCTATACAGTCTCTTTGGTTAGCCCAGATCATCTTGAGTATGATGCTAACATGGGTTAAGTAGTTTTTAATTTCATGGCTGTCTTGTAGGAAATAGTAGTTTGATAGTTTGGTTAATCCCTTCATTTGTTTTAATATTGTGTGATAAATTTGAAGACTGTAGCCATTGCTAGAGCGAAAAAACCTTCATAATGAGTCCAATCAGACTGTTTAAAAGTCTGCCTACTACTGCAAAACTTGGTCAGCGAACACTTTATGTTTAATTTTTTTTAGACTTTCTGTGAGTTATGATTGTATGAACAAAGCTAGCATCGCTTTCTTCAAACTTTGTCCAATCTTTATGCTAGGCTAACCCGCTCCTTTGTTTTTCTGGCGCTCGGACATGAAAGTGGAATAATTATCTGTCTGTAAGGGTGCGGTGCTTGAACTTTTTGGGATCTCTCATTTCAGTTGATTCCCAAGAAACCCAAGCGGGCTGTATATCTCCTCTCCACAGAGACAAGTTAAAACTGTTGCTACAGTACAAACAGAGTTCATCATCATCATTATGCGTCAACCCCCCCTGAGAGTTGAATGAACGTCTCACTGCATCCAATCGTTTCTTCACCCACTGTCTGTCTTTATTAGACACAAGGAGACCAGACAGCTGTGCCTGGTCTTCATCTTTCTGCGCTGCACAAGGATGCATGTGTGCCTTTGAGATAGATCTGGCATAAAAAATTAATCTTATGTGGCTTGTTTGACTGAGCGTGCTGTCTCCCTGCCTCGCTCTCTGATCTTGACGTCGGGCCTAAAAGGGCCATCATCACTGAGAAATGTGGCGCTCTTTGATCACTGTGATGACCAGTGAGGGTGCAGGATTTATGTGCTGCGCTGAAAGGAAAACATGACGATCCAATCTAATGCCGAATGAAGAGTTAAGCGTGACCAAACACGACCGAAAATTTACATACACAACAGCCTGTTTATCATCTATGCAAGATTGACAGCTGCAAAAACGCTGCCAGTACTTAAACGCCACTTAGCTGCGAGGAGACCCTTACTTTATGAGAAACACAAAGAATAAATTAGCACTTGTGACTTCACCATGAAGGCCAAGAGCCACTCATGACTGTCATAAACAAATATGAACCATAATGGGAGGATAATTGCCTGCCATGTCTGTTTACATTCTTTGACGCAGGGACCTTAGATAGCAGCTCAGCAGATCACAAGAAAGTCAAAACTGCTGATTAACATCCTCTAAAAAATGACTCACTTACTGTAAGAGATCACGCTGACATTTAGTGACATTTAACCTAGTTCTCAGTGAGCTTAAAAGTAGTAAGCAATCCCTGTGCACCGTCCTCACATAAATGAAGAACATATGAGGAGAGGGGACGGGGGGGTCACATGGTCACATTTTGAAGCTAGCCCTGTTTGTTTGGTTTCAGATGATATGGCTCTAATATAATTTGTTTGTTTTTGGCGACTATGAATTTTAACTCTTAGTTTGAACAAAAGGTAAAAAAATAAATCAATAATTTCAAAGTAACCATAAAAATCCTGGAGTGACCTTAGTGCGAACTGAACTATCTATAGCTCCAGTTTAATGAAGTCGTTTCACATTGACGATCTAAAAGTGTGTAAAAGTTCAATCCCAGAGTCCTGAATGCCACTTGGGACGTCTTCGAAAAGGGCAGTCGCCAAATATATCCAGGACACAACTGGAATGCATGAAAGTTATATGCTTAAAATTTTTGCAAAGCAGCATCACATCATTTGACACTGTGGCCGACTGATGATTTCTCTAAGGTAACAACCAAGGAAGAGATATCTTTATATAGCACATGCTTTAAGAACCGCACCTCACTCTCACTCCTCTGCATTCATATTTACAATCTTGCATCAGTCTTGGACACCAGCGTGAAGATTCGGCTGAACAGAAACAGAAGTCTTCTATAAAGACCTGGAGAACCGGGGGAAATGGTCATCCATCATGAATAGCATGTGATGACATCTCTGACCCTGTGTCCTCTCTCTTTCTCTTTCTCTGTTTCCCTCTTTCTCTCTCTCTCTCTCTCTCTTTCTGACACACGCATAGAGTGCTGCTTGTCTGGCTGCCAGCGCTTCACCTCAGGTCACATTGTTTCCTCATTTAGGTCCATTCATCACTTTACGTCCAAGCAGGGAGAGAAAAAAGTTTGCTTTTACCTGTCTTACACATTGACTTTTTCACCTTTATAAAAATTTACAGTTAGATTTCATATATCTTCATGATACAATTTAATAATAGAGCATTGACAATAGGCCAAAGTACAGATAATGAAGGTGAAAGCAATTTTATTTTCAATCCAAAATGGGAACATTTGGAGTGTTTTTTCTGAATTCATAAAAAATAAATTTGAAAGCATCAACTAGATGTAATACTCAAGGAGAGAGTCACAGAGAGTTCACTAAAATGTCAGCAGAAACACAAAGAAACCTTCCCGAGGCATACCTGAAGAGATGAGATGCTGACCTCTGACCAGTCTGACCAGACTTTGATAGACCTCTCCTCCCACTCAAAATGCCTGAAGCAGGGTGTGTATGTAGGCATCAAATATACACTACATCTGGAAGCCCTGTGGACTGAGCCACAGCAGCGATCCAAAGAGGTATCCCTTTATGTTGTGGCACAATCCACATACTGTTCACATGTCCTCAAGGTCTTATTAAAATTACAGATTTAAGTTCCCCAAGATAAACTTAGGTGCCTCTAGGCAGATAAAATCCAGTTAGTTTGTAATGTTAGCTACTAGCTGGGTAGCTGCTGACGTGTTAGCTTGCAGGTGAATATATACACAAATGTAAAGAGCAGTTGTTGAAATTGTTTAGGCAGATAATACGGGCAGGGAGAGTGAGATTTAAACGAAAAAAATTATACTATGACAATACCAAGTAAAATGTAAGTGCTACACAGCACATGAAGATGTGTTATTCTCTGTTGGTCAAAACAGGAACATTTCACCCAAGTGTCAGTGTGACATTTTTGGTCGAAATCCTCCTCAGGGGAACTCTCTTTTTTTCACAAACTCTTGTGGTGACTCCTCTTTTCCTCTCTTTACACATGTACTCGACTTTATCTGCGAGGCCCAGTAATCCACCACAGCTGTCTTACTGTAAATACAATTAACCCCAGTAATTGTGTGATGTTGACTTTGGGTTTGGTACACTTTCTCACTGACTGCCGGTAGCTCCTGATCTCCAACGATGACATCATGGGTTTCAAGTTGCCCGCTGTGGCTTCACTTCCCAGGGGGGTCGGGGTGGGGGGGTCTGAGTGTGGGCACGGAGAGCTGATCCATGAAGTGAATAGACACTCTCATCCCCCTCCCCCCTGCTCAAACACACATGCACACACACACACAGTGGAATGACCTCTGCCACCTCAGTCTAAGCCCGGAGTTTGTTATTGTCTCAGTTATGATGTGTTGACAGATGAGGCAGATGTGTGCTCCCCTGAAGTAGTAAGTTTGTCCATGTTTTAAGAAATAAAAAAAAGCTTTGGATTAAGTTGAGTTAAAGCAATTATTTGACAGGATTACCATCAGGTTAGATATTCCCAGTTCCCAGTTCTGTGGATGTAAGCGGCGTGTGTGGGTCTGCTTGCACTTTTAGTTCTTTTTCAGATTTTCTTTTACTCAGGTGATAGAAACAGAAACAATAACAAAATGTTGCACTTGAGAAAGGAAGCTTCAAGCTAACATACTGGAATGCTGCCATGACTTAAGGTGGGTCTTTAGCCTTAAGGCAAACTGCTATAAGGCCACCCATCTGTCATCTCAGCCATGCCCCCAACTAATCATGTTATGACCAATTGTCAAATATTTTGTCGGTCCATGTCAGGGCTGTTTTGGTCCTGATCTGATGAGACATAGACTCCACCAGTCCTCTAATCATGTGATGTCTTGCACCAAAATGTTGGCAGCGGATCCTCCATTGATTTGTCTACTTTGCCCAGCACATCCCACAGACCCATTATTGGATTTAGATCTTGGGAATCTGAACCACTGTCTTCCATGGTCCAGTTCTTATGCACAATTTCCCACTGGTGTTAGTTTTCAGTAAAGGTCGAGGCCAGTATGAACAGCCTGACTGGTCAGCAGCCCATATGCAACATACTGGGATGTACGTCGTGTCCTGACACCTTTTTGTCAGACAGGTTTGAGTTCCAGTAGCTTTTCTGTTGGATCAGGCCATATTGGCCAGCCTGAACTCCCCGTGCACATCAGTGAGCCTTGGCTTTCTGTGACCCTGCTAGTGGTTCACTGGTTTTCTTTCCCTGGACCACTTTTGGTAGGTACCCCCCAAGTTGTGTAGATGTTTTAACTCAGGTTGTTTGGCCATCACAACTACGCCTTCATCAAAGTGGATTTCAACTTCAAACTTCAAGGACTTCATGCTTTATAAACCAGACTGCAAGCATGTTAACTTTGTCAGGGAAAAAGCTTATAATATATTTTTTTTAGTTTTTGTTGCAAGTAAGTCCCTTAAAGACTTCAGGGAATTACATTTTTTCAACTTCTGCTGGACCTTCATTTTCCGGTTGCTAAGTTGCAGTTTGGGAATTTTAAAAAGAAAATACAGTAACCAAAGCAAACATGTTCTTAAAAGTGCCATTATTTTTTATGAACAAAGGAATTTTTAACAAAGGTTAGAAATCAAGAACAATTTTGACATTTGCTTTCCTACTATCAAAAAAGAAAGGAAAAAAAAAAAGAAAAAAAATTGCGAGGCAGGACCTCTTGCCCACAACTTTCTGCTGTGTTGGTCTCCTGAATTTTTCCCAGTCTGTGCAGAGCATGCTCTCTCAGTTCACCTCAGTAAGTGTCAGTCATTCTGTCAATCATCTGTTTGGGTTATTTTAAAGTCACTGGAGCCTGCAAAGTCAACCTCCTCCTCTGGGATGTCAAATAAGCAACATGGGCCAGCTTTTCCTCTGTCTCGCAGTTTCATTTTTCCAGCTCTTACATGGACACACCTGGCAAAGGGCTTGCAGCGACTGGAACCTAGAAAACACACACACATAGTATATGCATCCTTAACACTACGGCATCTCCAAGGAAGTGCTGCTTTTCCTAGCTTTCAAACATCCATGTTTAAACCTCAGAGCTGTGTGTAAATCAGTGCTGGTTGGTTCTTGTTTGTCCCTCTGACAGCAGAGCTGGAAAGTTTTTGCAATGTGACAGAAAACTTTAAACACCTGAGGATTTGACACACTTAAAAACAAGGTCTTAAAAGAGGGATCTGTCTCTAATCCTTTATTGATCCCACATAGACAGGCTGTCTGGTGGACTCACACACTGCCATACCTACAGGTCATGCTTGTTGAACTTCTAACTATAGAAGCAACATACAGGCAGAGACTGACATGAGGCACATTTAATGACTCATAATGGTGTTGTAATTCACGTCCAGAATGACAGAGTTGCTCATTTATGGTCTAGTTTAAATGTCAGTCCCAGAAGTCCATGCATTATGAGCTTGTTGTATGTAAAGCCTGTGTGTTTAAGGACATCTAACTGCTACTAGCACACAGCTTCTAACATAAAAAGGTAAACTGTACTCAGGAGAGAAGTCAGCAAAGTTAAAATTGGCAGACAAATTAATACTTTGGATAAATTGAACCTGACAGCTTCAGATTTTTTAATGGTCTTATGGCGGAGATATCCAGCAGTGTGGTTGAGTATTTTGAATCAGAATTATGATTGGTCTGTCCCAGGAAACTGGATAAAATAACAAACACAAAAAAAGCCAAAAACAGTAGTTTGGGAACCCAATGTCCTGTCCTCTACCTGGTCTGATGCTAACTGGAATAAACGAAATAGATTTTTTTTTTTATCTGTTGTATTAAATCTTTTGTTTTAACAGAAAAGGGGGACTCATGTAACTATGGTTAAGCCAATCTGTCTTTTTGGGCCCCAATTGCTATTTTAATTTTTATTTTTTTAGACATACTTGATTACAAAATCACAAATTCTTTTGTGTTGTATGTAAGTGCCAGAGTCACTATGAGAGACTGCATGTACTGAAGTCTGTGCATGATTCAATAGTCCAGTCCCCTCTCAGCTTCTCAAGCTTCTGAATTTTAATGTTGATTTTTTTTCCTCTTGTTTTATTGAATCTGTTCTCATCTGTAACCTGGCACAGGTCACTTAGTGTGAGAAATGGAAACAAACTGCAAGGCATTGTGAACAAACGTGAAAGAACTGCAGGTCTGACCCCACCTAATCTTACATACCCGTGTGTAGACAAGTCATTGAGAGAGGCCCTGTCCATCCTTGCCGATCATAGATATCCTCTGTTTACAGAGTTCAAGTTGCTTCCTTCAGGCCAAAGATACAGCCTGCCTTCATGCAGGACTAAGAGATAGAGAATCTCATTTGTTCTTAGCTGCTAATGGCTCCTTGAATGACTATCTTGGTACAAATAGAACAAATACAAGGGCTGTTGGGCCATTGTCATACACAAGGGGTTGCAAATGCTAATATTACAGACTGTCCTGTGCTGAGTTATACCTTTTTGTGTATCTGTCCCTGAAGAGTTAAGCTGTGGTGAAGTGGTTCTTGTTTCTGGAGTCTGGTTGGCTATACGTGTGAATAAAGTTCAGGCAGTGCCTGGATTTCAACAACAATGTCCTGATCCATTTATTCTTTTCATTTAAACCAAACTTGTCATTGTTTTACTGTCAATCTTAAATGTCTCCTTTATGAAGTTAAAAAGCAAAGAGTCAGCATTAACAATTTTTTTATTGAAAGTGCATTGCAGAATCCAGAAATAGTACATCGTTTTAAAGTGTTGTAACATAAAAGTCAACTTATAATAGAAAAAACTATGGGGTGACTGCAAAGGAGATGCAGCCTGCTTGTCTTAAGCACCTGTTTGTGGGACAACAGTTACCCAAGACTCCCCATCAATCAGATGCAAGAACTCAACCATTGGCCTTGAGTGACCAACTGGGGTGCACCACTGCTTTACAGCTTAATTGGGTGAAGGGGTGTGAGGGATTACAGGTCTGACAATGCTGTGGGATAAATCATCGAAGACCAATGCACGAGGTGAGAGAGATGAATGTAAAAAATGTGCATGCAGCTGGATAACAGAGAGCCAAAGAGAGAAAAATGAAAGAAAGACTAAAAGTGAGAGGACAATAGCTGGAGTGTGACTGAGCAGCCAGTCAAAAACGTGTGGGTTGCATTCCCGCTTTGTTCCATGAGATCACAGTTGTGGCAGATGCAGGGTAGACTGAGAGCAGCTGTTTTTGCTCTCCAGTGTCCGGTTACAGACGCTGGCACTGGTGCGCTCTGGGGATGGGCACAGGGGCACGTTATAGAGTCTCTATACTGTTTGTTCTCTGAAGGTGGGCACAAAGAGCCCTCAGACGCAAACTACTCCTCTAGTAATCTTGGCACTGGAAGAGAGGGACGCGGCCGAAGGTGTCAAACGGAGGGGGACGGGCGACAAGACATAACATGCAGCTGGTCCCACTCTCCCAGGATCCTTGGCGCCATTTGTAACACTGACTAATGTGACAATGCAGCAAACTCATAATATTATAGGAAAAACTGCAATTTGTTCTGCTTTGAATGATGAGAACAAGGAAATAACTGTAAACACCAACTATAGTTAATTTAAGCAATGGATGTAGAGGTGGAAAAACACCAAAACAAAGATGGTGAATGCTCTAGCAGAACTTATGAAGCGTTGGGGATACAGTTAAAACCACGTCTGCAAAATGTGGTTGTTGCTGTTCTGTCTTTTTTAGTGTGGGGGGGATGAGTTGATGTGGTTTACCTTTGTTGTTGAAGCAATCCTAGGTGAAGTGGTTGGAACACAGCAAATTAGCACCAACTGCAGCTGGCATGTTGTCTTTAAAAATCAAACAACCGCTATTTTCTTTGGTAGACTTTTGAGTTGTTTTTTGCAGCTAATATCAGAAGAGTTAACATGTCTGGCCCAAGTCTCTGACATCCTGAACCACAATGTTGTAAGAGGAGGAAGAGTGCTCAAGAAATAAGAGTAGAAGAGGTTTTTAATGCATGTATACGAATCACCACAGAAGCAAATGCAAGTATTCATGTAGTCTTGTAGAAGCTGGTTTCACACTAGGTGGGCTACAGAAACAATCCAGAGACATCCTTTCAGGTTTGCTTGGCTAAAGGGTGACTGATAAACTGTAGATTTACATGTGACACATAATGTATTTTTTATTGTATGTGACCGGAAAACTGTACATTTAGTTTGAAAACTTTACAAAGAACTTATTAATATGTCTTAGTGCTGCCAGGATTCAGCAAAATCAGATTTTTACAGGATAACATTAACAAAAGACACATTTTAAAAACGTTTAACTTCCAAATGGCCACCTCTTTATCCCTTACATATATTTTTAGGATTAAATGAGCTTAAGAAAGTCCCCAAGTGTTGAGTTTGGAGCATGAGCTATTTTCTTAACATACCGCAGTATTTTTACACACTGAGTGGACATAGGGTGGAGTTTTATTATTCCTGCTCCAAAGTAACACAGACCACTATGAACCCAATTCACACTAACAATAATATGTTCTCAGTGAAGCCCCAATATGGTTGACCTGACTTTTAAATTTTCGTCACACTCTTTTTCCACGAGTTTTAGCTCTTTACCATTGGTGTTACATTAACCTTTTTGGGAGAATAATAGCAACCCGCACTACAGCAGGAGAATAGCTTTCCTTGAATTGTACACTAATGATCAGAATAACAAAGACTTTTTATTACTGCTCTTGTACATTCCAAAAGTGCACAGATGTCTCATAATGTTGTGAAAAAATTTGGAGAGAGTAGAAGGTTGTGAAGGGGGAAACAGCCTAATGAGACGCTCCTGCCAACAAGTTTCAAGTCTTCACAGCTAATAGTCTGAATCAAGGGAGCAGAAGACAACTGGATATACACCAGACAAAAATGTAAACCCAACACTTTTGTGAGCTAAACTCAGAGATCTAAGACTTTTTCTGTGTACATAAATGGACAATTTCTCTTGAATAGTGTTCACAAGTTTGTCTAAATCTGAGATATCTTGCTGAGATAAGCTTTCCACCTCACCAGTATGGCATATCAAGATGCTGCTTAGACAGCATGATATTTGCGCTGGTGTGCCTTAGGCTGGCCACAATAAAAGGTCACTCTAAAATGTGGGGGAGTCAAAAAAACAGTCAGTGTCTGGTGTGACCACCATTTGCTCTTTGAGGTGAGGGTCATAGATGAATGGCACAACAATGGGCCTCAGGATCTTGTCATGGTATCTCTGTGCATTAATAATGCCATCAATACAATGCATCAGCAAACTGCTCACCCACACAGCGCCATGCACACTGTCTACCGTTTGTCTTGAACAGTGAAAAATGGGATTCATCTATAAAGAGAACACACCTCTCCACAGTGCCATACCCCACTGAATGTAAGCATTTACCCACTCAAGTCGGTTATGACAACAAACTGTAGTCAAGCTAAGACCCTGATGAGGACAACGAACGTGCATGAGTGTCTCTGAGGCGGTTTCTGATAGTTTTTTGCAGAAATTCTTTGAGGTTGTTGAGATTGTTGGGCGTGAAGATGCTGGATGCGGTAGTCCTGGGCTAGTGTGGTTACACATGGTCTGTGGTTGTGAGGTCAGGTACAGAAATTAGCCTCTCAAAAAGGTGAAGTTTGATCCAGACACAGACCTAATGAGTCATTATGTGTGAATCATAAGTTCTGCCATACCCCTCATTTTATTTGTGACTGAGAAATATTATGAGTCATGCTAGTTTGACACAGTAAATGTGTTAATTTAAATTCCACCATGGACTTAATGAAAAATATGTAACTCAGGTGCTAAAAAAAGCTTTTGGCAAAGCAATTATCCCAAAATGAATGGTGCTGATGATCCATCTCCTGTGGAAAGTTAGCAAAGTGGACTCAAAAACTCACTTTAAAACTAATTTTCAGGTGGTTTTGAAAAAGGTGATACTAACACCTCTACATGACCTTTGCATAGAGTATGCTCATTTGTCAGTCTGGCTCAACTTGATGTCCAAGACTTCTTGGTCATTTTTGTTCCTTCATCACAGATCTCGTCTGTAATAGAGCTCCTACTTTGTTTTTATTAGTTGACAGTCATCCATACGTATGTGTTATATTGTGATAACTGATCTTGTTGTCAAAATTAAAACAGGAAGTTGGCATACTGAACAAATAAAAACTTTATATACTCCTTAAACTCCATGTACCATTGTGGGACTTTCATTTCAATATGAGAGACTAATGTGTTTACACTGTGAACAGATCTGTCTTATAGATCAGTAAGTCGCTCAGGGGTAATAAATATCAGTAATAAAGGAAAAACTTCATTTTTAAGAGTAAGGGAAGAAACTTCACGTTTGAATTCATTATCTATGAAACCTGCGTTTTAGGTTATTCCTCCCCCTGGATTGATTTAAAAGAGCATCTCATATTTTACAAATAAGATCCCAGTTCAGACAAGCCGTCTGTCCTCTGCAGGTTATGCAGTGAACACTGTCTGTGGTCGGTTCTGATGGTCCTCGGTCATAGCCCCGGCCGTCTGGTGTTCTCTTCCTCCCTGTCAGCAGTGTGCGGATGGTGCCCGCAGTGATTCGCACTTACAGTAAGTGAAGGAGTGATGTTTCAGAGATGGATAGCATTTCCAGTATTTATCGACTGCAGCACAGCGGCCCTGGATGACACTGCAGTCAGATACATTAGCGGTGGAGGGAGACTTGACGGCCTGTCGGAGGGCAGACGTTAAAACATCACCTAGCTTATAGTCGGACACAGAGGCATCGATTGCAGCCTCATCGCTCTCCAGGCTGCTTCCTGTGTTTTCATTGTGCTATCATTAGAAGAAAGCAAACATCAACGTCAAGGGGAAAGGCTGCTGATTGCTCTGTATCTAATGCGCTCGAATCTCTAAGGGGGAAGATTTATTTCTGCTCGAATGTCTAATAACGCCTGTCTGGATTTCCCTGAATGAGCCGTCACTGATTAGTGTTTGTACTGCGTCTCTTCCCATGTCTGGACCAGAATCAGACCGTTTATATGATTTATCTCTATCAGCACTGTGAGGATTCTCATATTCAGAAAACCTAAGCTGTTTTTTTTTTCTCTACTGGCTGACAGACATTAGAGTAGAGAGTATTACCAGAAAAACCTAAGACAAAAGAGTACTTGTCTTACCATACTGGGTGACTCAAATAATGCAGTAATGTTAATGCAATGCTTCTCTTGTCTCTAAAACCATTACAAGAGTGGCTAAAGATCCTTATTTTACAAACTATTAAACAATATGACCTGTAACATTTTCACTCCTGGTGCTATTATCATAGGTGCTATCATGAACCATGAAGAGAAAGGGGGTGGCATGAAAGGTTAGAGGTCACAGGTTACTGGTAAAAAGTCCCCACACCCTGAAAAAATCCTGCCATGGCAAGAGGTAAAATTTAGAAGCTAAAGCTGATAAGAAGAGAAGCTTCTTCGCTGTGTCTCCTCAGAAAAAACATGCGCCTGTTCCTCTTGATTCTTCTTGTAATTTCTACGCTGCTGCTCATGAATTGAATCCAAAGCACTTGGTAATTTCTCGCAGATGTGAACCATTTACACAAGCTTCAGTGTATCTACTCGCTCACAGAAATTCCTCTACCATCATTAATCATGTCTTTTGTTATTACTACACTAATGAGATAAGTATTTTGAATTACGCCGCCTCGTGTTACAGGATATTTTTTGAAAAGACACATTATTTAACCTCAAAAACAAATGTGGTGCTTAAAATCACAAATATTCCACCACTAAAGCATTAATTTTCATCTGCAAAATACAACTTCAAACAGGTTTAAGTGTTGAGTGTTCATATGCAGTACAAAACTAAAGATTTTTTAACATTTGTTTTAGATTATACCATAGAGCAGTAAAGCAGGTGTGTTGTGTGGGCTGGATGAATGAAACACAAACAGCAAAGTAGAGAGTGTCACATCTCTGCCGAGGATCAACCTGAGCTGTTGGACTGTTTCTTCTAATTAAGGGGAAACGTGCCTGATTGACAAACGAGCTGTAGGTCATCCAGCCAACCACAGATGGGGTTTCCCTGCCAAGACTGCAAAGCCCCTGGGCTTCCCATCAGCTATGGGAGCAGATGGTTTACCACTCTCTCAAAACAAGGATATCTCCTCTTCTTTTGCCACAGCTGAGGCCAAAGAAACTATTGAGGGAACCTAACAGAAAATCAAACTTGGTATTCTGGTTGAATTTGATAATTTTTACTTCACTGACACTTCAGACCTGACCACCACTCAGAGTTATGTTACACCTAACTTCTGATTATTGATTGGTTGACCCTGGTGAACATCAGTGGGTACAACTGAGTGCCTCTGTTGCTTAGAAAGGCTACTGAGTATAACAATGACACATCTGGATAATGCATTTATATATCGAGGAACAAAAGAAGCAGCAGCACCTCATCTTAGCAGCTGAGTTTGTAGTTTACTTAAAAGCCATTCAAGCCAATAAAAAGTCACTTTTACATCAATGTTTCTACAATAGAGGGTAAAATCTCAGTGCTGTGATTATCTGGACCAGCATTTGAAGCCTGTGATCCAAAGTCTGTTGTTTTCCCTGAAGAAGAAGTAGATAATATAAGTGCAGCTCAAAAAGTTGGAATTTCCCAAAAGAATTCAAATTTTCTCCTAATTTAATTTAAAAAGTGAAGCTTTAATTTATTCTAAATATTTCAAGCCTTTTTTGTTTATTTTGCTGATTATGGTGCAGTGGTGTATTATACCTCTTTTGTGCTTATTTCTGTCTGTCGGAGAGTTGGCTATCGAGGCGTCATTTTTAAAAAAGAACCACTGTATAAAACAGTATAACAGTTGCAATGCTTCACATCCAAACAACCACATCTGCTCTTGCATATCTAAACTCACTGATGACAAGATGCGCATGCACAACAGACAGATCTGTGTTTATGGTGGTGATCATCAAGAGTGTGTCAGTCCAAAATGAGCAGAGGAACAGCTGACTGTGGCTTTCTACAAATCCATCTCTGCTGGACCGGTTCCACCCTCACACCAGGGAATCTTGTAAAAGTAATGGCAGAGTTGTGATGAATATGCAGGGCTCTGTGTGGACAGGAACAGCACATGCATCAGTTTGGATGTAAGCTGTCTATATCTACTGTTGGATGGTTTCAGGAAAAAAGGCAAAGTGTTGAGGGATAAAAAACGTTTCTGAAGGAGGAGAAACGTGGAAATGACAAAGGAGTAATAGATTAACAATGATTGAGGGAAAAACTGAGATTTGCTGGTAACCTTTTAGTGCAACACTATTTTAGTGTCATGAACTTTGGAGGATTTTACAATGATTTAGATTAATTCACCCAAACCTTTATTTAAATCAGCGCTTTAGACACACTCTCAGACCTTTAAAGGGATATTCTAGTGCAAAATTTATTTAGGGTCAAACACAGCATAACACCAAGATAGACAACCCCTTGAGAGATTAATGTTGCTGACCGCTTGCTTCTGTAGTTATACCAACTTTAGTAAAACACGATAGCATGATTCTTCATGGAAATGCAATCAGACTGAGACGCTAAGGCAGAAGAACCACCGTGTGCAGTGCTAAATGATTAATATGGTGATTATTACTTCCAGGAAATGATTAAGTAAAGATCATAAATGTTCTTCCTTGAGCTGCGTCACCCCGCTGTAGTCCATAATGGACTGGCCAGAGGTCTTGCTACAAACACACGGCTGCTGGAAGAGAGTGGGTGGGTTGTGTTTAGTCTCTTTGCTAAAGAAATCAAGCAAAGTTAAAAAGATGTTTGGTGGCTAGTGCTATGGCTGGGACCCTATATGTACTGTTGATGAAGTTAGGTGCTGTTCTGAGCATTATTTGTGGCTATAGAGTGGTGTTTTGGTTCCTCATACCACTGTGTACTGCTATTGTGCGGTCATTAATGAAGTTGGTATAACTAGAGAAACAAGTAGTCAGCAACATTCATCTCTCGAGAGGGTGTCTAACTCAGTGTTACAGTGTGTTTGATCTTAAGTTAATTTTACGCCAAGTTAATTTTAAATTCATGAGTTTAATTGACTGAAAATTCATCGGCAAATAAGTTCTTTACTGCTATCAGTCCAATATTGGGATTTTCAGTGTCAATTCCCTTTTGTAATAGTCACTCTATTTTAACCAGGAAAATAATCTGTGAGTCAAAGATACCAGGAACATCCTTCAAATGTCCAGTAAGGCTTTTGTTGCAGTCATCTCTAAAACTTTTACAAATTTTGACCAGCTGTTTTGGCAAAAAGATTCTTATTTTTTACTAAAATTACTAATTTTAGTAAAATAGAGAAGCGAAAACACCGTAATTTCAAGTCAGACTTTGCCTTCGCAAACAAGAAAATACTTTGGTGCACATTTCATTATTTCCAATTTGCTGTGTGACATCCAATTTGTATCCCCAGTGTGCTTTACACTCAATACAGTGTTAGCACTCACAGATGGAAAAACAATCTACTTCAGCAAAAGGTCACTGTGCTTGATTTGCTCCAGCATGGAAATAGGACCACATTACATCTACACTAACACTTCATTTTATTTACTCATTCAGCCATTTACTAAATGTAATAAGTGGCAGTCATGTGCTAAGGGGGCAATTACAGTAATTGTATCCTTCATCTGTCTCCTTGTTGTGTACAACTGCTGTTTGAATGAGAGCTCAGCTTTTCAGTGGATCTTACTTTACCAAGGACGATCTTTATCATTGAGCTTTTGCAACACAAACCGAAGAGATAAAAGCTTCACTTATGTATCTTAGAAAAGGGCATGTGTAAGCTGTTGAGGAAAACTATAACAAATGATGGTGTTTTTCTGGAATAACAAAGTATTACAGGGCTATTTTTACATTTCTAAGAAGAAACTGGCAAGAAGAGAAAAATGTGGAGATTAAACATTACGAGCAACCCCGCAGTCAAAGAACAGAGGTAAATGCTGTATCGCTACAGCTGTAACACAACTCACAAACGCACAAAAGAGCTTTCAGCTGCACCCGACCAAGAGAGGGAGGGTTGTGGGTGCTCATGGAAAATATGCAGCAAGGACTTCTCCCTCCTCCTGCTCTCTCTCTATCACAGTCCAACAACACAGAGCAGGTAGTTTGACCAGAGGCAGTGGAGCAGTCCCCTCCATTAATTCCCTCCAAATTAAAATGCAGTAAAACAAAATTAATCCAAACACCATTAATCACAAAGGCCAGGAGTGTCTGTTTTAATGAACAGATTCTTTCTGGGGGTATCTGCGGGCACTTAATTTGCCATTTAAACCCCACCTGTCTGTGTCAACTAGTCCGTAGAGAGAATGAATTTAGTCCATTAGCTTGTTCCAAGGGCTGGGTTGTTGTACCCATTCCTTCATGCTTTAATACAGCCAGGAACTGGGAATGTTAACAAGGATCCAGGGCACAGAAGGCCCCAATAAATGAATACAGGCCTACTTATTCCACTAGATACGCTGTAGACACATCGAGCTCAGTGATCTCGTTGATTCTTGTACATTTGGTCTTATTTTCGCTATTTCATTAAGGTACAACGGTGTTAAGACTTAAACATGGAAACCAATATATTTCATGTCTGAAACAGTCAGTACATTTACATGACACTCAAGAAAACCGAATTATTGCCTTACTCCGATTAAGACATGAAGTGCATGTAAACACCTTAGTCCGACTCCAATCGCAGTTTAAGAACGCCAGTTGGAGTCAAAGAACTCCGATTAAGACACCCAGATAATGCGATTGGAATTCGGTTTTCTCTACCATGGAACCAGCGTAGTTGGAGTATGATCGGATAACACATGCACACGCACCACGCCCCCGTAACTCTGGAAAAAAACACCAGAGAAGAGGAGTAGCGTGCACCTCATCTGCAGAAAGAGTAGCACGTACATCATGTACGACAGAAACAACGCTGTACGATGCTCCATCTCTCTGCTCTAAAAATGCCCAGCAGCAGTTGTAGCCACTTCTGACGTCTGACATCGACCTGAGATATCCGAAGATATCCTTTCACCTTAAGATTACCCTCTTTAGCCAACCTCAGGTGTTTTTATTCATTATATCTTATTATGTATGGCCACTGGGTTCACACTTGTTGTATGACCTTTGCCCACTTGCTTGTGGTGAGCATTTCCTAGCATTTTCTGCTGCTTTCTCACACCTGCTCTCCTGACTTCTTGAGGAAATTTTATCAGGGGACCGGCAAAAAAAAGTTAAGGCAAAGTTAGAATTAAAATTTTGTGTGGGACATGAGATGTTTTCAGGAGTAACAGTATCCTCTTGCAACCAGAAATAGTAGAAATTAGACACCAAATAATTCCTCGAAAGCATCTCAATCCCATTTGAAATCTTCAATTTTGCTGTGGTTTGCTTTGCTTTTTAATATCAGAAAACATAGATCGATAGTTTCCTTTACAATAGGCGCAAAGACTTTGGTGTTTTTTAATCTGATCATTGAAAGATTTGACCATTAACTCCCCATCCTTTATATTGTTTGTCATGTTATTTAGTGTTACATGTTGCATGGCTGCACTCCCATTTAGTTTGTTCCAGTCACCTCAGGTTCACACTCTCCAGTTTAAACCATCTCTGACAGATTTGACAAAAACCATGTCGTCCGAGCTGCTCCCTTCATTAAACAGTTCCTGCAGCCTTCGTACGACATTCCTGCACGCGCTCAGTGCACACACACAGACAATTAGAGCTTGTTTAAGAGCATGTGATCCGGTCAAGACATGACTGTTTTCCCATAATTACAGTTCTATGTGAACCTCAGAGGAAGACAGTGCTTGGGGTGACTTACTGCAGGGCTCAACCTTGGACATCTTCACCCAAAACATTTTACTTCCTCCTCTTTTCAAAAATAATCTGTCTTTTTCAAGAGATCTATTGTCTTTGCTCATCCTTGTCTGTGGCTTTCATGGCTTTTTTTGTTTTCCATTTCTTTGACCCCTCTCTTGCCATCACTTCCCTCTCTGCTGGTTATTTAGCACTTCAGCAGCCAGCAAGACTAATTGGTGCAGGAGACAGGTGGAGCCGCTCTGTAACAATCAGTCTTGTTAGTGGCAGGACTGGAGCTCACACTGGGTGATCTTTTTGTTTTTGCAGTGTGAACAGTGGAAAGAGGGCATGAACTTTTGACACGCTCTCATATGGGGCCCCTTAGCTGCCTGCAGGGATTTACTTACTGTAGTTCAGGTCTAGGAGCTCCGTGTAGCACCAGTTACGAAGAGAAAATACAGACCTGGATGAAAAGGCTTTGGAAATTTTATTACTTACTTCAAAAAGGCGACCTACTGTTATCTAAACCCTTCAGATTGACCTCCTTTTGTGTGCCCAAACAAACTTTGAATATAAGAACCATTGACCAATTATTTAAAGGGCCTATACAATTCTTTTTCTATTAGAGAAATCTTTTTTTTTTTTTTACCATCACATAAAGTCAAAAACAAAAGCAGTTTTAAAACAGAGAACTAAACAATACATAATTAAATCAAATGAAAGTCATTCAAATTTGAAGGTGAGGTGGTATAATTAGACAAAAATGTTAAAAAAAAAAAAAAAAAGAGGGAAAAATACTGATCTGTGAGAAAACAAAACAAAAAAAAAAAAACAAAAGCACACAATAACAATAACACTGAGTTAGACACCCTCTTGAGAGATGAATGTTCCCGACCGCTTGCTTCTCTAATCATACCAACCTTAGTAACGACCGCACGATAGCAATACACAAACCTCAACCAAAACACCACTTTATAGCCACAAATAATGCTCAGAACAGCACCTACTTTAATCAACAGTACATATAGGGTCCCAGCCATAGCACTAGCCATCAAACATCCTTTAAACTTTGCCTAATTTCTTAAGCAAAGAGACTAAACACAACTCACCTACTCTCTTCCAGCGACCGCTTGTTTGTAGCGAGACCTTAGGCCAGTCCATTACGGACTACAGTGAGGTGATGCAGCTGAAGGAAGAACATTTATGATCATTTCTTCATGGAAATGCAATCAGACTGAGACACTAAGGCAGAAGAAGTACGGCTTCTGCAGTGCAAAATGATTAATATGGTGATTATTGCTTCAAGGAAATGATAAAGAAAGCGGTCGGCAACATTCACCTCTCGAGGAGGTGTCTAACTTGGTGTTACGGTGTGTTTGACCCTAAATTAATTTTACACCAGAATATCCCTTTAATAACTGTCTGACAAGAGAGACCAGAGATTCAGTGGTTAAAATGAAAATGTATCTAACAGTGCTGTCATTTCATGAAAATACTGTTTCTACTTCCAACAGCCAGGCACAATTATACACATCAAGTTCCTGTGAAATGAAGTGATAAAATCCATTAAAGCCTCTTTGTGCACTTTTTAGGCCTAACTCAAATTTTTTGACTTGACTGTAATTTAAAAAGGTTTGGTTCAATATGATTCCCGACAGAAAACAAGGCTTTTGTGATGTAATGTGACATGTTGAGCTTAATGTCAATTTGTTTATAAATAAACAGATATCAGTTTTTGGTTTTTTTTAAAGAAGAACATCCAACCTGACCTTACGAGATACAGCGATAAACACCATTGGCGAAGGCATGGTGGCCTACTTAGAGATCTGCTCATTCCCTCTGTTTCTTGTCGTATGTCAGCGTCAGTGTGTGTGTGGTAAGTCACCAGTTCAGTAAAGCCATATCAGTGTGTGTGCGTGTCCGCTGTGCACGGACATCTTGCAGTATAATGTAATCAGGCAGGTGTGAGGGTCACAGCCAGTTTGTAGGCCAGCGTCTTGACCCCTGCTGTCTGCTTTGTCTGACCGTCAGAGGAACCCCTTAATTAGGGCCTTTGGTTTGCAGTGTGTGCCCGACGCGGCCCAGCAGACACTTAGCAACAAGCCCTTCATTAAATGCTCCTGGTTGACTTGGCAAGAAGAGCCTCCATTTCCCAATTCCTGCTGCACAAAGGCCATGTTAAGAAAATCCCCTCTAATTTTCACTTTGATTTGGTAGTGTTAATTCCTTTCCCCTCCTTCCATGAAGTCTGTATTAAGTTGCAACACATAGTTTGAACCTCGTAACAGTTAAACATATCTTGTTCTTTGTGAATGCCTATGAGAGAGCTATAAAACCTGCTTCTATCTAGGATACCTAACAATTTCCATTCAGGTAAGTGTGCGGCGTATTCACAGTGTTGTTTACACTAAACGAGAACATCGCTGCTCTATAAGTTGCCAAGATTAGATGCCACAATATGTAGAGTGATCAGAAGCCATGAAACAAATGAGAGCAGAGCTGAGAGAATTAGCTAAAGTCCAGCATTAGAGTGAGAGAGGAAAGATTTAATTCTGCTTTTCTTGGCTGTTATGTGTTGTTGCTCCAGCCATGGAAAATCACTGAACACCTCTCTTAGTGCCACCTTCAGAGCCAGACAGACTCTTCTGTACACAGAATCCATCTGGTAGCTTGTGTGGCTGTTTTGTAACCATCATACCCATGGGTGAAATCTGAGCTGCAGGTGTTTCAGGCGCAGGCATGAGTCGGTCAACAGAAAACGGCCTGGTGCTTTTTTTTTTATTTTTTGTTATTGTAGTACCTCCTGTCACTTCATTGTTATACCACACACCTTTTCTTAATTACTGCCTTAAACTTTTAACATGTTGTCTCTGTGATTTACAGACCAACGAGTCTCTGACCTTTTGTAGAACTGAGCTAAGGCAGCAGAAAGAGTTTTGTGATCAAGTAAACAGAAGCAAGTCTGTGGTAAAAAAAATAAGGATTTTTCTTTGTTGATTTTTGTTGTAAGTCGCTCAAAAGCTTTTTTGATGATAAACAAAGGCTTGGTTTGTAGATTCAGTCTTAAAATTATATAGGTTGTTTAACAGAGTGCTGATTTACACATATAGAAGCTGGATATTAAGTTGGATACTAGGTAACACACGGCTAACGGCTAACAGATAGCGCTACCTTAACAGCTTACTACAGCTTTGTCATGCGTTTAGCATAGTAAGCATCTTCCAACAACATGAATCGACTACTTACTCTATGTTTGAAAGCTTCTTCTTATTCTGATTACATGCAAATTGCCATGTAGATTATCATTGTTCCACACTGCGTCCTCCAGGTGATTCTTGAAAACAACAGCTGTTCTCCCCACAGCTACATCTGATTGGCTGAATGAGATCATGTGATCTATGTCTGCGTGTGTGATTTGGTTCTACTAACCTAGCTCAAGCCGGTGTTTGCCTGCAGTTTAAGCGAACTTTAAACATTGATTCTGGGAAAATGTGCAAAAATCTTAGGTAGCAACAAATAAAATCTGATTCAGAAAAAAAATAAGTTTAATATATATGAAATAAGGGTCCTCCTTCGGTGGAGATCTTTGTTTTCAATAACTAAAGCAGATACGCAGCCTTGGCCCACCGCATGCCGGTGAAAGCTCGGATAGACAGAAGCCAGAAGTACAGCTTTGGTGTTTATAAATCATCTTCACACTAACATTAACGAATTAAACATTTGTCAAGTTTCTTATTATGGAGTATGGTTTTCAGTTATAATACAACATGAAGAGGACTCATCTTTTTATATAGAACAATGTTTGTGTTGTTGCTTTTTAGCTGATGCAACACGGGCCAACCGGGCACAAGATGCAAATAGTCACCTCTTGCTGGACTGCCTCATATCTATGTATGATCATAGCCCAAGATCTTGGGGTGGCCAAGTAATTTCCACGGGGGGTACTTGCGTTCCCTTTTGGACATCCCCATGCCTGTTGGGTTTTCTCTCAACAACCTACTCACTGTATATTATACATTACATAACATGACAGTTCCAACCTGCTATTGCAGCTGCAGCTACACCCACCACCTTAACTTCCCTGCATGTGTGGTATTTCTAGTGCAGCATATATGTGCAAGATTTAATGTCTATGTACTTTTCCATCTGTTTATTCATTTTTACTATGTGTAGATGATAAATCCAGGCTGTGGGGGTGGTCAATTAACGGGGCTACTTAGAGGGATGAGACAGACAGAGTTTTGCAGTAATGCGCCATCATTCAGTTCACTCTATCAATTAAAAAAGAGGCATATCATTTTGTCATTTAAGTTTCTCAATAAAAAAAGTCTCAAGTTTCTGCTTTACATGACATCTCTTGTTTCACTTTCCTTGTCTGGCTCGAAGCGGTGTTACATGAAAAGTTTACGAGGATCACTAAAGTTTTGACATTTACGACCTGACACAGACAATCAGCTCATAGAAATCTGTGCAGCTGTAACAAAATTTAATTATTACCTGCACTCTGTGCATCTTTATGCATGTCTGAAATTCAAGTACGTGGATACTTCATGTTCTCGACTTGTCTGGAACACGGTTTCGACAAGCGTTGCTTTCTTCCATCACACTGATCTGGTTTTGAATTTTATAGTCTGACATTGTTGACATTTTTATTAGAGCGCTTATTTTTCAGACTGAAGCCAAAGATTAAGAGTTTAAATCTCTGAATGATTTGCCATGATAGCATAATTCTCTCTATATACATCTGGCAGTTTTCTGGCTCATAACATAAATGTTTGCTGAAAAGAAGAAAAAGAAACCGTGTCCAAGTGTTTTAAGTAACGCATGATGTCTCCACATCATTGAAGAAAGAGCGACAGACAGATTGAGTGAATGAGACAGTGTGACAGACAGAGGGAGGAGGTCTCTCGCTGTGACAGTCTTTTCACTCCTATGACTGACGTTTTTCTTCCCCCTCAGTATTCTTCTGGACTTCAAAGACTCAATCTCAGCAGAGTGATTTGGCCCGACCATTGTGAGAATCTTGAATATTCATCAGGGTTTGTCTTTGCCCTGGGGGCCGAGACTCTGCAGGGATCTCACTTTATATTAACATTTTAAACAGAGCTGTGGTGGATATTATATATGTTATGGGAAGATGTGGATGGATACATTTTCTTCAGGGAGTAATTAAGCGAGATTTCCTGCTTAACTTTAACAAGACTTTTTAATATGTAATCTGAAGTCCTCCCTATGACATCCCCATTAATGGCAAAAAGTTGCCACGACATCGAACAATTCTTTTTTCAAAGACAACAACAACAAAGTAGTACAAGGCAAATGCTCTAGAGTTGGTTAAATATCAGATTTTTCTATTCTCTAAGGGGGAGACCTTAGGCTCTTGTATTTTTAATCTCAATGAAATTAACCTGGTTAGATAGATGATAACAAACAAATTAAAAATAAGGATAATCAGGTTTGCTGTTTGAATAAATAAATAACTCAAGACAAAAATAAAAGATCGGCCACTGCTGTTGAACATAAGTGAGGCCAAAATAACCTCTTTGATGCTGTGCATTCTAGCTGTGCAATTGAGTTTTCATCCAGAGGATGTTTTGGCTTTACTTTTCGAGCTGTTTTGTTGGCCACCTTTATACACAGTCTATAAACCTCCTTCATACTACCATCATGCCTTTATTTTTATATATTCATCCTGAAAAGAACAGTTCAACCAGCGGATAAGATGTGCATCCCATCAAACAGAGATAACACCTCGAAACAGACAGTCTGGGTTGTAACCCTGCGAGCTGCAGCCCCCTCGCCACTCATATTCCCCCCAATATTTTCTACTCTATTCGCTCTGATGTCTCTAAGTAAAGCCATCATAGCCCTAAAGTTTAAAAGAAAAGGAAACCAACTACAGTTTAATCTTAAAAGCCACTGTTTGATAAGCTTTACCAGAGTTAGCGAAAAAGCTCATTTTCATCCCCAGTCTCTTGGCAGGTCACAGATAAAAATCTCACAACACAAGCTTTGTTTTACACAACTTAATAAAACGGCGAATCTTCATATAACTGTTTGATGAAGATGGGAGTCATGCTTTCTTGACTCTTGCCCCCTGATTGGCCCATCTGGTCCAGACAGCTGTGTTGCCACGGTAATAAACTGCTTTCCAGGATTCTATGACAGCAGTTTTATCGCTGAGCTGCTGAAAATCCTCCTAATTTCACAGAGCCCAGGGTCAGTTTAGGCCCAGCTGGAACGTCGCTCATGATACGCATTCCATCTCTGCCCGGAGTAATTTCATCATCTGTGTTCTGCCATGGCTCTTTGTTTCACAGGTTAGTGGTGATTTTTCACAGTCATCCATCGCTGTGTGATGAAAGGTGCGTTTGCTGCTTGAAAGTCCTCTTCTGAAATAAAAAACGTGGCTCATTTTCATGGTGCATTGGAACGCTAATGCTGGTATTATTGGAAGGTCTCCATTTCATAAGAAAATGTTTGCCTTATAGAACGAAGGCACATTATTACAAACAACCAAGCTGCATTAATTGATCTGTGAGTACTGGAGGGCAGAAAAGGGGCCATACAGAGACTCCAAAACGAATTGAAAATAATCACACAGCTAAACTTCTCCATAAGCTCCCTCCCTGTATGTACTATTTGAAAAGCTAAGCCCCGGGGTACTTGATTCATAAAAGTCCACTGTTGTCAGTCACGTCTATCTGTTGCAGTCCATGTAAAGGTTGTAAAATGAACTTGTTGCTTCCATTTGGACTTTCACATTAACGCAGTCAAGCTGAGAATAGTAAAAAAGAAACTCAAACATGTTGACGATCGTGTTCTCTTGTGATTTTTGGGTGCTAGATGCTACGTTTTTAATTCAGCCCTCCATTCACTCTACAGTTATTGTGTATGAAGCTCCTGTAGGGAGTTTTCTGACATTTATGAAACAAAATGAAATTCATATTGATGCATCTTCATGATATCCAAAGGCAAACAAGACCATCAGTGACAAGATTAAAGATGATTTATCCTCAAGTTTAATGCCAGAAACTATTGCGGAAGCTAAATGCTAACTTTGACTATTACAAGTCAGCAGGACTTTGTGGTTTTCCCAGTGATTAAGGTGCTGAAAGAAAGATTTCTCCGGCAATATTAATCACGCTGTAACTATGTGTGCGATGACAGACGAGTACTGCAGGAGAAGGAGGGGAAGTGAAGAGTTAATTCCCCTCAAAGCAACTCTTGCAACCAGTCTGCCCCACTTTCAACCCCTTTATGTGGTGGAGTGACCCCCACCTACAGAGCTGCTCACTCCCCGCCAGACCCCCCCATCCCTGTGGGGTCTGAGTGGGCTGAGGGAGGCTCCGCACTGGGCGTTTGATGGAGCGAGGAAGGGTGTGTGAGGTGCACTGACCCCTTCCTCATTGCTCCCCATGCACTCGTGCTTCAGAATAGGCTGACTTATCACATGTAATACTCAGAAATGCACAAATCAGTCGTGACAGCTATAGGGCTGCTGGAGCTCTGGAGGAGGAGAGCTGGCTATCGGGAGCTGCTGTTCCCACCCAGTCAGACTTTAAGAGGGGACAGGTGAGGGGTGGGGAACCCCATTTGGCTGTTGATGTTATTTTGACCTCCTCTGCTGCTTTTACACCTCCTCACCTCCTTACAACCGTGTCGAGTGGATAAACACATGTACAAGACTCGGGAAATTCAACCATCTTCAACCTGTTTATGATTTGTGTAGCTGCCTCGGTGGACTTGATGTAATCCGTCTAATAGCCTCCTTAATCCTCTTAACTTGTAACCCACATAGGTCTTTCACAGCAGGAATGTGTCCCCTTATTGTTGTCATGTTTTTCCTGGTATTGCATGTTAGTATGCGTGTCCCAGTGTATTGGATTAGGGTGAAGTTGCAAAGTTGTGGCGGTGCCTGGAGGTGTGAGCTCTAATCACATCTAATCACCTGACGTGTGATGGCCTGATCCCCACTGCTCCACAAGTGTTTGTGTTTTCACCCCTTTCACACACCAACTCACATGAGGAACTTGACACGATACAGCCCACGTAATAACCTGACTCTTAGTTGCAGATTAATGCCCTGTCGTCTCCTTTCACACAACACCTGTGTCTGCATAATTTGTGCCAAGTTTTTTTTATTATTATGTCTTCTGGTGATTAATCATCGGTGACTAAACAGGACTGTGTGGGTTGTTTTTATGACAGTTTGTGTAGCGCTCGGAAAACATAAAAAATATTTGCTGAGTCATCCTGGCTTGAGGGTGTACACAAGTTTTGATTCCAATCAGTCATTTTCACCATTTATTGATAAGCATTTGAAAAGCACAAAAATCACTGCAGAACATTGTGCTTTTTAGAGGTAAAACAACATATCTGATAACCCCTCGGCTACAACTGTTAGCATCTAACCACGTCTTGGCTTAAAAGACCATTAGCAGAGAATAAATACCTTTCACAAGATGTTGTAAAGTGCTAGCAAACACCATTGTTACTTCACAGAATCAGATTATCTGAAAGTTAAGGTCGAAGCTCTCAGATTTAGTGCTTTTTAGAAAGTCATTGCTAAGCTAAGGTTAAAATTTAGTAAGCTAGCTAAGAAAGTGTGATTTTTTAGCTTGAAATTTGGCAAACTTTCCCCTCAGAATTTTACTTTTTAACATCTTACCACTTTCTTATTACTCTGGAAGGAGTCAAATGTTGATATTTTGACAGATTTACTTCTTGATACTGCTTAGAACATGAATGAGCATTTTTGCACTAAAATGGCTTTTAGCTTCCTGTCCTGAGCTTTACCGCAGGAAAGATTTAGCTTCTTACTTTCTCGTATTTCCTTCTCCATGACACACAGTAAGCTGTTTTTGTTGTCACATTTTATTGACTGAAGGGTTTAACCTTGAGCATTATGGTTACTGTGAACTCATATCATTATCTGTGACAAGATAGCTAGCTAACTTTCAATTTCAAAGGAACCAACTAATCCGCATACTGCTAGCCGCCCTGAGGGAAGTAATGACAGAGTTATGTTTGTTGCTTTTTGACGGTTGGTGTGGAGTTTACACTTATTTTAAATATTTTTTATATTCTCATATTGTATGCAATATTTGTCTTTGTGTGCAAACACCTTCAGTTGACATCTGACAGAATGCTAACTTTTAAATAGCAGCTTTTTTTTTTCACTTTTGCTTTTTGAAGGAGTGTTTCCCCCTTAATATTAGCACGTCTGTCTATTTCAGGCAAAATATTCCATACTGATTTTGTTTCTTTAACAGCTTTGTGGGACTCAACTTAAACTTTTTTTGTTGTTGCAGGATGCATGACCTTTATTGACCAATTTATACCAACCCCAAATTAAAGTTTTGTTTTTGTGTCTTACTTTCCTGAGCTCCATCTCGCAGAATTTGATACCAGAAAGTTTCCAAAACTCTCTGCTGGGTCTCTATCCTCTGGACTCATGCTGTGTGTTTGTATATATGTGGCAATAGGTCATAATGCTTTAACTGCTGCCTTTCACACCTCATTCAGCTCCAACTCACATCCACGGCCCTGCTTCACACTCTGTTGCCCTCTTCTGTTCTGCTCTCCTTTCTGTGTATTAGTGATGTGTGAATATGTAAAGTGTCTGTGCTTTTGTGTGTGTGTGTGTTTCTATGTGTTTCTGTGTGTGTGTGTGTTTCTGTGTGTGGGAAAGAGAGAGAGAAGCAGTGTGTGGATTCAGATATACTCAGCTGTTCCCTCTGTAGTGAGCCGGTCACAGAAAGGGCTGGACGAATAGCACAGCAAGAGTGCAACTTAGTAACACCCTCTCCCCCCTTGTCTCTCTCTCTCTGTGTCTGTGTCTCCCAGGCTGTCAGTGTGGAGTAGAGCTGGAGGCTGCGGGGCGGCTGTGGGAAGTTCCTGAGAGTCACTCAGAGCAACACACTTGTGCAGAAAGACCGGATTGGCACTCTTTCGCAAGAGGATTTAATAGGGAGTCTGACACCTTTGCCTATTTGCTTGCGTGTGTGCGTTGTGGCAGCACCTCAGGGATTTGAAGGAGGCTGGGGTCGGGGCTGGCGGGATGGTGGTGGAGTGGGCCTGGCAGGCTGTTCTGCTGGTGACCGGAGTGGCATCACTGAGCCGGGGTTCTCAAGGTGAGTACTGTGCTGGACACCTGTTTGTTTTGCAGTTTTGCTTGACTGTTTGTTTTAAAATACAGACTTTAATTTGAGTGCTTTATTTTGACAAACATAATGTGAAGCTGATCTTTTCTTCTGTATTTTTTTTTCTGTGATTCAAGGTTTAGAGACAGTTGGTTATCTTCTGAAACCAGGGAGAAGCTTTAATAACAGGTTGCAGGTTGACCATGCTAGCTGTGAAGTCAATTATCTATTTTCTACTCCGTGGTATTTATGATGAGCAAAAGCTATCATGATCTCCACAGGGGGGCTACTAAGAGAGCGGGTGTGTATTTATCTGCCCCCTAAAAACCCCACACACCCCTCCTGTTCGTGTTTTGAATTGTTTGAAGATGGACAGCCAGTTGTCTTTTTACGATGAATGCCAACAGTGTCATGGTCCCCCCTCCCCATAAGGTGACAGGCGGGGAGGGTCAACAATCTGAGAGCGCTGAGGAGCTTACACTTGTGCATTTGTTCTTTTCATGATTGCATTTTTGGTCAGAATAAGAACGAGTAAAAGTACGACTTTGATTTCTTTCTGTTTTCAACTCATCTCGAAATACATTTTTCTCCTTCTAGTCGCCAAGCTTAACCTTTGCAGAAATAATCAGCTGTCAAATTCTCATCACAAACTCAATTTGGGTGTCAGGCTTTAAACTCAGCATATGGTTGCATGCGCACTCCAACACCAACACCACATTAGCAATGGCAGTGTTGGCAAATGTTGCTATTATGAAATGTGATCTGGAAAATGCAACCAAATGAATCTATTGCAACCATATCACCTTTTATTTTTTTATTTAAAGCAGCTTTTTTTCAACCCTGATACCTCCATAATAGCCTCTGGTATAGATGTATCTGTTTTATACAAACGCTTTATGTTCATGCAGAACATTTGATTGAAACTTACCAGAATGTGTTTTACTTATTTTAACACATAATCTTAAAACACCATTTTTGATATTGAGAACAGGTGAAAAGGTGATATATTTTTTGCAGAAATGAGAGAATATGTATAAAAAGAAGCCTATTTGAAAGTCTGTCAAAAATAAAGACCAGCTGTAAAGCCCCAAACTGCCTGAGAGGTTCAGAGCTAGCTGTTACTTTCACAGTTAGTCACCAAATACCTGAGCCGCTGATGAATGTTTCTTCAGAGAATTTACTTAACTGTCATCTGTGCAGATTGAGCTGAGTGTTTCAAGTCTCCTCCAATATTGGTCCAGTCAGTGTCAGAGTCTGAACCAGAAGTGTAAAGATGGGGTGAAATTCAGACGGTCATCTCACAAGGGCAGCATTGATTTCTCTTTTTCCCTCTCAAAGTTAGATGCCTTCAGTTTTTCTCCTTCTGTCCACTTTCTTTCAAACAAGCTGGAGCCACCAGTTGCTTTTTCTGTTTCCCCACTGATCCGATGTTTTAAGGGACCCCTAAATGAGTAAAACATGTGGGAGGTTGTCCATAAATCTAAGCGGCACGGTCAATTTGCCACCTGTTTCTACAGGCTGGTGAGGGTCACAGGGAGTTGGTGAGCCCCGCACTGTTTCTTCCGGTGGTAATACAGTGGAAATATAAAGATTTATGTGCAAGAATATGACTAGGATATCTGTTATGATAGCAACATTATTATCAGCTTAAAAGCTTTTGAAATTTTTTTGATATCCCTGTTGTGATATCAGTTTGTTGATAAAACAAAAGCAGGTTGTGACAGCAAACAGCATGTACATTGTCTTTAAGACTGATTTCCTTTTTTCCTCTTTGTTTGTTTGTTTTGTTTTTACAAAATCCTTTCCCCGCTGAGACAGTGAGATCTCATTTGCCGACTGTTTGAAACTTTTTGTTGTCTGTTGGGTGTCTCTGGGAATGCTGGTCAGCTTTTCAGGCTGTAGGGTGGTTAATCTGTTCCTAGTGAGTCTCAGTTTCATTGTAAATGGTAAACTACACAGAGGCTGCACTTTGTTTATGAGTATGAGTATTATGAGTATCACAATTTACTTGCAATACTTACCTGCTTTTGCTCTCCATACAGACTGTTTCCCTCCATGTTTTACACTTAACCTGATATCTGATTGGGTGATAACGGTGTGACAAACCTCTATGTCCTGATTTTGTGTTCTGATTTTATTTTATTTCATTTGTTTGATTGTTTGTTTTGTTCCAAAAGAAGAAAATACTGATGCAAGCTTCTTAGAAATATTACTTTTTTGTATCTGCCTATTAGATAGTAACAGTTCCTTCAGTTTCCCATACTTAAGCCATCTTCTGGTCCCTCTGACAGACATTTAGTCTCCTGGACTTTCTCAGATATTCGTCCATGTGTAGTGTTTTCATTCACAGCGATCTTCAAATATCTGTGAATGTCAGCCTGTCTCTGTAGGAGGGTATTTTTGTCTCTATCAACAACCATTTGCTTTTGCTTCAACCACAGTCATGTGCATTGTTAAAGCTGTGACTCCAAGTGTGTGAAATCAGCTTTACTACTTAAATGAAGGTTAGAGTATACAGAAAGTGTTACATAGCATAAACAGCACTGAAGACTCTTAAGAGGACATCTGTGTGTCAGTAGAGCTGAGTGTTGTGGAATAAGGTCAGAGTGCAGTGTGCTGCAGCGATCCACAAGTACAAAACAGCAGCAGTTGGCCCTCGGCAGGTCCAGGCTCCTCCAGCCTTCTGTGCACTGCTTCCTGTCAGGATGTGGATTCGGTTCCCCCACACAGAATCTGATCCCCAGGCAGATGTGCTGCTCCAGCGGTCAGGCATGGGGGCATAGCTTGTGTGTATGTGAGTGTGTGTGTGTTTATGTGTAAAAGTTGTTCATGTGCCTTATGAGAGCGTATCTGCCTTGCGGGATTTGGAAGCTCAGGATGACTTTTTGTATATTCAGAGCATACCCCGGGGAAGTCTTCCTGTTCTGAACTTAATAAATTACAGCTTATGGATGATGAATCGTCATAACACTTCAGCACCAAATCATACTGTCGTTTGTTTTTGTTTTAACATCGATGTTAAATGTAACATTTCAGTCATTTGGCATATCAATTCAAAGACATATGGAGACCTTGAGCACCCTTGAATAAAAACAGAAGCTCTCTCCTTGTTTTGGCAGCGCTGACATCAGGGCTAAAATGACATATTGTGGTGGCGCTATGGCCGCAGTCTCACTATGTGTCTGTAATGGAGCCCAGCATCAGTCTGTGTCTCCTGGCTTTTTCCAGTAAGTACAGACCACACGGACAGATAGACGAGCAGTGAGGTGAGCTGATGGGCATTGTGGGTAGACAGTAAAAAAGAATCTTGAACTTGAGAGAGAAGATAAAATTGAGGTATACTGTGGAAAATAGAAAATATGAGTTAATAACTTTTATTTTAAGATAGATTAATAAAAACTAAATGATAAAATGTTTCCAATAAATTCTTCTCCTCTAAAAAAGCTTGTGTTAGATTGAATATTGTAAACAGTATAAGCACCCACACTTGGTCTGTGTCAGATCATTGTGCACAGGCAGGAACCTAAGCAAGTTCTCCAGTCCTGCATATATTACTGCTGTGCTGCTGAAGGACCTTAAAGCATAAGACAACTTTTCATGATTGATGTGCATTAATGAAAGAGCAAACCATAGATAATATTGTACCTTGTATGAATAGTGAGTGCCACACTGACTGGAGCTACTTGAGTTTTGCTCTCAGTTAACAATATGAGTATTTGATTTGTGAGTGGCAGAACTTTGTTTTGTTGTCATTTGGTGAGCAAAGACAGTTTTTTTTCCACAATCACAAAGAAAAGCACATATCTATCTAGAAAATATCATGTAAGAATGTACAAGAATGAAAAATTGAAGGAAAATGATCATGTCTTTGCAGAAAAACTGTATTTTTCTTACTCTCTAATATGAACTCCTTTATTTACAAGATGATGGTAAGTAAGGTTTAGAAACCCTGGTGTCCAACACTTAAAAAGAACTTTTTTATTCAACCTGTGGCCATTTTCATTCGACATCAGCTCTTGGAGATAAAAATCAATTGCATGGCTCTACTTCCTGATTTATCAACAATGGATAGAAAATGCAACTTACTTCGTGTACTACACATTTTCTTGAAACTGAGTATCAGTGGCTATCTGCTGGCTAAGTCTGACATCACTAGTTATGTGTAAACTATTTACTGGTCTGAAACTCTCAGTCACCGCCCTCTCTGTTGACACAAGTGTGAATAAACTCATGGTAAGGGCGTAGAAAAGCAACATGCCATCTGCTCTTCTGTGCTGTCTGTCATGAAACACTGTTAAGGTTTTACTAGTATAAGACACTAGCTCAGGTTATACCATCTGTGCACTCATACTGGTTGTTAACTACAAAGTTTAAGAAAAGTTTCTTGTTTCTGAACGAGAGAAAAGGAAAGTGGAAATACTAACGTAAAACTGAGAATTCGAGGTCATGGTTTATGGTCAGAATTAAGTCAGATTTGGGGGAAAAAGGAAAAAATCTGAAAATAGACTCAGAATCTGGGTTAAAAGTCAGAATTTTCACTTCAGGGCTCATGCTTCTCTTTCTGACTTTCGTGACGTTTTTGTGAACTAAGCAGCCAGCTGAGATATACCAGCCGCTTCCCCCTTTGATAAAGGTCCCTTATGGAGTGAATCACATCACCACGGGGAGATGAACTGGCCACAGACATGTAAACTGTGGCTATTTTTAACTTTTCTGACTGTCCTGCTTATTCTGTTAGTTTACTTCTCTAAATGTTACTCACATTAGTGTAATGAACACCAGGGAAAGTCAACTTCAACTCTTCTCCCCATTCTCTCGATCATTGATATAATATAACACAAATGAAGCTCCTTTCTGTCTCTGATCTGGTTAAAACAGTGTAGCGCTACATCATACTGGAAACAATATGATGTAGTGGGTCATGAATTCCAGGTTCAAGCTGATATCATGCAGCTTGGACCTGGAAACAGTTACAGGCAGAGGTGTAATGTCATCACTTAACTTGATACTTGCTTGCTGTTTTTACTTGACTCCTGCTGGATCCTGATAGGTCAATCATTTTTCATTTGCTGGTAAATTAGGAGACATTGAAACATTATTTATTTTTGAAATCTTGAACACAGAGGTTCGATAGAAGGAACTCTCTGCAGCAGAAATATTGACATTCTTGAAATTTTCCTCGCATATCAGAAGTCAGTCAGCCTCTGTGTCTGCTGTGTGTTTGCTTTTCTGTGTGAGTATTTTGTTGTGGATTTAGCATCTCTCTGCTGTATTCGCACCCCTGTGGAAAGTTTTCTCTGAGCACTCAGTGTGAATCCCCGACAGTGGAACTACTTTTTCTCAAGGTGGACTTGGGGCACAGCGTGGTGGTGCAGACAGACAGGTCCTCATCTCCATAAATCTGCTGCTGCAGGCGGTGTGAGCCTCAAAGTGACCATCACATTCCTCCACCCTGGCAGTCCAGTCACGGCCGGTAAACACAGAACAGGTTGCTTAAAGCTGCGCGTTGGAAATAGACGACCTGATGCGGGTGTAGCAGCAGAGAAGAAGGAGAGTGTGTGTGTGGAATGTGCTCTTCAGACACGTCCTGGTGTGTGTGCGTGCTCAATGTGCGCACATGTGCAAGTGTCTCGTGTAGCGGAGGCCTTTGAAGCCTGTAGGGGGTTAAGGAGGATGAGGGTGCGGTGGTTGGGTGGAGGAGGATGTATGGCCCCTCTGCAGGTTGGTTGTGACCCCCTCAGGGTCAAAGTGCACCACAGAGACCCTCGGGAAGATGTCTCCTTCTAAGGAGGTGATTTATCACGGCCACCTGGAGTAACTTATCTCCTGCTCCTCTTATGTGCTCCTCTCTGCTGTGATGGAGAGTGTGTGTGAAGGTCTCGGCTCACAGATTAAACGGCTGTAGGGCTGTGAAGTCTGATCTTGTGAAACAAACGGGTTAATTGGGATACTTTTTTTTTCGGTTTCTTTCCTGGACGTCAAACTCCTCTGTCAATATTTCTATCCCTGTTGATAGCTGCGATTCCATTTTCATTGATTTTTCTCTCGTAATGGAAAACAAATCCAATATTCACAGTATTTTATTGATCCCCAACGCCTGTCTGGTTTACAGCATGGACTCATTACAGTATGGATACTGAGGGTGTGAACTCTTCAATATCTCAGTATTTGAATCAATTTGGATTGTCAAGACCAAGATCCGGTCTAAAACATAGACTGTATATAGAATGGACAGAGTCTGCCTCCTCGCTTGGTGAAGCCACTTCGAGAACAGCGCCCTCTGTTGACCTCCGCCAGCAAAGCTTATGGAGCTGTGGACAAACTTTAGAAATTTATTACACAGAACATAAATTTTTCTCCCCCCTGCTTGTGATGTTGACATGTAGTTACCGTCAGACTGGTTTGTGCTCAAGTCCTTTTTTTTCTGTGAAGCTCCGTTTTTAAAAGTTATTTGGGGGTTCATGTTTTCTATGATTGACACTTAATACAGCCTATGGGTGTTCAGGGATTGCGTAGCTCACCCAAGCCGAGCATCATCACAGCGAGTCTCCAGCCGAATGCACACAATGCTACTGCGCGGCGCTGGTTTCAGGAAATGAAGAAAGTTTTTGGCTTCAAATCCGTATACAGGCGGGAGGCAGAACCAAGTTGTCCATAGTATATACGGTCTATGGTCCAAACGAAGTCTCGTTTCAAACATGCAAAGTGCTCTTGTTGTAACACAGAATCTTCTGTGGCTTCAACTGGAGTAAGATAAGGACACAGAGCTCAGGGTACCACTTAATATAAACCCACCGCTTTTAATATAGAGAGTGGGTCATAAGAGGTTACAGTTTCTATATCTCTCACATGGAAAGAAAGTTATACTACTTTTTACATTTTAAACAAAGCTTTCTAAAGGCTGATGTTTTATTGAAATAAAACAGATCTTTTAGTTAAACAGCTTGTTTTGAATGAATTCTCTTTGAGCCTTAAGAACTGGATAAAGGTGTAAGAGGTATGTGTCATGAAACCCAGAATTCAAAAGACACTAGTTTTAGTTTGCCTAAAGGTATAATGCATAATAAATCATAACTCAAGCAGGCATCATGCTGACTGTTTATTACACTCCAAAAACATTGCAATAAGTTGTTATGAATGCTTCTAATCATAATGATTGTTTTGAGGGCTTCAGATATATAGAATAATGCATTTTTAAAAAATGTCACCATTTTGATATACTGTTGACCATTTTATCCAAAACTAACCAAGAAAGAAAAAATAAAAAATTCAACCTTTGAGGTGTAAAATTATATTTTGCAGATGTGCAGCATGACCTTTGTTTTACTTCTGTTCTGTACTAACCACACAGATTATCAATTCCGCATGCCTTGATAGTTTATTTTTCTTACCATGTGTATCTTCCTGTTTTTAAGTTGTATGAGCAAACACCAGATATTCTTATGTGGTATTGTCTGATATATGCTGCTGTGCAGATTTAGCATCATCCTATTCTTCTTATACCTCATGTGTTAGTTTCGGTTACCCCTGACCTCGCACTCTTTCCTGTTATAAGCACACTCACAGTAAGATTTAGTAACCCAGACTGTTAACACACTCTCTGTTGCTGCTTCTCCTCTCTTTTTAATAAAATTTAAAAAGACAACTGATTCACTTGAGATCCTTTATTAATTCTTACTATTAAACAAGAAATTTCCAAAACACCTTTTAAGTTTGTTTATTGTGGGAGCCTCTGCGTGTGTGGGCCAAATTGGGATGTTCATGAATGCTTGAAAATCCGTAAAATAAAAACATTTGTCCCTCCAAAAGTTCACTCATGATAGTTGTATGGAGTTCAAAAGTGACGAAACTTATTATTTATTTTCTTAAACTTTTTAAAATGAAAACACAAAAAAGCAACCATGAAAACTGGCTCATCGGAGAGGAATCAGCACATAAGAGCAAGAGATCTAGATGTCCGCAGTTTGTTTCCCATGTGTATCTGATGAAATTTCACGCTTAAGCTGCCCCCTGTCACCGCAGGAAAAACTTGATGGTCTGTGAGGAGGAAGTGCCACAGAGCAGGCTGCTAGTTTTCAGTCACAGAGAGATGATCAGCACAGCAGGTGATCTGCTGTCACTAACACACACGGGGATGTTTGGAAAAGCTGAAGCTGATGCGGAAATGCTTCAAGATGCTGACACTGATGGTGACAGTCTGTGAGTGAAGGTGCTCCAGCTGGACTCCTTCACAATGAAACCTTTAATTGCTTCAAGTGTGTGTGAAAGTGTGTATGTGTGTGTGTGTATGTGTGTGTGTGTAAAGTCTGATGAACAGCCTGTGGAATGTGCGGGGGATGCAGATCAGATTTCGGGGCGACCTTGAGTGCGCCCCTTAGCTGACATAGCAAGTCTGTTTGTTGTGTGCATGTGTGTGTATGTTCGTGTGTGAAAGCATGTGTGTGTCGAGTAAGACTGAGACAAAGAGAGAATGAAGTGTCTGCAGTTATGTGCTCATGGACCAATGGACAGCAGAGGGGTTTGGTTATCAATGATTGCAGTGTGATATTATTCATAAACAGTATGTCCCAGTACACTGAGCTATGGATAGGGCACGCATTGCTGAGCCACCTTTTTCAGTATGAAATGTAGTCCTTTTATTCCTTTATTTCTGTATCAGTTTGCAGGTTTTTAGAAAAGGTAATGATACCAAGAACATGAGTTTCCTCCTCAGTGTAACAAAGCTGGCCTCTTACTTTTGACTCCAGCTGTTTTTCTCTCCTTTCACTTCTGTAACAATCTGTTGAACACACATCTGCACTGTGGTAAACCTGAGCCCAGACTGAGCATGAGTAAAAATATCCAGCTCATGTTTGCTTAAAAGATTATCCACATGGCAAGGGTTTAAATTTTTCCCTGATGTATATAGAGTCTCTATTGTTATGTAATTTTGAATATATTATGTACCATATAGACCTAAATATAACGTTTTTTTCCCCCTAAAACACATCTGTTAAAAGTCTTATGTTAACGGTTTAAAGGACTGGGTGGGTGCAGTTTATACATCATGTTGTGATTTGTTTACAATATTTGCTTCTAAAATAGAGTGCTTTGATGTAGTGACATACTGCAAATCCACTCCCTTTGTGAGACCGGCAGCTTTCAGGGATAAACTCAGTGTTTTTCTGCAACACTCACAGAGAGGTTTGGTGTATTTTTAAAAAAAGGCTTTCTGGACACAATACTTCGAAAATGAAGGAAATATATAATGATTTATATATCATATTTAGTAATATAGATTTCTGTTTGTAGCTGACTCAGCTAGATGAAGGTTAATATCTTGTTTTTGTCTGTCAACCAATCAGAGGCAGTATCTGCGATCAGCTAACCCGTCAAGGTTTAGTGAGAGGCCAGAGCAGCCTGATGTCTCAGCTTGTTCACAGCACAAAACAAAAAGCATAAACTGTTTTTTTTAAAGATTTATTTGGGGCTTTTTTTTTTTTTTTTTTACTATTATTTTCAATTCGCTCTTGAAGTCCATTCCAGTGCCATCCACCACTCCCTCTCCCAGATTCTACCTTTTCTATCTTTTGGTGTATCCTTTCAATAAAGGTCTAGGTCTAGATTTTTAAAAAATGTTTAAGGTGGGCAGTTCAATTCCCTCCTACCCCTCCTATCCCGGGTCTGTCTGTTCCATAGAAAAAAATGTCAGAGCCTAGTATGTGCCTCCTGTAGCTCAGGGGGAAGTGTTGTTGTCCAGTAACTAGAAGGTTCCTGGTTCAACTCCCCCCTACCCCCAGAGTTTTTGTTGTGTCTGTGAAAATGAAAATACCTTTTGTTTTTTGTATGAAAAAAAGAAGAAATGTATGATGCAATATTATAATATAGTGTGAAAAAAAATCATCATAAGGTATGATATAATATCAAAGTTTAGTATGATAGGATAATAAAAATCTCATTGTATAGCATAATAATAAATGGCATAGTATACTATGATAAAATTTTCAATTTTTTTATGTAAACGATTCATAGTTAAGTACAATAAAAATATCACAGTATAGTTTGATTATAATGCCATAGAACAGTATAAAATGTCATAGTATAGTTTGACAAAAAACATCAAAATATGATATGATAAAAATGTCATAGTATAGTATGATAAAAAAAAGTCATAAAAAAAAGTCAAAAATTTAAAATTTTGGTATAAAAAATCATAGTATATTAAATTATATAATAAAAAATGTTGCAATACAGTATGATAAATCTGCCATAGTATATTATGATAAAATTCATAGTGTAGTATGATGAAAATATCATTGTATAATGTAATGAAAATGTCACAGTTTAGTATGATGAAAATGTCTTAAAATAGAATGATAAATATTCCTTAGTATACTTTGGTTAAAACATCAAATTATGCTATGATAATTATTCTGATTTTTAGTTTAAAATAAATAAATAGTATAGTATGATAAAAATTTTGAATTGTATGAAAGAAATGTCATAATGTACTATGATAATACTTTAAATTATGGTATGATAAAAATGTCATGGAATAGTATGATAAAATGTCCTTGTATACTGTGATAAAAATTCCAATTTTAGTATGAAAAAAGGCATTGTATAATGTAATAAAAATATTACAGTATAGAATGATAAAGATTTCATGATATACTATAATAAAAATTCCAAATTTTAGTATGGAAAAAATAAATCAGATATTTTGATAAATTTTTTTTAGTTTGGTTGAATAAAAATTTCAGAGTATAGTATGATCAAAATGTCAAAGTCTAGAATGATCAAAATAAAAAAATTATACAATGAGAAAAAAGTCATAGTATAGTATGATAAAAATGTCATAATAAAGTTTTATAAAAATGTCAGTATTCTTTGAGAAATATTTAAAATTTTAGAATGAAAAAATATTAGTATTGTATGGTAATAATGTCATAATATGGTATGACAAAAAATTTATAAAGTATGAACAAAATGTCACAGTATAGTATGATAAAAATGTAAAATTTAATATGAAAAAAAAAGTAATAGTATAGTATGTTATAAAGATGTAATTGTTTTGTTTGTGGCAGCTGTTGCTAAGGAGGCAGAATAGTTGTCCAATAACAGTCTGCACAACAAATGTGGACAATATCCCTAAATGTAATACAGCTGAAAGCAAGATTACTTTTTTATTTTGTGGTGTAGGTGATCATCAACTTGTTGTATTAACTTTATTTTTCATGTTTCTCATGATTTGTGCAAGACTATCCAAAAAGGAAACAAATATGATGTAAATAAGATTCTAAAAAATGACTGCATCCTGTCTTGTTCTAGAATTGTAGGCAACAGCAGCTTCGTGAATTTTTCTATCAGCTTCTTGACTGGTTTTGGCCTGACAGGTGACAGGCCAGCTTTTAATCATCAAAGTTGCAGTTTCTACATCTCCTCAAGGCTGAAGTTTTTCATGCTGAGTTTTTTTTTTTTTTTACACTGAGCCAGAGTCCTCCTTTCCTTGCATCAGCTTTGCTGTAACATTTCTCTCTGACACGACCTGTCTCTCTGCTCTCAAACTCTCTTTGTGCAGTTTAAATGAAAAAAGAGCTGATGTGAACAGACAGTTTCTCAATTTACAACAAATCCATGATAATCTCCATTCATGTAAATGTTTTTGCAAATTTTGCACACTTGGAAACCAGATGTGACTAACGTTTAAGGCAACCTTGAGGAAGGATCAGTACACTTCTACAAGCTTTCCTCGGACAGAAATGAAAACACAGATAAGATTGAAAGGACAGTGAGTACCGCTTAAGAACAGTCAGTGTGTGAAAATCACCTCCATACAAACATTATACAAGCAAACTCTTCTTAAATGTGCCTGATCACAGGATGATGTCTTGATAACTGTCACTATTATCATTAATATCGTTGCCTGTGAAAAGTCTTCAAGATGAAAACTTATCCAGTTTTTGTATCATAAATTAGTCACTTGATAGCAAAGTCTTCGGAAGTCTCCATTGTTGTGTAAATGTGATGATGGAGTGAGCAGAGGAGGAAAGAGAGATAGACAGTGAGGGGAGGAGATCTATCTCTTTTCAGCTGTCTGACCACAGAGGTCTTCAGGGACAAGCTGCTGTCGGTAGCGGTTTATTCTCTACTGATGACTTTGTGCAACCAGAGTTATTTGATGCCAAGTATAAGAAGAAGTTTCATGTTATAAAAATCTTTCTTAGTGATAAAAAGCTACAGAAACAGAAACGATTATTAATGTACTACAAATGAACCATAGATTACTGTATTAGTCAAATGAACTGCCAGAATGAAATGCCATGGAGGAGGTAGGCTTTATGACCAATACTGCAGCCTGTCTGTAGAGGGAGCTCTAAGTCTTTTGGCTTTACTTTTGTGGGTGCCGTCATGTCTTCTATCTTTTTTACACACTCTGAGTTTGTAAAAACATCAAATATTATGTCAGTTGATTCCATCCTAAGAGATTTTTTTTGCTTTTTGGTCAAGTAGTATTGTATTTATGTCCGCAATTTTGGCAAAGAAAGAAAGAAAGAAAGAAAGAAAGAAAGAAAGAAAGAAAGAAAGAAAGAGGATACATTAACGTCACATTCAAGCTTTTCCTGGGATTGCTTAAATGTTGAGCAGCTGCTGTGACAAGTCCATCGTGCTGATATTCATCCTTTTCCTTACTTAGGATGTGAAAACACCTCAAATACATGACTTCACTTGGCTGAACTTATATTTTGTTACTGTAGTTTACTTGGACAATGACCTGCTTGACATGCCTTTTCTTTTTCTAGAGGTTAAAAGTCCTGATCATACCATAATTCAACAAACCCGTCTGTTTATACCCGTCTACCTTTTATTTAGATTTTTACTGGTTCCAACAACAAAATAATGATTTTGTTAACTGTTTAATGTCATTTGGACACTCATTTGTGGCTGAAAGTAATGGCTGTTGTGCAGTTAATAAAAGTGAGTGGTCAAAAGAATTATTTGTCTCTCCCACTTTTTTATTTTCCCTCCAAAATAATTGCATCAGATAGCCATGATCTATAAGTCTGGTTCTGCTCAAGTTTTCTGCCAGATATTGTACCTGTTATCGAGAGCTTGCTCAGGGCGTTTATAAAATGTATAATAAAAGTAGATGAATAACTAAGAAGGAAAACAAATGGAAATATGAGAATTATACATGAACACCAACATGAACTGCCGCATTCAGCTGAAAGCAAACTCAAAAGACATAAGCTGTAGTTTATACTCACTTTTCAACAGTGTCAGGGGCAATAGTAGAGAAAAAACGCGCAGATATAGTGAATAAGTAGATGTCATCAGCCATTACAGTTTGTTTTCGACTACTTCAAAACAACTTCTCAAACAGACTTGAGTTTTTATGAACTAATTTTACATAAATTAAAATATTTAACACATTTTTACATTGATGTCTACTTCAGTTATCATGAAATTGTTCTGTCAGTTTGGGGTATTTTAATAACAAACCTAGTCTGTGATAAAAGTAAGATTATTGCTATTTCAAAGTTCAGGCCCTCGAAGTCAAATAAGGGTATACAGACTTTCTTGAATGTTGCAGTAATGCACCATCGACTCACACTCTTAAAAAAGGCATTACGCACTCTGCACACTCACACTAAGTACACAGACACTTAAGGCAGGCTGACAAGCGTGCACACACACAGCACAAAGACGTCTTTCTGCTGAGTGATGTTATTCTGGGTCTCGACTTCATGCAGGTACATTGAGTCCAGTCCAGAACAGCAGGGAAGCTTTCAGTAGTACACACTCATACTTTCTGTGGACTGCATTACCATGGTAACGTTGCCAATGCGGGCAGAACGTTGATGCTTTTTTCATGAATACATATGTCAAAAGACTCATTTAAAAATGGTGTTTGGATCTTTTGATTTATTCCGTCTTTAATTTTCCCGAGGTATGTGTACTTTAGTTTTACCCCTCTGGCTCCGCTTGAGCTTGAGGTGTGCCCAGATGTTTTGGTCTGCGGTGGTGCTGAGCCCAGCTTCTCTCTCTTTCTCTCTCTCTTTGTGCAGCCAACATGTTGGAGAGCATGCTACTGAAGAACGGGTGGAAGGGGGGATCGGAGAGGAGGGCGGAGGAGAGCAGCAGCAGCAGCAGCAGCACGGCGACAGTTCCAGCTCAGAACATGCTCTGGTGTCACTGCTACCATCACTGCCCTGAGGACTCTGTCAACAACACGTGCATGTACGGTGAAGCACGCACAAACAAACTGTGTTTATAACTCTTTATCTTAGGGCTATTAAAGAAACAACACAAATAATTATCCAAAGTAATTCTCTGAGAGACCTCTAATTAACTGATCTGAAATGTTTCCTCCAGTATACATCCTTTAATGAGATTCTTCAGCCTCTTGAGGCTCAGCTTATTAACTCTCTCATTAGCCTACTCATGTGTGTTAGGGATATTTATACTCAGGTTAACATCACTTTTTTTATAGCTCCAGGAATAAAGGTGTGTATAGTGAATTTAATATTCTTATCTTATGATGAAAAGTCATGTTCAGATGGCTCTGTGGGCGTGCTACAAGCATTTTATTTGTTGTTTTTACATTCTTCTCAGGTAAATGTAGGCTTTAACTGACTGACAAACCTTCAGATTTCTCAACATTTTACTCAGCATTGTTATTTTAGTCCATCACTTTAAGGTAATTCAGCATAAGTTTGGACTGAAAACTGCAAGATTAGAATTCAGAGAGAGAAAAAAAAAGACTCCAAGTGTGGTTTTACCAAAAGTAAGCTCACTATAAACCTCTCAAGCTCATGTCCATCTCTTCTGGATACTGAAAACTCGAGGCTACAGAAGCTACCATGACATCTGGATTTGATGGAGTTTAGTAACAATTCTGGAGATACAGGAAGGAAATATGAAAAGTAAAAGTCCCCGCTTCTGTTGTATTCAGTTTTCACCCCTCCATCTGGAGTCTACCAGTGTTATAAGAGTTCACTGGATGGAGTCCAGTAAGCTCAGCCCTTTCGCAAAATCTGTCTGGAAAAAGGCTTTAAATATCAAACAGAGACAGTTTTTTTTTTCTTTTTGGGAAAGTTAAAAAACATTTCTTGTAAAAGCTGAAAATTTAAAGGTTTTGAAAACAATATTTAGAGTACAGTGTGTTTAGCAAGATTTAGCGTGCATAGATGTGGATCTCCTACCATGGAGGCCACGCTCTTTCACCATCATGTCTCTACCATAGCACAGAATGGAGCATCTAGTAACATACATGTTTTTTTGCGATCAGCCAGTAGCTGAGTATGGTTGTGTGCAGAAGAAGTCATACTGATAGATGTTTTTGATGACAAATGGAGGAGGGAAGCAAGAGTTTCTCGAAAGCCACTCTTGCGTCACTGATGAAGATATTTCTGTTTCTGCACCTTCAGAGGATTTAGTCTCAATAAACGCTTTAAATTCTGGAGACAGATTCAACGAACCCCAACACCAAGGATTAGAAAGATGATGATAAAACATCTTAAACTATGTTCACTCATTTGATGTTCCTGCATTTTGCTAGGACTGATGGATTCTGCTTCACCATGGTGGAGGAGGAGGAAGGGGGTCTGGCCGTCATCACTACAGGTTGTTTGGGTCTTGCTGGCTCTGAGTTCCAATGCAGAGTAAGTCGGCAGTATTTTTTTTTGCATGTGTGCGTCTTACACTACAAATTCTGACAATTACTACTTCACTAGCAGCTGCATGATAAGTGGCTCACCTGTTTGTATGTTAGGACACGTGGAATGCACGGTCCAGGAGAGCCCTCGAATGTTGCACAGATCAGGACTACTGCAACAGAGACCTGCATCCAACCCTTCCTCCCCTTGTGACATCAGGTAAGACACACAGACACACACAGACACAGACACAGACATTTGTTCACACAGCTTTTCACACACTGAAATCTGGCCCCACTTTAAAGCCTGAGTGGCTTTTAGAGCAGGCTCATTCAGGCCTTGCTGGGTGGTGATGGGTAGTGACAGTTTAAACTGTTACAAACCACAGCGCGGTGCTGGAGTGAAGTGGCACATGCTGATGCAGGAGTGTATAGAGAGAGAGAGAGAGAGAAGAGAGAGAGAGAGAGAGAGAGAGAGAGAGAGAGAGAGAGGCAGGTGAAACAGAGCCTGCAGCCTCGGCTTGTTCTCTCACCCTCTAATGAAAAGGACAGCCTCTCCCCGGGGCCTGCTTGAGTTTCTTGCCTCGGGACGGATGTGAGGTATCTGTCCATCTGTTACTCCGCAACACACCAACACACACACTCTCACACGCTTACACACACACATTCTTTCTCTCTGCCTTTGTCTGTCTCTCTCGCTCCATTTCTGTCACAGACACAGTACCGAGCTTTTAAATAGCTTCATGCGCTTTGTTCTGACCTTTAAATCGAACAGTAAAAATCTGAATCATGCTGTCAAATGAAGAGAAAAAAAAGTTGTTGTTTTTTCTACTTGTTGTTCATGCTCTTTTTTTCAAAGTAATGTATGATCATCATAACCCCTTCAACTAACCCCATCACCTTCACCACCATTACCTAAATCAAGTGCATCGAATAATTGTCCACAAAGAGTTGGGTCACAAAGTGTCTCAGAGGCAGAAGGGGACAGTTTAGACCAATATTTCAGTCATTCGAGGGACTACAGAGGAAAAGTGTGTTGGTGGTCCTTAAAGAGGAAAGGCTTTAGCTTTTTCTTAAAGGTATAAAGGGACTCTGTGGATTTTATAGTTTGGTAATTCATCCCTTCACCGGAGTACAAAAGAGGACAAGAGTCTGGCAAGTGACTTAGGGCCTTGTTGTGATGGGAGCACCAGGTGCCTTTCATTGGCAGAGCATAACAGGTGGAAGTGAGGTAGTGTAAACCTGCATGAGGGACTGCAGATAGGCAGGAACTAACTTTGTTGCAGTTTTGTAGGCAAAGAAGTAGGTTTTATATTTGATGCAGGCTGCTACTGGAAGCTTGAGGAACAGCAGAGTGACACCACAAGTAAGAAGTTGCAATAATCAACGCAAGATTAATTTGTATGATGACCTTTTCAAATTAAACTTCTAAATATAACTACCTCGCTGGAGCAATGTGTAACCAGCACAGATGCAAGTTAACAAAAACAACAAAAGGCTGATGGTGCTAGCTCTGCTAACTGTTAGAAAACCAGTTTGATAGTACTGCAATCTTGTGTTTTGCTGTGTTTAATAAATAATGCTAAATTGAGTCTTTTCAGGGAGTGTTTTTTCATTTTTAATAAAATATATGTAAAACTAACTAATTAACCAGTTCAAAGGTTGGTTAAAAATGCTAATTTTTACATTTAAAAAGGAAAGGTGCTTAATTTGATACGTCATCTGATCTAATCCCTCTGAGTGTGATTTTTTTAAGTTCCTTGGTCACTTTACAGTACCCCCTGCCTGTGCTCACGGATTTGTGTTTGTGTCTGTGTTTGTGATTGGCAGGAGCTCAGCATAAAGGCTAGATTCCCTCAGTGCCTTCAGCTCTCAGGGGTTTTCTGAAGTGCGGAGTGACAACTGATCTGTTAGATTCGGGGAGGGAGTGTGATCGATCGCACTTTGTGAAGGGAAAAAGGGAAGAAGGGGGGAGTCGGTGGGAGGAAGAGGAGAGGGTTCTTGTCCCTGCCAGTTGAAGTTAGAGAGATGTTTGAGGAGATAACAGCAAACAGATGATACCACAGTCAGATATTCATCAGTTCTAGTTTTACAGTCTTTCAGTCCCTCTGAGTATATAACTATTCAGATGTTCAGAGGTTAATAAAGCAATAAAAACGGCACATTAAATCAATATCAAATAACACTAATCAGTCTTCCTTTTGTTTTAGATTATGTCGACAGCAGTATCCAGTACATGGCTCTCTTCATCTCCATCACAGTCTGCAGCATCATCCTCGGTCTCATCCTAATCTTCTGCTACTTCAGGTAAGTACCTCCACACATCAGCACGGATGTTTGAAGTCAGTCACGCATATAGCTGACGTCCATCCTTCATCTTCCTATGGCAGGTATAAACGCCAGGAGTCGCAGCCACGCTACAGCATTGATCTGGAGCAGGAGGAGACCTACATCCCCCCTGGGGAGTCCCTGAAAGACCTGATTGAGCACTCTCGCAGCGTCGGCTCTGGCTCAGGCTCAGGACTCCCTCTACTGGTAGGAGAAAGTCCCAGCAGCCCAAGCTAGAGCGATAAAAACTGCATTATCCCATGCTTTTATGTGGTAATGATGAAAGATTTTAATGTTAGTGCTTTGCTTTTAAAGATATGATTATGTAAAAGTACACTTTAAATATTTTAAAATACACATTTAGTCAGGCCACATAGAAAACATGTGAGTTTAGGTGCCTTCAGTGAATTCCTAATGCAGCAGGGAAAGACACTCGTCTAATAATAGTTTGTATTTATTATGTTACATCTGTTTGCAGATCTTTTGGAAGCTTGAACATTTTTTATGGAAGGTTATATCAATGTAAATCTTCTTTTTCTCAACATTTTGTTTCCAGGTGCAGCGTACCATTGCGAAGCAGATTCAGATGGTGAAGCAGATTGGAAAAGGGCGATACGGAGAGGTGTGGATGGGCAAGTGGAGAGGCGAGAGAGTGGCTGTTAAGGTTTTCTTCACCACAGAGGAAGAGAGCTGGTTCAGAGAAACAGAAATATACCAGACCTTCCTGATGAGACATGATAATATACTGGGTAAGGCCGTATGAATGTTATGTTAAGAAATAGCTGGATGTTATGCTCTTGGTAACTTAAGCTTAACTCATTTGTTTTGCCTTTAAACTCCCAGGGTTCATAGCAGCTGATATTAAAGGCACTGGCTCTTGGACTCAGCTTTACCTAATAACAGACTACCATGAGAACGGATCATTATACGACTACCTCAAGTCCAACACGTTAGACGTCAAGGCTCTGCTGAAACTGGCCTACTCATCCATCTCAGGCCTGTGTCACCTGCACACTGAGATCTACGGCACACAGGGCAAACCGGCCATCGCACACAGAGACCTGAAGAGTAAAAACATCCTGGTGAAAAAGAACGGGTCCTGCTGTATAGCGGACCTTGGACTTGCTGTCAAGTTTAACAGGTTAAAAAAAAATACATTGTGGACTTTTAAACTTTCATGTGAGCGTGAATAAGATGAAACTTGAATATTTAATGTGTGTTTCTTCTCTCTGCTACAGTGATACAAATGAGGTAGACATCCCTCCAAACTTAAGAGTGGGTACTAAGCGCTACATGCCACCTGAGGTGCTGGATGAGACGCTCAACAGGAGCTACTTCCAGTCCTTCATCATGGCTGACATGTACAGTTTTGGCCTCATTGTTTGGGAGATGGCCAGACGTTGCATATCTGGAGGTAATTAAAAAAAAAAAAAAAAAAAACAACAACTGGGTAAAACTTTACAATAACCATAATTTATAAATGGTAAATAGATAGTTAATTAATGTTTAATCATCATTTAAAAACAAAATTTAGACCAAATATAAATGGCAAACAATTTGTTATTGTAAGTTAATAGTTACTTTACCATCAACAAGCAATGAATTATGATGAATAGTTTTCATTAATTATTAGCCGACTATTTATTAAAGGTATATAGAGGGTTTAAAACATCTCGATTACATTGTGTGTTAGTAGCACTTTGTTCATGGTTAATATTTGGTTTTTAAACCACCTTTTAACATTACTTAGATGGTTACTGTAAAGTTAGGCTTAGGGTTAGGTTTTTAAAATTGTGAAATTCACAATTTATCAATGGTCTATATGCTGTTTATAAATGATGATTAAACATATATAAACTATCTGCTTACCATTTATAAATGGTCTATTTATCATTTATAAGTTGTGGTTATTGTAAAGTGTTACCAAAAACTGCTCGTTTGTCAAAGTTTTCTTTATCATACTGCTTAAATACACTACTTTATCTCTTGAAGGTATGGCGGAGGACTATCAGCTGCCCTATCACGACCTGGTGCCCACAGATCCCTCCTATGAAGACATGAGGGAAGTCGTCTGCATAAAGAAACAGAGACCCTCATTTGCTAACCGCTGGAGCAGTGATGAGGTATTGGCTTCAGTAATCCCTTTTTAACAATATTAATGTAGAAACACTCCAAACGTTTAACAAATTGTTGCTATAAATATTCTGAAGAACAGCGATATCTTTGAAACAACTGATCAGGTTGCCAGGTCTGATGCTATATATTCTCCATCACATTAAAAACTGCAGACCGGGTCTCTCGTATTTATCAAAATTTGTCCCATCTTTGCATGTTAAGTTGATGAGTTTATTTTAGTGTGTTCAACCAGAACACACGAACGCTGCACAACTTAAAAGTCTTTGTGTAAATTAAATATCAATGAATATGATCATACAACTTGCAGACCTATTACTGAATGAAAAGTAATTGCTGTAATTTCCTGTATTTGTCCGTGTTTGTCTCCAGTGTCTACGGCAGATGGGGAAACTGATGTCAGAGTGCTGGGCTCATAACCCCGCCTCCCGCCTCACAGCCCTGAGGGTGAAGAAGACCCTGGCTAAGATGTTAGAATCCCAAGACATCAAACTGTGACAGACAGTCGAGAGAGACGCTGTCATCATCACAGAGGAGTCACGGCCACCAGCCTGGCGCTGCTAACACTGGCTACTAGAAGAAAGGGAAAAAAGAGGCTGGACAAAGAAAACTGACAGTGAGGATGACTGATAGAGATAATGGCCGCCCGGGCGCCAGAAAACAGCAAGATTTATCATGTCAGTGGAGGTCTGCCCTCTTGACGTCTGAGCCATGAGTTCAGGTTGTGCTTTCTGTGAAAGCTGAGTGGTGGTCAGGTCCAGTCTGTTCCTGTGGGCAGGTGGACAGGGACACTTCACAGCAGGAGACCAGGACTTAAATCCTTCTGATGAGGTCTAAACGGATGAAAGTCCTGCTCTGCTTTTTTTAAAGCCATACAACAGTATTCTGTGTGCAGTCTTTTGTACTGTATCAGCTGCCTACATGTTCTGCTTTTTCATGTCAAACCCATCCACAATTACTGAAATGAGCCCAAAGGAATGTCTCATTCTTGCTGAGTGACCTCGTTTCCAAAACATATTTGTTTTTATATTGAACAAAACTAGACAAGGTGACAAAAAAAGAGAGATTTATCTCAAATATACCCATAAACTGTACAATGATGATAAACCTGGGACTGGAAAAACTTCATGGAGTTTCAGATTTGTGAATTTTGGTTAGACTGATGCAAATGTGTAAAGCCAAACTGAAATCTATTAATAATTATTGCCTTGCTTGATGTTGGAAATGTATTTCTGATGATTTTTGTGTGTACAGAATATGTCCCATCCACTCGAACACTGTTTTATTTGCCTTATTTAACCTGTACATATGTGACAAATAAAGAGTGTGTGAGTGGACGTGGATAACATTCCCCAATAAAACGACGCGTCTTGAAAACATGTCTATTTATGTCAAACTCAGACAGAGTATTACAGATATGAATAAAAATGATGTAATAAGCCAAGTCCTGATGCTTAGTGTTCAATGTTGCATATAAATATAATTTATTATTAGTCTTAAAAATTCTTTCTTACACTTTGTACAAGAACTCGACAGATGAAATGCAAGCAGTTTGCCAGGAAACACCAAGAGTGCCAGAGAACAGACAGGCTACATTCTCACTATACACAATAATCATAATAATCATGAGGCTGAAGGACGAGGAGGGAATGCAAAGGCTAGCCTGCTGAGAATGTAGAGATTGTTTCGGAAAGATGCAGAGTTTGCATAGACAGCTTTGCGAAAAAAAAAACAAAAAACAAACTGGGACAACTGCCATTCAAAAAAAATCAAATAAAAAATTCAAGAACACCTGAACAGTCACAAGTGCTGCTGCATCACAGGAATGTTGCGATTACGACCATCACTAACTCTTCTGCACAGCGAGTTGTGGCTTCTGCTGTTAAAGTACAAACAGAAGTCTGGGTTGAAAGTCACATTTTTGATGTTTCTCAATTCTGAACAGAAAAAAAAAGTTATTTCTCAAAAATGATATTTGACATTTGGATGATCGCCTTCTGTATTAAATTGAACGTCATACATTGTATGTCAATTATTTGGTAAAAAGCAGTTGTATTCAGTTGCATTGGTCCTATAAAAATATATCTATTTGATTCCCCTTTCTACAGTATTTACCTCTCCTCTCTGCCTGCTCACTTTAATGTAGATGATGTCTTCCTAAACAACATACAAACCATCAGCATCAATCATAATTTCATTGAAGTTTGGGCCAGTTGTCTTAGCTAACCTCTTATCTGCCAATTTCCCTGCTAGAAACATGCAAAAATAAAACGCTCGCAAATTAAACCAATGCAATTTATCAAAAAATATTTTAAGACTTAAAAAAACTCAAGCGCACGTAAGTAAAATCAATAATCATACACAAGATGGATAAAAAGAATTAAGACTAGTTAAGACAGCAACACTAAAACTGTAAAACTGATTACATCATTGATTCCCTTCTGTACATGTAAATGAGGCTGACAGGATGAGTCATTACCGCGAGTGTCCACCAGGAGGTGCTATCATACAGTCAAACAGAATGAACGAGGAAACAGAAATGTGAGGACACTGCTGAGTATTCCATGAAATACTAAATAAAAATGCATATAAATAGGCAATTTATTAAATATTATGTTGTCACAGAGCACATTCTCGCCCATTACGTAACTATGGAGACGGGTTCTTGAGAGTGAGAGATATCTCCTCTGATCAGAGCGGTTTCTTCTTTGATCCGTATGACCTCTGAAAGTGTAGACTGTTGTTCATGGAGAGGGCATCATCCACATATCCGCACAGTCCATCCAAATAACCGGACAGCTGTTTCCAAGGAAACTGGAGCCAAAAATATCAAGTCAATATACCAGAGAGAGAGAGAGAGAGAGAGAGAGAAAGAGAGAGAGAAAGGGAGAGAGTGGGGGGAAAGCCAGAGAGAAATGACTGGCAGAGATTCTTGTTTACCCTCCAAGTTTTTTACACCCTTTGTTGCCAATGTTTAACTAGGTCATGGGCTGAGCAGACCTAGCTTTTTGTATCTTCTTACTTCTGCACGAGCTCACACAAGTAATATCTGTGATGGTGTGCGTGCATTTGTCAGAGTCAAAAGCGTCCCTTTGCTCTTTTTTTCTTCTTCTTCTTTTTTTTTTTTTTACATCTTCTTCCTCCCCGGAAATGTCACACTCCCGGTGGGCAGATGTCAGTGTTCAGTTGCTGAGGGAACAAGGCTGTCATGACGTCCCATCTCCTCCAGCACCTGCGCCAGGCGACTCAGGTTGCCGTCAGGAAAATGCTGGGCCTCCCACAAGTCAAGGATCACCCCCGTCGGACTGGATTTGGTGGCAAAGTAGTTAAGATACCTGGATGAATGACGAAGACAAAGACAGAGAGATGACTTTAGATAAAGACAGGCAACTCTAACGACAATGATTTAATGTGGATACTCTCCATTTTCCAATAATTACAATTTAAAGGAAATAAAAAGACAAATAAACTTTATCAAAGTTGATCATGACCATAATTATATTCTTAGACTCAAATGGGAATAGCAGTGTTTAATTGAAGGATCCTAAAATAGAAAATTCAAACCACTTCTTCACAGCAAAGAGTAAAGTATAAGTGGGTTACATCATATTTTACCGACTGAAAAGGATTTTGTAAAGCCTTAGATAATCTTTTTACAGGCACATAACGAACTAGAGCAAAAATATCTGAAATAAAAGACTTCCATGCCAACATTTTGATTTTATTTATAGTGAAACTTTCAGCAGTTAAGTCACATTTGCCAAACTGGCTTGTTGAGCACAGATGTGGTCTGTGTTTGGCCTTTCTTAGTTAGTATAAGGAGGTACATTGATAAAAGAGATTGGGGTCTTAGCTGACTTTGACATGGTGTAATTTCATATCTCATCTTTTAATCTATTTCTAGTCAGTAACCCTCCTTTCTAAAGAGGTAACAGGCGTGGCAGAAAACTGTATTTTTAAGGAGCACCCTTAATACCTTTACCTAGTTTCCTTTAGACACTGACTGATCACACACTCTGAATCTTCACTATGGAAAAAGTTAACAAAAGCCGTGGCTACAGCATGTAGTATCTCAGTTAATCTGACCTTTATTAAGAGGTAAGCATGACATGAACATTAAAGCTCCTGTGAAGATTTCTTAGCTCATCATGAATAAATACAAATTTATAATCCTGATGTCTTTATATATTATTCAAAAGCTAACAGGACGAGAAACAACAATACTTATGATTTCTTTATTGTAAAGAAATCATGAGTACACCTACCCCCTCACACCACTTTTAGGCATTAAAAATCAAAATATAAACATCTTGTAATTTTGACACCAATGTTCTTGTTTGCTTTTGAATATCAAAAAAAAAAACAAAAACAAAAAAAAAAAACATCCATATGATTTTCAGTCTATTTCACAAACAACAAAAATTCCTCATAGGAGCTTGAAAAATAATTAATTGTGTCACTTTTTTCCAACGGGATGATCAGGTGATAAGTGTGGTCATCTTCACATACGGTTCTATTTAACTAGACTCCTTGTTTTGCAACCAATAGAGTCGACTCCTGCTGGTAATTAGGAATAATGCAGGATTAAGGCACAGTCCAATTTGTAGAATTTCTGGAACCAAAAGGCTCAAACTTAAAATCTGTGTTTTTCCCTTAAAATCAAAAATTTTCACAACACATTATTGCCAGACTTTTGTCCACCATTAGTCGCGTCACTCAGTACTTGTAGTTTGAAGTAATGATTCAGTTTCAGCCTGAAAAGCAGACAACAACATCAAAAATTGACATGAAGAAGCGGCAAATGATTAAAAAACATTCTCAGTGGCTGCTGATTACAGACTAGAGTCTCTCCAAGATGTAAAACCCAACATCCAATGCATTTTAACTAAAAAGGATATTTTTAAAACCAAATATTTCCAAATGTGTTTTTTTTTCTTCTCAAATCCATTTGTCACCCAGTTTTTGATATTTAAAATAAGCCCACATGAAGTCCCAGATTTCATTTTGGAAAAATAAAAACTACATACACACTTCTGCTCAGTGTGTATCATCACTGTGGGTGGTGACTAAGAGGTTGGTTCCTGTCCCCCTTCCTTCACGCCACACTCTGTGAGTGGTCTCGTCAATCTGCAGCTGCTGCCTGTGATAAGGCCCCCCCTACTGAGCCAAGACCTTATAAATGGACACACACCATACCTCCATCACACACACATGACTATCAAAGACACAAGGGTAACGTTCTGGAAAAAAAAAAAACGTGAGTTTGTTCTATCTTTGTCTCTGTCTGTCTCTTGACTGTCTGGCTCTATTAATCTCAATTCAACAGGAAGTGTCACATTCCAAAAGAGGAATCGATGTTAAAGGTGGGGTAGGCAGGATTCCGTTAAAGAAGCATCTTTTTTTGTGGTGTTTATACAAAAAAGCTTTTAATATCAGTCAATAGCTATTAGTTATTGATGACATTTGGTAATATAACGATATCGCTGTGTTTTGTTATGTCTGTGTGGTCAACATATAAATCTTTTGAGCGGCTCTTCCTGACTGTAAACAAAGCTGTCCCCTGCCTCCCCCAACCTGATTGGTTGTGAGGGGGATGCCGCTTCTTAGCGCTGATTGGTTGTGAGGCAGACGCTGCTCCCTTGTATTGTGGCGTGCACGAGCCCAAACAAAGTTAGCGTGCTACAACATTGGACAGTAGAAACCAGCCAGAAAGTACGGAAAACACAAGCAGGAAAACGAAGTAAATACCAGAGACTCTGGTGCAATAACAGCACTTGAAACAGAGGTAGACCGGACAAGAGCACAGAAGCCGGGTCAACATCAGCATAAACGATGGGGGACACTTCAGGATCTTACGGACCCTGTAACCTTTCTTCTGGACAGGTAAACCGCTTTAACAAAGTAAGCCAAGTGTCTGTAACAGAAGTGTTTCTTGTCAAATGGGACCTGCTGCCTGTTGTAGCGCCGCTAAACTGTTTACCTCGGGTCCTGGACTATGTCACTTTATCCTAGTTGTAGAAGTCCTGTAAACATTGTGTTTGCTGGTAGTCTGTTGGCATCTACAGTAGCACCAATGCTTTTAACTTTCACGTTGACTGGGCCCCATTTGTAATTATCTGAAGTATTTATCTAAATTATATCTGAATTTAATTGAAAGAATACAAGCGAGCAGGTGTGACTGTTTGTGGGCGGGGCTTGCTGGAGCAGAGAGGGAGGGGAGAGGAGGATCTGAGGGGAAAACTGGTTGGGAGGGGTAGAGTTTACATTCAAGATTTCTCCCAAAAACTGGCACTTTGTCAGATCCCGCCTACCCCACCTATAAGTAAAATGAGATCAATGCAATAAAAACCTGGTCGAGAAACTACCTTAAATATTGTTCATTTGAAGAAACAGTATATTGCGTTTTTTATTGATTAGTCAAAAAGGTTGTTCTCTGTTTCAGTC